AGAATCGACTTGACAGCAATGGGTTATCCCTATAATGATAATCACTATTCGGGATAAGGCCTAATCTTGCTCACCACAATACTTCCCAGGCTTCCATCCCAAGTTTGAAGGTTCTTAGATCTCTTATTTCTGTGCATGTATTAATAATCAGAGAGTCACAGCGATTAGAAGGGCCTACCTAATGCCTTCCCTTTCCTGCAGGGAAGAATTATTTGACACAAATGGATATCTGGCCTGTTTTAAAGCTGTCAAAGACTGAAGTCTCTAGGACTTCACTATGCGGCATCAGATAACGTGCACATCCATTCCTTCACCCACTCTTGGAGGAACGAGTGATGGAGCATCTTTCCTGTGGGGCCAGCACAGGATGGACACTGGGGCAGATATAAATGGATGGCCAGCCTCAGATGGCCACAGTATTGGAAACTCTCAGGGGCTCAGAACTCCCAGTAGTAGTTTGCTACCTGTTTGAAAATCTTTCCAAGGAGATCCCCATAGGTGGTTCAAGGATAGGAAACACACAACAAGGAAGAAGAGTTAAAGAAAATGGGGCTGCCTGGCCAAGGTCGTGGTACGGTATCACCCCAGCCTACCTCCCACTCCTGAAAATTGTTGGGAGATTGAAGCATCATGCCCAGGCAAGGATCTCAACTTTTAAGTACTGTATGTTTCTGTACAACTGGATGTTAACTGTTTTAGTAGGCTACAGGTGGTGTTTCTCAGGGAGAAACAGCTGGTGATGGGGTAGGGATGGAGGGAATCTGAATCAGGGAGAAATCTCTTGGTTATAAAAGAAAACCCAATTAAAACTGGCTTAAAAAGACAGGGAACTGTTGGTTCACATAAATATAAAATCTGGCTTCAGATACAGCATGATCCAGGGCTCCAGAAGTAGCATAAGGATCTATTTCTTCTCAGGCTCCTGCAGTGAGGGGTGTTCTCCAGCAGCTTCAGGCTTATATCATCACAACACTCAGTTAAGCAGAATAGAAAAAATTTTCTGGTAACTTCCACAAAAGACACAGGATTCATTCTCTTTCATTGGCTCAAACTAAGTCTGTATCCATTCCCAAAACAGGCTCTGTGGTCACGGACGTGGAATGCAATAAAAAGCTCAGGCCTAGGCCCTGTGCCCTACACTGGGGTGGAGGAATCAACCCTACTCCATCATGTGGACTAGAAGAGAGAGTGTGGTAGTGCCCCCAAAGCCAAATGGAGGTGCAATTCCAGAAGAGAGAGAAAAGATGCCAGGCAGACAAAATAGATGCTCATTCATTCATTCATCCAACACTTTTTACCTGCTGATTCTGATTCAGTGACTGGGCTTGATGATGGAGATAAGAGCTAACCATGGCCAGAGCCCTCTGCCAGCCCTGGAGAAATGCAGTCTTGTACAGGCAGACAGACAAGTAAACTTATGCATAATGCAACGTGACAAATGCTGCAAAATCTATAGAAAGGAGGGCCCATGGTTTTGTTGTTTCATAGCATGTGGATGCTCTTTTCCTGTTTATCCTTCCGGTTTCTCTGACAACCCAGCCTGCTGGTGGGCCTGGAGTAAGTTAGCTCTAAAATGTGGCCCCAGGAGGTCTAATCAAGAAGGAGTTCACTGCAGTCTTATGTTTCGCAGAGCACCTGGCAAATGATGGCAGTAGTTTTTGACTCACCCAAGTTGCCAGATTATATTTGAGAAAGAAAAATAAAATTCTTAGTATCTATTCTTCTTTCTGATCTATATTTCTTTCTGCAGACAAATTTGAAATACCTCTTGATGGGGGAGATGGAGAAAGGCGAGTGTGTTTTTATAGTGTTATGTTGTTGTTAGGTGCTGTCGAGTCAGTTCCAACTCATGGTGACCCAGTCCTATGCCATCCTGACAATTGTTGTTATGCTTGAGCCCACAGCTACTGTGTCAATCCATCATGTCGAGGGTCTTTCTCTCTTTCACTGACCCTCTACTTTACTCAGTCTCTTAGGCACCTACTGCTGCTCCAACAGAAATACCACAAGTAGATGGCTTTAACAAAGCGAAGTTTATTTCCTCACAGTAAAGTAGGCTAAAGGTCCAAATTCAGGGCATCAGCTCCAGGGGAAGCCTTGCTTTCCTTGTCGGCCTTCTTCTCATCCGTGTTCCACCGCGCAGGGATCCCGGGTCCAAAGGACACGCTCTGCTCCTGGCACTGTTTTCTTGGTGGTATGAGGTCCCCAATTCTCTGCTTGCTTCCCTTTCCTTTTATCTCTTGTAAGGTAAAAGGTGGTGCAGGCCACACCCTAGGGAAACTCCCTTTACATTGCATCAGAGATGTGACCTGGGTAAGGGTGGTGTTGCAATCCCACCCTAATCCTCTTTAACATAAAATTACAATCACAAAATGGAGGCCAACCACACAGTTCTGGGAATCACGGACCAGCCAAATTGACACACATTTTTGGGGGGACACAATTCAAACCACGACATTGAGCATGATGTCCTACTCCAGGGACTAGTCCCTCCTGATAACATGTCCAAAATATGTGAGACATAGTCTTGCCATCCTTGCTTCTAAGGAGCATTCTGTCTGTACTTCTTCCAAGATAGATTTGTTTGTTCTACTAGCAGTCCATGGTATAGTCAATATTCTTCGCCAACACCATAGTTCAAATGCATCAGTTCTTCTTTGGTCTTCCTTCTGCATTGCACAGCTTTGGCATGCATAAGAGGCGATTGAAAACACCATGGCTTGGGTCAGGCCTACCTTAGTCCTTAAAGTGACATCTTTGCTTCTTAATACTTTAAAGAGATCTTTTGCAGCAGATTTGCCCAATGCAATGTGTCATTTGATTTCTTGCCTGCTGCTTCCATGGGCACTGATTGTGGATCCAAGTAAAATGAAATCCTTAACAACTTCAATCTTTTCTCCATTTATCATGATGTTGCTTATTGGTCCAGTTGTGAGGACTTTTGTTTTCTTTATGTTGAGGTGTAATCCATATTGAAGGCTGTACTATGTATTGCATAAAAAATAGACCAGATATAGAATTTCCTTCCATTGTTATTAGTTGGCTTAAAAACTTTTCATACATTCCAAACAGACATAAACCTTAATTACCACGAAAGTTTCTTTAAAAATACAAACCATGTTTGGGCTGATATGCGAGGAGGTTGTCAGGGCTGGTGGTGCAGGAAGGTGTTACCCCAATACCAAGTGGAGAAGATTAAACACCCTTTGTTATAAGGCCTACTCTACCACCTACAGACTGTGTGACCTTAGAGTCAGATCTTAGAGGTCAGAGTCATGTAACTTCCATGAGCCTCAGTTTCTATAAATGTGTACAAGAGCTGAAGGAGCCCTGGTGGCACAGTGGTTAAGCACTCAGCTGCTAACCGAAAGGTTAGCAGTTCAAACCCACCAGCTGCTCTGTGAGAGAAATACATGACAGATTGCTTCTGTAAAGACTGACACCCTTGGAAACCCTATGGGGCAGTTCTACTCTGTCCTGTAGGGTCACTGTGAGTCGGAATCAACTCTATGGCAGTATATTTGGTTGGGGTACAAGAGCTGATGGGAGCATCAAGGGATGATGATAGATATGAAGGTACATTATAAACTGTAAAATATTTTTCTAAATGATAAAATTACTGTAAAACTATTAGCTGTCTCACCATCTTTGTTTTTAATAAAGCATTCCAGTTGCTCAAAAAAAAGGACATTCTTTTCTTCCCCAAAATGGCAAAGATCTCAGGATCCTGGTTTTCCTCTCCCTTCAGCTCAGAGTCAGTCTTGAGCTTTTGGGAGTAGCCAACGCTAAAGTCAATGTACAAAGTCAACATTTTAAACCCACATAGATCTTGAACAAATGAAGATGCTTCTCCTTCCATCTGTCTTCCATCCCATTCATTCAACAAACAGCACCAGGTGAGACACTGAAAATGCAAAAATGAGACACAGTCACTTGCCTTCAAGAGCTCACAGGCCCATGGGGAAGACAGAGAAGTAAAGGATAAATTTAAGGCAATGTGTCAGGTAGAATGATTGTGGCATTTGGGGGGTTCTCTGGGGGCACAGAGGAAGCTCTTCTCCTTCTTCTCCCACACTTCCCTAAAGCAGAGTCCTCCAAACTTTTATGATCCTGCATCCCTATCAGTCAACATTGTCAAGCACACACTCCTAGCTACATATATATATTTATAAATTGCATACAGGTGCTTCCATATGTGCTGTCTTGTGTATAAGATATACACATTTCCCTTATAAAGCATACATAGGAAATGATATTTATCGACTTTTAAAGATAGTACCAAAACCAAAACCCATTGTCGTCAAGTCAATTGCGATTCATAGGGTTGCTGTGAGTCGGAATCGACTCGATGGCTTACAGATAGTACCAAGTATCAAGGAAATATGAGACTAGAAAATGTAATGTGGAATGTGGAGAACAACAGCCCCGAAATCTTAAGTTAACGAACAACAGGCATTAACACTGTTCTCGCCGAGGGCGGGGCACCTGGGGCCACCGGAAGTTCATTTTTCAGTGCTCATGAGAGCAAGGCATGGAAGGCACTTGTTTTCAAAGATCCCTTTTTATTTATTCCCTTCTTGAAATTATAGAATGACTGTGAGTGCAAGAAAGGATTTCGAGGCAACGGAATTGACTGTGAACCAATAACTTCATGCTTGGAACAAACCGGGAAATGTCACCCGCTGGTGAGTTACTTCAGTTTTTCCCCTTACTGGAAAAAAAAAATGGTTTAAGAAATAAAGAAAGTTAGGTTATTTCTTTTCTGGGCTTAATAATGAGCAAAATCTCTATTACTCCCTAAGGGAGTCACTAAACAGAATGTAAATGTTTATTGTAAGTTTTATCCCATTCCAAAGCTTAGAAGAACCAACATAATGATTGCCAGACAAAATAAAGAATTCCCAAGATTGAATTTGAATTTCAGAACAATGAGTAATTTTTTCAGCACAAGTATGTCCTAAATATTGCATGGCACGTACTTATATAAAAAATTAATCATCATTTATCTGAAATCCAAATTTCACTAGATGTCCTGTATTTTTGTTTGCAAAATCTGGCAGGGGATAAAAAGAAAGAATCTAATTGTGATTAAATAAGTGCCACCCTAAACACGCAGACAGGTGCTCCGCATTGCAGCACTGAGGGGCCTGCGGGTCTTTCCCACCATCGTTCAGCCCCAAATTTGTAATTCTTGCCTTAGATGGAGTCTCTTGTCTCACGGATGCAATTCATGTCTAACTCTTTAGCTAGGAAAGCAAACCATTTCTTCTGTCTTCATTTTATCAGGCATCTTGTCAGTTTACTTCTTCCGGTGTCTGGAGCTGTGTTTGTCGAGAGGGCTATGAAGGAAATGGCCTTCTGTGCTATGGGAATGCAGCCGTGGTAAGTCATCTAAGACAAACTGAAGTACAGAATAACAAAGACAAAGCCCTTAAAAAACAAACCAAACAAGAAAAAAAAGGACTCTTAGGGTCTAGTTTCCTAGTGCTGCTGTAATCAGAATCCTACAAGTGAGTGGCTTTAAAGAACAGAAATTTATTTTCTAACCATTCAGGAGACTAGAAGTCCGGACTCAGGGCACCAGCTCTAGGGGAAGGCTCTTCCTTGCTCTCTGTCGGCTCTAGGGGAAGATCCTTGTCTCTTTCAGCTTCTGTAGCTGCAGTGTTCATCGATTCCTTGGTGATCTTTACATGGCGTCTAGCGTCCCCTGCTTGCATGTCCTTCTGTGTCTCATCTGCTCTTTTTATATCTCAGATGTGATTGTGTTTAGGACACACTGAACTCTGACGTGGCTCCATTAACATTAACAAAGAAAACCTTATTCCCAAATTGGGTTACATCCACAGGTATAGAGATTAGTATTCTAGCACAAATTTTTGGGGGGACACAATTCAGTCCAGAACAATTCAAACCAAGTTGGCTTTAAAGTGCTCTACAAATCATTTGCTCCAGGAGATTTTATATGAAGCTTCTCATAGATGGCATACATGTTCTGTGGCTCACAAATTCTCTGCAGGCTGGAGGGGAAGGGCTAGCTCTTACTGAGCACATACTATGTGCCAAGAAGTTCATTTACTCTTGACTTCCCATTCTTGCCATTCTACCTCTTTCCATTCTCAATTTTCCTGAATGAGTAGCTAACTGGCCTCTGCTGAACTCTCCAGGTGCTCCTGTTTGGATTGTGTGCCTCCTATGGGCAACCAAAACACCCTGTGCTTACCTTTACCTGGTGTATGCGTGCGCGTGTGTGTGTGTGTGTGTGTCTGTAAAGGCTTTCCATGTACCAGGCATCTTACTAAGTCCTTCACATACAGCAACACCCCCATTTAAACTTCACAACAACCCTCTGAGGTTGATGCTATTATTATGCCCAATTTATAGATGAAGAAACTGAGGGGCTAAGCAAACTTGCCTAAGGCTGCTCAGCTCCAGAGTGAGGAATCCAGCCCATAGCTGTCTAAGTGCAGACCCAAGCACTTGACCACCAGTGTATTCTATCAATATAGAACACGTCATACCAAATCATCATTGCTTGTACATTTATCTCTCTCCTCCACCACTGGACTGTAAGTTCCTTGAAGGCAGATCTTTATCTTGTTTCCTGTTTCACTCCCAGTACCTAATAGAGTGTTTCTAAATACTTGTTGAATTGAGGAATGAAGTACAGTCAACCCTCATTATTTGTGGTAGTTATGCTCTATAAAGTCATTGTGAACTCTGATGTAGCAAATACTAAACCGTGGCTCCAGGGAAAACATAGAGTTAGGTTCCTGCAAGCCTCTGGTCATGACATAGTCATCAAATGATCAATACATAATCTTGTTTTATATGTATTCCCATTAAAAGACACCTTATTTAATATATATTGTTGATTCATTAACATTGAACATTGAACTCACATGCCTGAATGAACGTTATCTAACACATGCATTTTCTCCATAAGGCACATCACCAGCCTTCTTGTGCTTAGGAACACCAGACAGCAAGCACTTCAGCACTATGCTTGGGGGGCATTTAAAACAGTGAAATTACCAACAAGAAAGCACAAAAATGCAAAAAATGTGGCATTAAATAGACCACAGAAAGGATACGGGCTGGGTGGCCACGTTCTTAAAGCTGAAGTTTTGCTTGGGAGAACTTCAAGTTGCTGCTTTGTTTGACGTTTCTGGAATTACTTCTTTACCTCAAAGATAGAGGATCGTCAAGCCACCTAAGCTTGAAAGAAATGCACGACTCTGGCAATGTGGGAATTCATCTAGCTGGGCACCCATCCGTCTCAGCATCAGCGAGGCTGGTGGGGGAAAGGAACCCAGCCCTGGGAAGGCTAAGTGCAGACTACCCAGAAATGCACTGTGATTGTGTTTCTCATTGTCCCCTCTTTTGTGTTCTTTCTCATCTCTCCCTCCCTCCCTTGCATGATATGAATAAGGAATTGTCGTTTCTCTTGGAAGCAGCTATATTTAACCAGTGGATAACTGTGAGTACATGTGTTGGAATTTACAATTGGGAATGTATATAATTTTAGAAATTTGGAATGTATGTAATAGAAAATTGAAAATGCAACTGGTGTGAAGGACGGAGAGGGATTGTCTAAAGCAGTGACTCTCAATTCTGACTGCACTTAAAAATCACACGGAACACAATTGTAAATACCCATGCCTAGGCCCACACCCCCAGAGACTCCGATTTAATTAGCCAGAGGTTTGGCCTGGGCATCAGTATATTTTAAAAGCTTTCCAGGTAATTCTAACAGACAACCACAGCTGAAAATTTCAGTCTAGGGTAAGCTAGGGTCATCCACTTTTCAACCAATTCAAATATATATGTTCAGCTTTAATCATTACAGAGGTCTTTTAAAAAAGTTAATGTAATTCATCATTGCAATTTACCAAGTTAGTTTTGAGATTTACATGTGCAATCTGGGGTACTTCATATGTGCTTAGCTCTCAGCCCAACATGCCCTGGAAAGCATATCCCTCATCCCTGGAAAGAATTATAACAAATAATCCAATGCCACCCTGCCCAGTGGTTTGAATCTCTGCCCTCTCTGGCCAAATGGATCAAGATGGCTGGTTCAGCCAGCCATCACAACAAATGGTTTGTCACTTTTAAATAGGCACATGACGAGATAGATCATATTTGGTCAACAACCACTCTAGGACATCTCCCAGTTGCTTCTATCTGGGGCCTCTCTGACCCCACCACAGGCAAGAGATGGGACTGAGACTTCTCTTGAGCATGCTGATTTCCATGTAACCTGATCATGCTTGGTCTCACCGCACATGCATAAGCTTGCCCAGTGGTGTGCTGGAGCCAGCTTGTACTAGCTCACAAGAGCTGATTGTACACATCTTATCCCAGCTCCACTTTGAGTGCCATGATTTTGGTAACTTGAAATCAGTATTTGATAAATAGTGTTTACACTACAGAAATTATCAAATACTACAAACCAGGGTCTACCCCCCGCCCCCGAGAGCCAGTTGTTAAACATTTATCAGCATGCCACCGCATCTACCCAGAACGGCCTCTAGGCAAAACTGAAAACTAGGTAAAGTTCAGTTTTAGGCCTCCAGTCTCTCTCCCATGCTGAAAGTGTTCCTGCAATCTCCCCATCATCCTTATTCCAAAAGTGTCCAAGAATTCTCAAGGTTCTCTGCACACACACACACGCACACACACACACAATTTTACCAAGACTATTCTCTGGCTACTCATTTAGACTAAAGTGTAAATGACTGATAATGACTCAAAATGGAACCTAATCAGAAAAATTTGCATTTTGACAAGACTCTCATATTTAAATAAAAATAATGAGTCTCAGAAAGGAATATAAGACATCAGCCAGTGGGTGGGGCAGTGAGGGTGTCTCTAGGACCTTCCCAATATCCCTGAAATTACATCACATGGGAAATTGTCATCTCTGCCAAGCACGAAGTCAGCCATGTTTGTCCCTAAAATGAATCAGGCTACTCTTTTCCTTCTGTGATTCAGGACGCTTCTCTACGACCCATGCTGTCGGCCGCCTCAAACCTTACTGTCCTCGTGCCTTCACAACAAGCTATTGAGGACATGGACCAAGATGACAAAACCTTTTGGTTGTCAAAGAGCAATGTTCCAGCCCTAATAAAGTAGGTATCATGTATTTTATTCTTCATAATCTCTTACTGTCACCAGTGTGAACATACCTTGGAAGTTCAGTGTAGGGAAGCCACATGGTCTTTCAAATCCATGGAAATGAGCATGCTCTAGGACCCTCCTCTGCTCTCTCGCCAGGATAGGAATACTTATTAAACCAAACCCCATTACCGTCGAGTCGATTCCAACCCATAGTGACCCTACATAAGACCAGTTAACAATTATTGTCGGCCAACTCTGTGGCAAGCACCATTCTAAGTGCTGCACATATAACTCAGCGAATTCTCAACACAACCCCATGAGTATTATAATTTCCATTTTACAGATGTGAAAACTAAGGCACAGGGTGGTTAGGTAACTACCCCCAAGGTGTCATGGCTGATCATTGCAGGGTCAGAATTTGAACCTGGAATTCTGGCTCCAAAGCCTATGCTCTGTGGTCCTCAATTATACTACCTCTTGCATTGATATTTAATTATAGCCCTTATGGACTGTTGTTTTAGATACCATACGCTCCTGGGCACGTACGGGGTGGCAGATCTGCAGACTCTGTCGTCGTCTGACATGCTGGCAACATCTTTGCAGGGCAACTTTCTCCACCTGGGGAAAGTGGATGGGGTAAGAGAGCTCTGTAATTGGTCTGCTTAGTTGGAACATGTCACATATGTTCATCTTGTACTTCTAAAATTTTTGTGTCATGGAAATCTTCAAATATGAGCAAAAACAGAAACAAATAGTAAAATAAACCTTCATGTAGGCATCACCCAACTTCAATAATTATTTATGTATATTGATACACACACACACATGCCTCTCTAGCAGTGACCCTATAAAATGCGACCCTCTGCTACCAGGCTCCTCCTGACGGACCAAAGACTGATCCAGAAAGGCAAAGCTTTCCATTTTTCTGAGTGAAGGATGTGTAATTTCACAACTTTTATTGGTTACTAGCAACCTACTAATTAAATCATTATAGATAACTAAAATGTTATATTAAGTTAGGATCAGTCAGCCAACAAGTATTTATTGAGCACCTCCTATGTGCCAGGCACTGATGGAGTTGCTGGAGATGGGGCAGTACACAGGGAAGTGCTGAGCCCTGGCAGAGCGATGTTCTGGTGCTATTTCAGTGTGTCAAGGACTCGGATTCTATCTCCACCAGGAAGTCCTCCCGCACATAGCACTAACACTCTTTTTATGAATCAGACACGATAAAAATGGAGGTTCTTCTGGAGAATTGCTACATCAATAGACCGTGAGCCATATTTCAAAAGTGTTTGAGAATCAGTGCTCTAAAGCCTTTCTATCTTCCTGCTCATCAGTGTGAGCACTGTGAAGAGGGTCTATACCTATCACTACCAGTTGCTGTGATGTCAATCCCAACTCATGGCGACCCCATGTGTGTCAGAAGAGAACTGTGCTCCACAGGGTTTTCAATGGCTGATCTTTCAGAAGTAGATGGCCAGCCTTTCTTCCAAGGTACCTCTGGGTGGACTTGAACCTCCAACCTTTCAGTTAGCCGTCGAGCATGTTAACCATATGCACTACCCAGGAGCCCCCAAGTCTATGCCTAGTATTACCTAAATATATGTGGTTCATCAGATAATTTCTTTTATGGAGCAGAAAACGGTTCTATCTGGGCCCTTGGATTTTTACATCTTATTACAATAATTCCAGTACATTAACATATGTCAGACACAGCGGTCATTCTGCATCAGTGTGTTAAATCATTGGTTCTCTCAGCAAGCATTAACTGCACACCCACTCTGGGCAAGCGTATCCCAGGCTCTATAGATTCAAAGATAAGTCAATGAAGGCCCCTGACCTGGAGAAGCTAACCATCAAAGACACATATTTAATGAGTTAATTCCTTTGTCTGATATAAATGTCTCCCTTGAACCACAAGAGATGTGCAAAGTGGACTTGTGAACTGCTCAGAATGAGGAAGTCCCCTTCTCCACCCCAGGGTCCCCATAGGAATTTCAGCTAAAACGTAATGGTGGGAGAAGAGGCACCATAGAAGGTGGATCCCAGTTGCTGTCTTGGTTGGTTGGTGAGTGGATAGTTAGGCTGATTTTTACTTAGCTCTACTCATTTAATTAAAAAATAATTTTTTTAATGTCTGAATTCCAACCAAGGAAGTCAGTTATGGTCTACAGTGTTTTTCAAACTGTGGGGTCAAGTTTTCATTTTTTAATGAAATAGAATGGGGTGAAATAGAATCAAAATGATCAAAGTGCCACTCATACAGGAGGGAAAAGGACTATGTCATTCCAGCTACTGTCGGGGGGGAGGGATGTGTAATGGGTCACAACTTAAAGATATTTCTTACTGAGTGTCATGGTCCAAAAAGTGTGAAAATTACTGCTGCTCAAAAAGTGGAAAAACCCAGAAATAATTTTAATCTCTAGAGGTACTCCTAAGCAACTCACTTTCTCACTGTGGTTTGCGTTTACAGAATATCACAATTGAAGGAGCTTCCATCATCGATGGTGACAACACAGCCACAAATGGAGTGATACACATCATCAACAAGGTACAAGATCCCGTCATCCTATGCATGTAGCACTTCTTCTGTCTTTGTTATTTATCCTCCTGCACAGTATCTTTTTTGGGAAAAAAGAAAAGACTTAGCCTTTATATAAAAGTAAGCTGTGTTGTTCTTCATTACTTTTTATTCTAAAAGCATTTATAGGTTCTATTCATTCAGTTAGACTCAGTTACCATTTGCTCAGCCTATATTCTATAAAAGGAGCCCTGGTTGTGCAGTGGTTAAGCACTCAGCTGCTAACCAAAAGGTTGGCGGTTCAAACCCATCAGCTGCTCCACTGGAGAAAGACGTGGAAGTCTGCTTCCATAAGGATTACAGCTTTGGAAACTCTGTGGAACAGTTCTGGTCTGTCCCATAGGGTCGCTATGAGTTGGAATCGACTTGACGGCAACAGGTTTTGTATTCTACAAAAGGCCCTATTCTAAATGTGGTCATATGTATTATCACTCTTATTTATGGAAACGCCTTATAAGGCACATAAGGGCCCTAATGCTGGGAAACAGATGGGATTATAATCAAGAACTAGGGGGGAGCCAACGGTTATGTACCACTTTCCACATCCTTCTCTGCATTTCTGCACCCTAAAAAGATGGGGTGGGGAAGATCCTAGAAAAAAATGGAAAAAGACAGAAAAAAGTATTGCGAGATTTTCATTTTCTTCTAAGACCCAATTCCATAGTATTCACAGGTATGAAGTAGGGGGAAAAAAGATTAGGGAAAATGGGGTTTTAAGCTACTCTGTAATTTTCAGTTAGCTATATTAAGGTCTCCATTTAAAATTAAAATCAGAATTAGGCTATACTGTGAACTTTTGGGAGGTGACAGATTAGAAAAACCAATTAACTAATCGCATTTTAACTAAAATTGTTCTCACTTTGTACTTTCTACCTACTTGCGCTTTTTTAATTTTAAGTTAAAGAAAAGGTCAACCATTTCAGTTCAGCAAAAAGGGGCTGTTCATCAGACTCTGGGTGCATTATTGTGCAAAGCTCTTGTCAGCCTCCTTTATTACCAAGAGGCATTGAGAAGTACGTTTTTGAGCAAATGATTGATCGTTTGTGGGCAACTATGCCGGTCTTATGACTTCATATTATGCAAAGTAGTATTACTTGTTAAGGGTATTTTTTCTTCTCCAATCCTGACTTTCCAAAGTACTAAAAAATCTTTAAACAAGATAGAACAAAAACATAAAATTATCTCTCCTTCTCACTTACATTTTTTGATTGACACAACCTCATTTGCTAGAGTGGCACCTCAATCCATCTCCTACATGGAATATTATTATCATAGTAGACAGTTCAAGTCCCTCCTCCTCTCTGGAGCCTTCGCTGATCCCCACAGTTCATGTCACTAACCCAACATATCAAAAGGGTAAGTTCTAGGGTCAAATAGAATCTGGGTTCAGGCACTTCTCTAGCTGTGTGACCTTGGGCAAGTTACATAACCGCTCTGAGCCTCATTTTTCTTCCCCTGTGAGGATTAAATGACCCCATTTCTCTCGGTGCCTGCTGCCTAGTTAAAAAAAAAAAAAAAAACCTGTCGCCACTGAGTCAATTCCAACTCAGAGCGACCCTATAGGACAGAGTAGAACTGCCCCATAGGGTTTCCAAGGAGAGGCTGGTGGATTTGAACTGCTGACCTTTTGTTTAGCAGCCAAGTGCTTAACCACTGTGCCACCAGGGCCCCTGCTGCCTAGTAGTCCCTCGAAAAAAATACTGGGCTTGTTTTCTTTCTCCTTCCTCTGAAAAATCCCATGGGATTTTTTCGTATAGAATTCAGTTTGCGTAACTATACTCTCTTATATTGATAGTTGCTCCTTATCGGTGTAAGTCCTGAACCCCTATATGATGACATGCCCCAGAGGGGTAAGGCTGCCTCTTCTCTTTATCCCTCTTAAGCACTAGCATCTCACCATGTGCACAGTAAAAATTATTGCGTGCCCCCTGTGTGCTAGGCACTGTGCCAAGTGTCAGGCATCACATTCTCTCATTTGGTTTTTACAACAACCTTAAGAAAGTAGGTGCTGTTATTGTCCTAATTTCACAAATGAGAAAATGGAAGCTTAGCTTGGCTGAGTAACTGGACTGAGGTAGAAGTTATATGAACACACAAAATTCATGGGTGCATATCTATTGGTTCAAGTTTCTGCTTAGCCTCTAGGTTGCACTGGCCCCCTAAAAAGCCCCTTCTATAGCTGTCCACTGGGCATTGTAATCACCTTTGTCAGGGCTGCCATGTCCACTTGTGCAAGTTATGCCCTGCATAAAGGTGCCTGGCCAAGGGGATCAATGGGGCTAACACCTAGCCCATGTCACTCCCCATTTTGTGTGCTCGTGTTTGTAGTTGTAAACTCCCAGAGAAAGGGGCGCCTTTTTTAAATTTGTAGAGACACTCTATGGACTAGCACTGGCTCTCATATTGCGTATTGTCATGTGATGTGGATGTGCAGGCTTTTGTCAGCACCATCAAGTTCTACCAGACCATCTCCTCATAGCTTCAGAATTAGCCACATCCCATCTAATCATCCCAAGCTCTCACTCCCCACGTCAGCTCCATAAACTCAGAAATGTGTTTGTCTTCCTCTAATACAAGAGATTGGCAGACTTTTTCCATAAAGGTCTAAATGGCAAATATTTTAGGCTTTGCAGGCCATATGGTCTCTGTCACAACTGCTCAACTCTGCCATTGTGGCACAAGAGCAGTCATAGACAATACATAGACAAATGGGTGTGGCTGTGTTCCAATAAACCTTTATTTTCAAATGCAGACAGCAGACTATATTTGGCCCGTGGGCTGAAGTTTGCTGACCCCTGTTCTAATGACTGTCATCTCCTTGAGAGAAGAACCCAGGCCTCAATCACATTTGTATATCCCCTACCTGGCCTATAATGTTGTTGTGTGCTGTTGAGTCCATCCCGACTCATAGTAACCCTAAAGGACAGAGTAGAACTGCCCCATAGGGTTTTCTAAGTTGTAATTTTTATAAGAGCAAATTACCAAGTCTTTTCCTCCGTGAAGTGGCTTGTGGGTTCGAAACGCCAACCTTTTGGTTAGCAGCCAAGTACTTAACCATTGTGCCACGAGGGCTCAGTAAATGTTGGTTGAAGACTGATTGAATTAGAAAAACTTTCCAATTTTGGATTCTTCAATCTGAGAAGATTCTATGTAGGATGAGAAGATGGAAATAGTTATCTTGTCCAGAAGGTTAATCATGCAGGGCTTGAAAACTCAAATGCCTGTATGGATCAGATAGATGATAAAAATGAGTGAGAGGAGGTAGGAGAAGGCATTAGGGAGTGGTGGGGACTGTAACTAAAGGCGCTGCAGCTACTCCCTGCAGCTGTATGTTGCCTTCAGGAATGAAGACTGATGTTTTCAAACAGAAGTCAGAAAACCAGATTTTTTAATAAAAATTCCCTATTTTTATACACTGTGTGAGCCAAACGAAACCTTTCACAAGCCAGATTCAGCCTTCTGGTTTGCAGTTTAAGACTTCCAGGTTAATAGACAGATAATGATAAAACCTGAAGAATACACAAATGAACAACAACAAAATGGATTTAAGCTACAGCCTGTAGGATTTCAGTTCGATTTATAGGGCCTTTCCTGAGCCCTGGTGACACAGTGGTTAAAGTACTCGACTGATAACTGAAAGGTAAGCAATTTGAATCCATCAGCCACTCCACTGGAGAAAGATGTGGCAGTCTGCTTCCGTAAAGATTTACAGCCTTGGAAACCCTATGGGGCAGTTCTACTCTGTCCTGTAGGGTTACTATGAGCAGAATCAACTCAACTGCAACAGGTTTTTTTTTCCCCCGACAGTGTAGAGTAATGAAAGTTGGAATGTGTTACTGCAGGGGAACTATAAAATCTTTTCTGTAAGGTGAAATTTTCTCTAATCGTTGAGATTTAAGGGCTAGACATAAAACTGAACTAATAACATCACAAAGTCCCTTCCAGCCTTGTCACTCAGTGTCCAAGAATGTTTTTAGTTTGTGCGTAATCTTCAAAACATTTTTAATGTCAATTCCTTTGATTGCCTAAAAAGGTTAACGGGATGTTTCTGTGCATTGCCAAGCAGCAAGTCCTATAGAAATGTGCTCACAGAATTCTTGGGCTTCCTTTGCCAGGTTCTGATTCCCCAAAGAAGTCTAACTGGCTCCTTACCAGGCCTGCTCGCCCGGCTGGATCAGATGCCTGGCTATTCCATCTTCCGGGGCTACATCATTGTAAGTACCACGTTCTCTGCATGACCAACTTGGTCAGTTGACCTGGGAGTGGAGATCCCTCACGCGCTCTTGTCTCTTTCCATCACAGCAATATAACCTGGCGAATGCAATCGAGGCTGCCAGTGCTTACACAGTGTTTGCTCCAAACAACGATGCCATTGAGAAGTACATCAGGGAGAAGAAGGTTGCAACACTAGTAGGTATTGGGAACAATAATCAGGGAAATTATTTTCTGAAAACTAAGACACTCAACATTTTCAAGCCATCGATATATACCATTTTACTCATTTTATCAAAACTTCCTCATCCATATCCAGATACTTCACACAAACTTGTGTGGAGACTCCCTAACACACATAACCTTGTGCCAGAGCTGCCCATATATTGGCGTGTACCCCTGAGAGCTCATACTTGGTTCCATATACACTAGGATGCAGATGTCCCAGGAAGCTGGCATGATCTTTCTTCATGGTTGCCTGTTGCTATGATGCTGAACAGGTTTCAGAAGAGCTTCCAGACAAAGACAGACTAGGAAGAAAGGCCTCATGATCTACTACCTCTTCTCCCTCCCTGGCCTCTCCCTGGCCCCGGGCAGCTGAGATGTCAGCAGCAGGGACCTAAAAGGAGTAAATCATCTCTATCTTCCTCCTCTTCTCTCCCTCTCTGTCTTCCCTGATTCCTAACATCTAGGGGTAAACAGCCAACATTTGTCAAAGGATTTCATAAAATAATAAAAAGCTTCAATCGTGCCACTTTCTGGCTCAAAACTCTTCAGTGGATCCTTAGTTCTTGCAGGACTAAGTCCAAACTACCTCACCAGGCATTTAAGGCTCCAGTAAACTGGCTCCATAAAGTGGCTCCATAAACTGGCACCAGAACTTTCATACAGGAAGGGCTCAGGGCTGCCCACTGCACAATGAAAGGAAGTGTTTGAAGCTGTGTGTGCATGACAAGCACCTTGTTTTCACTTACATCTTTATGTAGGGTGGCTGAGATGACGATGCTAATGAGATGGGAACTGGCAGTTAAAGCCCCTCTGTCTAAGCCATCCTTGGGCCCACCACTATCTCCCACCAGTTCTCTGCAAAAACCATGTGGTCTAACCAGAGTAATCATCTCATGGAGCCTGAACACACCAAGGACGTTTCTCTCTTGGTGCCTTTGCTCAAATTTAAAAAAACCAGTTGCTGTAAAGTCGATGTCAACTCATGGCAACCACGTGTGTGTCAGAGTAAAACTGTGCACCATAAGGTTTTCCCTGTATTATGCTTCCACGCGCCTCCCCAATTTCATTAAATGTAGTTTTGGTCTCACCGGGTTTGAACTTGAGGAGCAGCAAGTGTTGGTGGTTAAGAAGAGACATTAAGAGGGCTGGAAAGTTCTTATCTGACTGGTATTGTCATGATATATTGTTGTTGTTAGGTGCCATCGAGTTGGTTCCAACTCATAGTGACCCTATAGGACAGAGTAGAACTGCCTCATAGGGTTTCCAAGGAGCGGCTGGTGGACATGAACTGCCAACCTTTTGGTTAGCAGCCAAGCTCTTAACCACCATGCCATCAGGGCTCCATGATATGGCATTGAACTTTCAGGGCCTGGCAAGTGCTTAAAACTTAATGCCTCTCTGGTGGACACTGTCATGAGTTCTTTGGAGATGCCACACATCATCCATGGTCTTTGACTTGTTATTCCCTCAAACTGTGTTAATGCTCTCTATTCCTGCAGTCACTTATTCCCTCCTCAGACCCTAAGAATCCAGAGATCACGTCCAGCTTTTCCTCTGGAGAAGCTCGTCCACCCTTCTAGGCAGCCATATTGGATAAGACCTATGGCACCAGCACTCTCAGACACAGCCACACAGCTGGTCCTCAGGAAATGCACACACTCTCTTGTCCAAGCCAACTCCAGGAATGCTGTCCTATACCAGTGCAGCAACAACTCTCCTCACTCCATGACTGATCAGTTCACCAGTCATCTCTGGATTATAAGATTTCTCACACTTGAGTCAGACTCCAGTTCCACATGACACTCTATCTTCAGGGGACACAGATCAAACTCTTTGAAATGTGCTGTTGAACCTCCTCTCATGACCCCTGAGATGAAAAGCAGGCTGGGGTGTGGGGACTCTGTCTTCATCAGCAGTTCTCAAAATAAAAAAAAAAAAATTTTTTTTTTTTAAATTCCTCTCTAGACTATTATACCCTTAGTCATGGTTTTAGAGTCATGTAACAAGTTCTTGGCCATTCTGCTTAGAAAATTTGCAAGTTCCCCTAGGTGATCTCTTTCAAAAATCATTTTGGTATTTAATATGTATTGTGTGTTGATGTCTGTCTTAGCCTTGGATCTCTAGAGAAGCGAAACCAGTAAAGTGTAGAGAGAGAGAGAGAGATTTATATCAAGGAAATGGCTCATGCAGTTTTTAGAGGCTGTATGTCCCAAGTCTGAGGGGTAGGAAAGAGGATTCTCCTGACACATAGCCGAAGGGGCTGGCAAACCCACGATTGGCAGGCCAGAGAGCAGGGCTGTAGCAGGCTGTGAAGATCAATGAAATCTCAAGATCGGCAGGTAGGCTGCTAGCGCAAGTCCCAAGAACCAAAGGTCAGATGAACAAGGGCCAACTGCAGCATTTAGAACAAGCAAAAAACCCTGGCAAGGCAAGCAGGAGGGAAGTAGGTGGAGAATGGAGAAGAGAGAAGGCTGAGGGGGCAGTGAGCTGCCACAGGCCCTGCTCCTGCCAGTACCACTCAGCAGATTCCATCACGGGGGTGATCACATATCAGATTTCAACAGGGAAGTGATCACAACATTATACAACTGACAAAACACTGAGAATCATGGCCCACCCAAGCTGACATACAATCTTAACCATCACAATGTCTCAATCAAAGCTTTCAGTTCAACAAGTGCCTGGCACTTTGGCGAAACCTGGTAAGTGACTGGTGACAGGCTGACTTTCAATCCTTTGTGTTGTCCAGGAGGAGGATGTCGTTAGGTACCACGTGGTCCTGGAGGAGAAACTCCTGAAGAACGACCTGCACAATGGCATGCACCGGGAGACCATGCTGGGTTTCTCCTACCTCCTTGGCTTCTTTCTCCGCAATGACCAGGTGCAGTCCCTTTATTTAAAACTCCCAAAATGAGTGTCTTAGCTTCTATTATCCGTCATCACTTCTGTACTGGAATAATCTCACCAGTGCTTCCTAAGCCTTATCAACAAAAGACAGCTGTGTTTCACCATAAAGTAGTGACTAAACTAGATTCTCAAGTTCCCATTTACCTTCCCTGTTGACAGCCTTCAGATAATCAGTGTAGACTTATGAAGTATGGTATTTGAATCCCAGCAGTCACTGGTACAACAAACCCATCACAGTTCTCACGCAATCTCCAAGAGGGAAGGGAGCCTGAGGTGCCCAACCAAACTCCCAGAAAGTGGGACTTCAGGGCATAATGAACCTAATGACATACGAAGGACTCAGGAGCCAAGTGAATTAATATTGCTATCATTGCTTGATCATAGAGATTGCAGTCCTAGAGCCAATGGACCGCCAAGCCTGTCTTCCAGTATTTATTTCACATAATACCTACATATCTAAGTGTTTAGAATTCATAAAAAAGAACTAGATGAAATATTTAATATATTTTAAATATAATTGTATTCACGTATTTCAGACATCAAGTACAAAGGTTAATATGAAAATCCAAAAAGAAACCCACAATGGAATTCTAATATAAATTCTCACAGGAGGAATTAATAAAAACATTATCTAAGGTAAACTAAGTAGTATATTAAAATGAAGAAAGTTTAATTATAAAATTTTTAATCAATCATATTATTTGATCCTTTTAAAAAGTAAAATCTTAAAAATTTGTTCAATGATGTCATCACTGAATCACAAGTAAATTTTTGTGTGAAAATCTTTTAACTGCTTAGGGAGAAAGTAAGTCTTTCTGACTCATAGTTACCTGTGGGGAATAAGCTAAATCTAAATATTTTACTCTGATTCCTAAAAATAATCCCTTCTACTGCATATGTAATAATTGTGAGAAAATCTTTTAAATACATTTTCTTCTTTTTCCAGGAATGGCAATTTTGTTATTTTTAGCATTCATTTTGTTTTTATCTACATCTTCTTTAATTTCATCATGTAGAGGTGCATAGTTAGTTGAATCAATTTCAATACTGCCATGTTCATTTTCCATTTATTTGAAAATTCTTTGATCTAGAGCAAGAATTATTCTTATAATAGAGGTTTGTTTTATTGATACTCACTTTCTCTTAGGACAATGGAAATGTAGAAAAATGCCTTCTAAATGAATAAACTTGTGTTCAAATAAAAATTTTAATGCATCCCATAATTCTCTGGATGCATCTCATGATGAAAATGATACATATTTTTTTAAATGTCAAGTCAGAGGTATTACAGCCTCAGAAGTCCTGCTATTGTGGTATTTAACAATAGCTCATCATCTTGAAATACTGGAAAATCTGTATTACAATCACCATTTGACAGCACCAGTAAAGTCTGTGCAAGAGTTCCAAATCTTCACAAACCCTGGAACATCTCCATAGAGCTCAACTACAAACTTATCCCAACACCTAAGTGGAAATTCACATGACTACAAGTAAACAATAAGGGACTTTAACAAACAGTAGAAGTTCAAATTTAAGCACTTGGTAGAGTCATTTTAATATTGCTGCAGTGGAGAGTGTCAGGGCTGTTATTTAAAAATGTTTAACTCTTATTGGATACTAATGTGATACTTGCTTAGTACAATAGTCTCCCCCTTCCCAAATCTCAGCCATGCTACACTTATACACACACACCACCCCAGTTTTTCAGGGAACCATTTCTTCCCATTGTATTAGTTATATTAATGAATGAATTAATGGGTTCACTTATTTTGCATTAATTACTCATTAAGGTATTCCCTCCTTAAAAAATCAAAACAAAACAAATCACAACTCAAAGCTGAATTTGAGTTGGCAGCATTTTGATACTGACATAGTCCCCATCTTGGATGCTTATGAACATAGTAGGCAAAGGCAGAACCAAACATACCATGCATTCCAACAAAGCCCCAAGGGAAACATGAGGTAATGGAGACCCCATACTGGGAAATGATATGAGACTGTCTTGATCATAGAGATTTTATAAACTCTGAAACACTCCACAAATGCTAGTTATTTTATTCTTACATAACTGTCATGTAGACTTTCTGAGGATTGTTTGCAAATTAAGCACAAAGTAGAGACATTCTAGAAGGACAATGAGCTTCATTCTTCATGTCTTGGTTTTGGGAGACATTAACCCCTCTAGGACTCCCAGTCTACAGCAAAGCTCAGCATGTCCATGGAGCCATCTTGCCAAAAGGCACTAACATAATGATCATGATTCAGTCGCTTTCAAAGAATCATAAATCTATTTATGTGAAGGATGGAGAGAAAGCTTAGGGATGATCGAGAACAGCCCCTTCCTTTTACAAAAGCAAAAATTGAGGCTCGGAGAGGAGAAGCAACTGGTCCAGAATTACACAGCTAAATGGTGGCAAAGACGATCCCTCCGCTATTGTCATATTGATATCCTCCAATCCCCATCTTCCCCATCCCCTTAAAATCACTACAATAAAAATTCACATTTAACCCTCTTGTTCACAGCTCTATGTAAATGAAGCTCACATAAACTACACCAATGCAGCCACTGACAAGGGAATAATCCATGGCTTGGAGAAAGTTCTGGAAATTCAGAAGAATAGATGTGATACTAACAACACTATTATTGTTCGAGTAAGTTACATCCAGGGCCAATGATGCAACTAAAGAGTGTTGGATTATTTTTTTTATCATTTTTTTAAGCATATGACTCTCCTATTAAGAGATCTCAATTCAGTTCAAAAAACATCGAGTGTTGAATATCTCTGATGTGCCAAGGAGCATACCAGGCTGTGGCTCTACAAAGACAAATTATGTGCCAGGCACTGCTCTAAACATTTTACATGTATTAACTCATGTAGTCCGCACAACACCCTATGAAGTAGGTGCTGTTATTCCCATTTTACAGATGGGGGAAATGAGGCACAGAGAGTTTACACAGCTATAAGTGACAGAGAAGGGGTTTAAATCCAGGCAGTCTGGCCCCAGAGCGAGAACTCTGAACAACCACACTATACTGTCCAGTAGATACCAGATTAAGAACTAGATATATTGGCCTCCTCATGTTTTAGGAGCAAGTTGCACTTTAAGAGTTTCAGACATTCTTTTATGCTCCTTTGTCTTGTAATATTATCTCTGTGGGCTGTCTCCACCCTGCACTCCTCAACCGGACCATGAGCTCCTTAAGGCTGGACACTGTGTGTGACACATCCTCTTAGTCTGAATCTTGCCCAATTCACTAAATAGTGGATTTCAATAAATGAGTATTGTTGTTAAAGGAATTAGGATTTAAATGTGATAAGAACTACACACTTTAAAGGCTATTAAGCTCAGAAGAGTACTGTGGAGGGAAACGATACTCAAACGTCCAAGACCTGAGGTAGCTGGAGTGCTTGCCTCAAAGAACATTAAGAAGGATGACCAGGTGGTCTTCCCAATATCTTTCCAATTTTTAATTTTATATCCTAAATCTTTCAGCTGCAAGGTCTGGAAAATATCTACAGTTTCATTTTGCACTAAAGTTACCCATTACTCATTGCCATCTAGTTGATTCTGAGTCATAGTGACCCTATAGGACAAGAGTAGAACTGCCCCACAAGGTTTCCAAGGAGCACCTAGTGGATTTGAACTCCTGAACTTTTGGTTAGCAGCTTGAGCTCTTAACCACTGTACCACCAGGGTGCTACTAAAATTAGTGACCTTGAATTATTTTCTTTGCCTCTACTTACCAAGGGAAAGTGTGGGAAGTGTCTCCAGCAGCTGATCTGTCCACTTGGAACTAAACGACTGGTAAGTATTTTCTCCACTTTGATAAAATAGTCCTAAGATCCAAGGGAAGTCCAATTTAGAAATTGAGTCTCAAACATACCTCATTTTTTACTATCCTAATTCCTTCCTTTGGTTTTCATTTAAATGTAATGTAACTTGTAATGTTGTATGAATCTTTATAAACAGTCTTGAACCCTTTTTTTTTTTTTGGAACCAAGGCAAAATGTAATTAATAAATAAAATAGAAACTCATATCAATCAATACACATTGCAGAAAGGGGTTTTTCACTTTCTACATCTTTAATATCCTGGTATCCAGTTAAAGGCAGCAGCAAGAAATCTTATTAGAGAAGACAAACTCCATATCCCAAATCATGTTCAGCCTGGATGAGTTCTACCTGCCTGATTTCTTCTTAGAGTTGAAGTTACAACCAACTTCCTCTAAGGAAACAGATTGTAGATCTGGGTGAAATAGACACGTTGTTTAATTAATCACTGATCTATTTTATTATAGCTGTTTATTGTAAAAGCTACTTCTGATAATGCTGCAGCTACTACAAAGAATAAATGCTTCTGCCCCTTTGATAGTAATTTATAACAAGAATGAATGCTGATTTACTCACTTGAGTTTTAATTTAATCTGATATATTATATGTCTTTGTAAACAACCTTCAATCATTTCTCGGACCCAGGTAGGATACTGCTGTTAGGTGCTGTCAAGGCAGTTCTGACTTCTAGTGACCCCTATATACAACAGAACGAAACACTGCCCGGTCCTGCACCATCCTCACAATCATTGTTATGCTTAAGTCCATTGTTGCAGCCACTATTTCAATCCATCTTGTTGAGGGTCTTCCTCTTTTTCAATGACCCTCCACTTTACTAAGCATAATGCCCTTCACTAGGGACTTGTCCCTCCCAATAACATGTCCAAAGTATGTAAGACGAAATCTCACCATACTTCCTTCTAATGAGCATTCTAGCTATACTTCTTCCAAGACAGATTTGTTTGTTCTTCTGGCAGTCCGTGGCATATTCAATATTCTTCACCAACACCATAACCCAAAGGCATTAATTCTTCTTCGATCTTCCTTATTCATTGCCCAGCTTTCACATACATATGAGGCAACTAAAAACACCATGGCTTGGGTCAAGCGCACCTTAGTCCTTACAGTGACATCTTTGCTTTTTAACACTTTAAAGAGGTCTTTTGCAGCAGATTTGCCCAATGCAATGCATCATTTGGTTTCTTGACTACTGCTTCAATGGGCGTTGATTGTGGACCCAAGTAAAATGATATCCTTGACAACTTCAATCTTTTCTCTATTTATCATGATGTTGCTTATTGGTCCAGCTGTGAGGATTTTTGTTTTCTTTATGTTGAGGTGTAATTCATACTGAAGTCTGTAGTCTTTGATCTTCATCAGTAAGTGTTTCAAGTCCTCTTCATTTTCAGCAAGCAAGGTTGTGTCATCTGCATATCGCAGGGTGTTAATGAGTGTTCCTCTAATCCTGATGCCCCATTCTTCTTCATATAGTCCAGCTTCTCTGATTATTTGCTCAGCATACAGATTGAATAAGTGTGGTGAAAGGATACAACCCTGATGCACACCTTACCCGACTTTAAACCACTCAGAACTCCCTTCTTCTGTTCGAACGATTGCCTCTTGTTCTATGTACAGGTTCCTCGTGAGCACAATTAAGTGTTCTGGAATTTCCATTCTTCACAATGTTATCCATAATTTGTTACGATCCACACAATGGAATGCCTTTGCATAGTCAATAAAACACAGGTAAACATCTTTCTGGTATTCTCTGCTTTCAGCCATGATCCATCTGATATCAACAATGATATCCCTTGTTCCATGTCCTCTTCTGAATCCAGCTTGAATCTCTGGCAGTTCTCTCTTGATGTACTGCTGCAGCTGCTTTTGAATGATCTTCAGCAAAATTTGCTTGTGTGTGATATTAATGATATTGTTCAACAATTTCTGCATTCTGTTGGATTTCCTTTCTTTGGAATGGATACAAATATGGATCTCTTCCAGTCAGCTGGCCAGGTAGCAGTCTTTCAAATTTCTTGACGTCTTTCCAGTGCTGCATCCTTCTGTTGAAATATCTCAATTGATATTCTGTCAATTCCTGGAGCCTTGTTTTTCACCAATGCCTTCAGTGCAGCTTGGAACTCTTCCTTCAGTACCATCAGTTCTTGATCATATGCTACCTCCTGATATGGGTGAATGTCAACCAATTCTTTTTGGTACAGTGACTCTGTGTATTCCTTCCATCTTCTTTTGATGCTTCGTGCGTCGTTTAATATTTTCCCTGCAGAATCCTTCAATATTGCAACTTGAGGCTTGAATTTTTCCTTCAGTTCTTTCAGTTTGAGAAATACCAAGTGTGTTCTTCCCTTTCAGTTTTCTATCTCTGGGTCTTTGCCCATTTCATTATATTTTACTTTGTCTTCTCAAGCCGCCCTTTGAAATCTTCTGTTCAGCTCTTTTACTTCATCATTTCTTCCATTCCCTTTAGCTACTTTATGTTCAAGAGCAACTTTCAGAGTCTCTTCTAACATCCATTTTGGTCTTTTCTTTCTTCTCTGCCTTTTTAATGACCTTTTGCTTTCTTCATGTACGATGTCCTTGATGTCATTCCACAACTCGTCTGGTTTTCAGTCATTAGTGTTCAATGCATCAAATCTGTTCTTGTGATGGCCTCTAATTTCAGGTGGGATATACTCAAGGTTGTACTTTGGCCCTGGTGGTATTGTTCTTCAGCTTCAACTTGAACTTGCATATGAGCAATTGATGGTCTTTTCCACAGTCGGCCCCTGGCCTTGTTCTGACCGATGATATCGAGCTTTTCCATCATCTTTTTCCACAGATGTAGTCAATTTGATTCCTGTGTATTCCATCTGGCGAGGTTCACATGCATAGTTGCCATTAATGTTGTTGAAAAAAGGTACTTGCAGTGAAGAAGTCATTGGTCTTGCAAAATTCTATCATGCAATCTCCCATGTCGTTTCTATCACCAAGGCCGTATTTTCCAACTACCAATCCTTCTTTGTTTCCAACTTCTGCATTCCAGTTGCCAGTAATTATCAGTGCATCTTGATTGCATGTTTGATCAATTTCAGACTGCAGAAGTTGGTAAAAATCTTCAGTTTCTTCATCTTTGGCCTTAGTGCATGGTGCATAAATTTGAATAATAGTCATATTAACTGGTCTTCCTGGTCGGCATATGAATATTATCCTATCACTGGCAGCACTGTACTTCAGAATAGATCTTGAAATGTTCTTTTTGATGATGAACACGACACCATTCCTCTTCAACTTGTCATTCCTGGCATAAGTAGACCATATGAATGTCTGATTCATAATGGCCAATACCAGTCTATTTCAGCTCACTAATGCCTAGGATATCGATGTTTATGTATTCCATTTCATTTTTGACAACTTCTAATTTTCCTAGATTCATACTTCATACATTCCAGATTCCAATTATTAATGGATGTTTGCAGCTGTTTCTTCTCATTTTGAATCTTGCCACATCAGCAAATGAAGGAGCCAAAAGCTTTATTTCATCTATGTCATTAAGATTGACTCTACTTTGAGGAGGCAGCTCTTCTCCAGTTGTATTTTGAGTGCCTTCCAACCTGAGAGGCTCATCTTCTGGAACTATATCAGACAGTGTTCCACTGCTCTTCATAAGGTTTTCACTGGCCAATTTTTTCAGAAGTAGACTGCCAGGTCCTTCTTCCTAGTCTTGGTCTGGAAGCTCTGCTGCAACCTATCCACTAAAGTGACCCTGCTGGTATTTGAAATACCAGTGGCAGAGCTTTCACTATCACAGCAACATGCAAGCTACCACAGTACGACAAACTGACACATGTGGTAGACACTAGGTAGGCTATAAATCAATCAATCAATAAAAACCAAGTTTCAGGTCAATCAATGTACAATGCTGGTAGGAAAGTATTATCTGGTTTACTCTTTGATTCTTCCTAACTTGAGTTAGCCTCTAGAGAAAAGTTCTTTTTGCAGAGTACTACCTTAAAAAAACAAAAAACCAAACCAGTTGCTGTCAAGTCAGTTCCAACTCATGGTGACCACATGTGTGACACAGTAGAACCGTGTTCCATAGGGTTCTCAGTGGGTGATTTTTCAGAAGTATATTACCAGGGCTTTCTTTAGAGGCAGCACGGGGTGGGTTCAAACAGCCGACCTTTCAGTTAGTAGCCCAGCACTTAACCATTTGCGCACCCAGGGTCTTGAGTACTACCTTAAGGTATAATTATCTGGATTTTTCCACCTGGCCTTCTGGCAGCCAACACTGTTGTGTTTTTGTATTTTCTTGCTGATAAAGCAGTGCCAAGAAGCTATCACCCTTCCTCCCTAGAACATTTTAGTTGGAGACACAGCAATGCATCACCCACCAACTTGGTTTTAGAGATTGGAAAAAATTTTGTTTTCTTAACTAAAAAACTGATATAATCATTACTGTTACATAGGGCGAAGAGACGAGGAAATGTATCTATACCCTTTATTTCATGGGAAAGCGATCTCCGTTCATTGGGTGCCAGCCAATGTGTGTGAAAACTGTAATTGTGAGTATAATGATTTACTAATCCTTCTAATTATTGTAGCAATACTGTAAAACTTAATCGTATGTTATACTTTTCAAAGCACCTTTGCATGTGTTCTTTCTGCCACCTCCCCTTCCTCCTCATTGTCTTCATTATCTTTCTAAGTAGTAGTGGAAGTCATAAAACTCAGGACAACCCTATAAGTCAGAAAATGGGAAGAGGCTCCAATAACATTTACATGATGAAGAAATTGGAAGACTTAGAGGCTAAGAGGACCTCCTTGTTCTCACAAGAGGGTAGTTCTGGAAGCATGCTTATAAGCAAGAGACAGGAAGTGGACAGTTGCTAAGGAAAAAGGAGGTGGACCTGGTCATTTAGAAAATGGAACCCCAGAGCTAAGTACCTCTGGGCTGTAGCTTTAGAATCTGCAGGAAAAGTCTTTATAACTTCCTGTCCTGTTTCTCTACCATGCCTACCCGAGAAGAGACAAGATCCACTGGCCTTTAAGCTACAGAGTTTGGGGCCGAAGCAGACTGTGTTTTAATGTCCTCAGGAATGAAGCCAAACCCAAGCCAAACAGATACCCTTCCTACAGCTTCCCTGACTCATTTATAAAATGCCAAAGAAGTCACCCGCAGAGGTGACTGCTGGATAAAATAAGACAGGATACCAAGGGGCCCAAGTTTGGGAATGGTAAGGGTCCCTCAGTCCTCCTACCTTTCCAGCATCACTTGTGTTATCCTTTTGGTTTATTTCTGCTGCCTCTCCTTCTTTCTCATTTTTCTTCACTCTTTTCTCTTACTTGCCTTTTTCCTTTCCCTCTTTCCTACCTCCCCAGGGGAGGACTCAGTCCTGTCCTCAGCACCCCTGGAAACCGCTTAGCCTCCCCCAATACTCAGAGGGCTCTTTCCCCAACCCCCACTACCCCACCATGTAGGGTCAAAGAAGCAGGACACACACCATGTCACACCAGCAGGGTTTCTACATGGAGGTGGGTGAAAACAAAACATGGGAGTGTGGGTCAAGCCCTGTGCTTCCATTTCAGATGAGAGAATGCTGTGCAGGCTTCTTTGGTCCCCAGTGCCAGGCCTGCCCTGGGAAAGCTGGGAATGCCTGCTTCGGAAATGGAATCTGCTTGGATGGAGTGAATGGCACGGGCATGTGTGAGTGTGGAGAGGGCTTCAATGGGACGGCCTGTCAGACGTGCACCGAGGGCAAATATGGGATCCACTGTGACCAAGGTGGGCACCCTCCTCCCCAGGCCAGTCAGGCTCCTGAGCTCCGGGAACCAACTGGAATGTACAAGAGTGATTTGACACATGCTCCCTTAGTAGCCTGTCTTTCCAGGCAGGCTGGGTTCCCACCTGCTATTATCATTGTGAAGGCGCTCTGGTAGAGCAGTGGTTAAAGCGCTTGGCTGCTAACCAAACATCGGCTGCTTGAACCCACCAGCCATTCTGAGGGAGAAAGAGGTGGTAGTCTGCTTCCGTAAAGATTTATAGCCTTGGAAACCCCATGGGGCAGTTCTGCTCTGTCCTGTAGGGTCCCTACGAGTCCGAACTGACTAAACAGCAGTGGGTTTATCATTGTTAATTATAGGAACTTCTGCCTCGTGTAATTTGCATAGGGCAATGTTTCCAAACATTATCCATCACTAACCTGGAGCCCTGGTGACACGGTAGTTAAGTGATAAATGGCTGCTAACCAAAAGATCGGCCCTTGAAATCCACCAGCTGCTCCTTGGAAACCCTATGGGGCAGTTCTACTCTGTCCTATAGGGTCGCTATGTGTCGGAATTGATTCGACAGCAACGGATTTGGTTTTTTGGTTTTTAACCTGGACCTACCAACCCACCCCACAATCTGTTCCTTGACATTCCCCAAACCAACCATATGTTTCTGTATTTACCTTCACACTAGTCATCATAGTTACACTTTAAATTTTGGACATTGCTTGATAGATTGAAAAGCAGTTGTGCACACATTATCTCATTTAATCTACACAGGAATGTCATATACATGCGTATTGTTAGCTTCGTTTTACAGATGAGAAGATTAAGGCAAAGAAGTTAAATGACTTTCCCCTAAGTTTACAGGCTGTGATCTTGATGAGAGGCAGAACTAAGATTTGGATGCACGCTTAGATAGACTCAAAGCCCTGCTCTTAAGGCATGCTGTTCTTCATGTGAAGACGACTATTGATTGACCATCACAAGCCACATGCTTTAAGTTACTTTTACAGAAATAGTGATCCATTTGATCCAAGTCATCTGCATTCTTTGCCCTGACTTCCTTATGCCCAGGGACACACGCCTATGAGAGAGTTGACTGGAAAGGAGGGGTTTCTTAGTCCATGAAGAGAAAACAAAGCATTGCTCTACATAGCACTAAAAACCATAAACTTGACCTTGCTATCACTGTTTTCTCATCAGCTGGTCCAAGCCAAACAAAATTAATATATAATTGAGACTATTATAGTGCCAGTTTTGTCCGTGATGTGGAAGAATTACCTGCTTGCATTTGCACAGGGATTCCTAACCTGGGACCCAGGGATAAGCCTCATGGGATCCAGGAAAACCCTGAGGCTGGATGCCTTTTGGACAAAGGCATTCATGCCTTTCATCCGATTCTCAAAAAGGCTGAAGACCCTGCTGAGTAACAAAGCAACAGGCATTTCAGGCGTATATAAACTGATCTCAAATTGGCTTCTTTTTGAAGTCCACTCTTAGGGAACACATGTGGTTCCATCCAAAAGGCCCCCACCTAACCCTTGGTCCTCAGATAACCTTAGTTGAGGACACTCTTCATGCTGCTTGTGTCACTAACTCATACTGCTACACAGTCCCAAAACTATGGTCTGAATGGTCTTGTTGAAGCATGACCTGGTTCATCTGTTACCAACCTGCTAGACTCCATTTCCTATGCACCTGCCCTTCCCGTGAATCTAGCCCTCCATTAAAGGCAATGATTTTGAGGAATCAGGTTGAAGAATTAAGGGCAATGAAGTGAACTCTTGTAGTAAATCATAAATGAGCATGGTCAGACTGATTATTTGTGGGCATTTTTCCACTTAGTGTGTCCTTGTGTCCATGGGAGATGCAACCAAGGACCCTCTGGTGATGGCTCCTGTGAATGTGACATTGGCTGGCGAGGAGTGCACTGTAACATTGGTAAGCTTGACCCCTCAGTATTTATGATCCGTTCTTAGCCTCGCTTCTCAACAGCTACAGTTTTTCTCTTTCTAAAATGGAAATATAAGAAATTTCTCCTTACAGCAAGAAGTTTGTAAAAGAAAGAAAATAAAAATTACTCATCCTTCCAAAGTAAGAAATAACTCTTATTAATAGTTTGTGTTAACCTTCCAACCTTTTTCTAGGCATATAAATATATGTGTATGGAACTGTATGTTGAGGTGTAATCCATACTGAAGGCTGTAGTCTTTGATCTTCATCAGTAAATGCTTCAAGTCCTCTTTACATTCCACAACAAGGTTGTGTCATCTAATATCACAGGTTGTTAATGAGTCTTCCTCCAATCCTAATGCCACATTCTTTTTCATACACTCCAGTTTCTCAGATTATTTGCTCAGCATACAAACTAAGTATGGTGAAAGGATACAACCCTGACGCACACCTTTCCTGATTTTAAACCATGTAATATTCCCTTGTTCTGTTTGAACGTCTGCCTCTTGGTCTATGTACAGGTTCCTCATGAGCACAATTAAGTGTTCTAGAATTCCCATTCTTTGCAGTGTTATCCGTAATTTGTTATGATCCACACAGTCAAATGCCTTTGCAACATCATGATAAATGGAGAAAATATTTAAGTTGTCAAGGATTTCATTTTACTTGGATCCACAGTCAACACCCATGGAAGCAGTAGTCAAGAAATCAAATGACACATTGCATTGGGCAAATGTGCTGCAAAAGACCTCTTTAAAGTGTTCAAAAGGAAAGACGTCACTTTGAGGACTAAGGTGCACCTGACCCCAGCCATGGTATTTTCAGTCTCTTCATATGCACACAAAGGCTAGACAATGAATAAGGAAGACCAGAGAAGAATTGATGCCTTTGAATTATGGTGTTGGAGAAGAATAGTGAATATACCACAGACTTCTAGAAAAACAAACCTGTCCTGGAAGAAGTTCAGCCAGATAGCTCCTTGGAAGTGAGGATGGCAAGACTTTGTCTCGTGTACTTTGGACATGTTATCAAGAGGGATGAGTCCCTGGAGAAGGACATCGTGCTTGGTAAAGTAGAGGGTCAGTAAAAGAGAGGAAGACCCTCAATGAGATGGACTGACACAGTGGTTGCAACAATGGGCTCAAGCATAGCAGTGATTGTGCAGATGGCGCAGGACCAGGTGGTGTTTCATTCTGTTGTACATGGGGCCGCTATGAGTCAGAACCGACTCAACGGCACCTAACAACAACGACAATGAAACTATAGTCTACATACAGTTTTGTAACCTACTTTCCTCACTTCACATTACATCATGGGAATCTTTCCATGTGAATAAATGTAGATATACATCATGACTTTTTATATTTCTATGTAATATTCCATTAGATGAGTGCACCTGCTTTTTTAAACCAATTTGCTGCTTTCATCAACAATGCTTCAATGAATATCTAGTATATACATATTTTTGCATTTGTCTTAATACTTCATTTAGCTAAATTCCTAGAGATGGAATTCTGAGTCACAACTTGTACAAGGCAAGGTCATGGAAGCTCCATAGTCACATCCAAACTCCCTGAGGGACCAAATCGCTGGGCTGAGGCCTGTGGGGACCATGGTCTCGGGGAACATCTAGCTCAATTGGCATAACATAGTTTATAAAGAAAATGTTCTACATTCTACCCTGGTGAGTAGCGGCTGGGGTCTTAAAAGCCTGTAAGCAGCCATCTAAGATACTCCACTGTTCTCACCCCTTCGGGATCAAGGGAGAATGAAGAAACCAAGATACAAGGGAAAGATTGGTCCAAAGGACTAATGGACCACAACTACCACGGCCTCCACCAGACTGAGTCCAGTACAACTACATGGTGCCCGGCTACCACCACTGACTACTCTGACCAGGATCTCAACAGAGGACAAAATGTAGGACAAAATTCTAATTCAAGTAAAAAGACCAAACTTATTGGCCTGAGAGAGACTGGAGAAACCCTGAGAGTATAGCCCCCAGACACCCTTCTAGCTCAGTAATGAAGTCACTTCCGAGGTTTATCCTTCAGCCAAAGATTAGAAAGGACCATAAAACAAAACGAGACTAACGGGGCACAACAGCCCAGGTCAAGGACTAGAAGGCAGAGGGGACAGGAAAGCTGGTAATAGGGAACCCAAGGTTGAGACGGGACAGTGTTGACGTGTTGTGCGGTTGTTAACCAGTGTCATAAAAGAATATGTGTACTAACTGTTTCATGAGAAACTATTCTGTAAACCTTCATCTAAAGTACAATAATAAAATTAAAGAAAAAAAAAAAAAGAAGTTGGCACTTTGTGGAAAGGTTTTGCTATTTATTGCCAAATTGTTATCCAGAGGTTCTATCAGCTTGTTTTTCCCCCATCAGGGTCTGAGCAGACCCATTTCTCCTACCCCCACCACATTGCGCTGATGTTTCTTAATACACTCCAGGTGAGAGCAATGAGAGGGACGAGACTGTCAGGCTGAAAGAAGCACACGGAATGGCACAGAGATATGAGAATGCCCTGTACACTTAGGGAACCATAGGATTTCAAAATGAGAGCATGTAGGGGCAAAGAGTAAAGTTGAATGAGAAAAGGCTAGAGTGGTGGGCACGAGCCAGATCAGGAAAGACTAAGGAGGTTGGGCATTCTCCTAAAGCCAACAGGAAGCCATTAACCAGTTTTTAACAGGGAAGAAATGTGATCATATTTGCATTTTTGAAAGATCCTTCTGACACTGGATAGGAAAGAATACCTCTGGAAGCAGTTATCAGAAGTTACAGAAGCATCAGAAGTTACCTCTTCTGGGGTGGGGGCTGTAGAGGGAATCACAAGTGTCCACTAGCCCAGTGAGGGATTAGGGTTGTCAGAAGGTGTGTCCTTTTGGTGAGTGGCGTCTGGGGTCTTAAAAGCTTGCAAGTGGCCATCTAAGATGCATCAATTGGTCCCAACCACTTGGAGTAAAGGTGAACGAAGATCACCAAAGACACAAGGAAAGTATTAGCCCAAGAGACAGAATGGGCCACATAAACCAGAGACTTCATCAGCCTGAAACCAGAATAACTAGATGGTGCCCAGCTACCACCAATGAACATCCTGACAGGGAACACAACAGAGGGTCCCTGGTGGAGCAGTAGAAAGATGGGATGCAGAACTCAAATTCTAGTAAGAAGACCAGACTTAATGGTCTGACTGAGACTGGAGGTGCCCTGGAAAGCATGGCCCCTGGACCCTCTATCACCCCAGAACTAAAACAATTTCTGAGGCCAACTTTTCAGACAGGGATTGGACTGGACTATGGGACATAAAGTGATACTCATGAAGAATGTGCCTCTTAGTCAAGTAGATACAAGAGACCAAAGGGGCAGCTTCTGTCCAGAGGTGAGACGGGAAGGCAGAGAGAGTTAGGAGCTGGTTGAATGTTCATGGGGAATCAAGAGCAGAGGGGAGGAGTGTGCTGTCACAGAATGGGGTGAGCAGTTGGGGTCTCATAACAATGTATGTAAAAAAAAAAAAAATTGTATGGGAGACTAACTTGAAATGTAAACTTCATTTAAGTACAACAATAAAAAAAAGAAAGAGTGTCTTTGCTCAAAGCTCTAAGTGATGCTGAAATCAAGGGAATCCAGAATTAAGAGCTGGTTGAAAAGCTGAAGTGGGAAGTCTGAATGGTCCCAAGCCAAGGAGACAACCCAGGGCAGGTATCAAATGCTAGAGTATAGAGCCAGGATTCAGAAAACCTGGGAGAGAGGAGAAGGGAGCAATGGGATCATGCAAACAGTAGGATATCCTGGGTGAATCTCTAGAATAGATACAATAGATTGCCCCGGCTGTCACTTATGAGCTTATAAGAACATGGTGCATAGGAGGACCAACCACACTTAAAGTAACAGGGTCAGGGAATAGTCTGGAAGCTGTAGCAAGTTTTCAAGAGAAAATTGATGTAAGTCTGAATATGGCAATGGCATAACTGTGGCAGTTAAAATGGGGACACTTGGTTGCTAAATGAAGTCGAGTCAACAGCATGTGGTGACTGATTATCTGCAGGAGGAAAAGAAAAGGGAGGAGGAGGAGGTCAAGGATGACACCCAGATTATGACTTGAGTAACTCCACAGATGGTGGACCAATTTAGGAAGAGGACTGTTAGAGGGTAGTTCAGTTTGGGGTAGGTTTAATTTGAGGTGCCAGTGGACATCCAGATAGAGATGGCTAGGAGATTTCCATTCATCCATTCATTCATTCAGCAGATGCTTGGCTGAGCTCCTACTGTGTGCCAGGCACCATGCTAAGGTCACTGCAATGCATGTGATATGATCCCTGCCTTCAGCAACTTTTAGTCTGGTAGGAGATGGTGACACATACCCAGCCAGTTGCTACAGAGTGGACAGTTAAATTTGTGAGTTTAAGGCTCAGGAGTGAGGTCAAGACTGGAGATATAAATGTAAGAGACATCAGTGAATAGATAGAAGTGTATAAGGTTTACTCCATGAAGAGAAGACAGCTGAGCCAAGGACACAGAACCAGACTCACTTCTCTTCCTGATTTCCCTACCATGAGGAAAGACCTCACCACCCACCCACCTGTTCACCCAATCTAGAAACTACCTGATCAGCCTCCATGCCTCCCTGTCCCTCATTATCATATCTAACTAATTCTACCCCCTCCACAACTCTCAAATCCATCCCTTCCTCCTGCTCTCCTCTCCTCTTGCCGAATCTCTTGGTCTCCAGTCCTATGTCCCATATTCCATCCTCCACATTGATGTCAGATAGAACTTTCCAGAAGACAGATGTTTCCTAATCCCTTGCCAAAACTTGACAACTGGCTGTGGTTTCTCATTGTCTACAGGAGAAAGTTCAAACTCCTTAGCAGGATGGAGTATAAAGCTATTCACCAATTGGTACTCACCCAGTTTTCCAGCCTTATCTCCAGTCCATCTTCAATGCACACCCCTTGCCCAAGGAGCTTCCATACTAGCAAAGGAAACAGAAGTGTAAACAATGAGCTGCAAAGGAAGGCCAATGGAAATAAATGCTCAATTGAAAAAATAAATAAATAAATAACAGGAAAAACAGTAGTATCGGAGCACACAGCAAAGAGTCTCTAAACTGGAGCAAGGAAGATAATTCCTTTGCCTGCAAGCTAACTCCCAACTCCCAAGCCCATGGCAGACATCACTAATCAATCATTGCACTCGTTCCCTCTAAGGCCAGAAAGGAGCACGAAATCCTTCTCAACAGAACACACCATGTAGCCACCACCAATTAATTGAATTAATTGAAGTTTAGAGCACGTTCTAGAAAGGAGGACCTAAAAGATGATTGGAGTTTTAATAGGTAGCAAATGAAGAGAAAGGGATTTCCAGGCTCAAGGAATAGCACAAAGAAGCACAAAATTATACTGCATCCACTCCAATCCATTTGAGCCCGGAAATGTTCCCTTTGACACAAAACAGTCCCCTTTTGCAGCCAGGTTTCTGTCTCAGAAATTTCTGTGCAACTTGACCAGAGCTAATCCCAAAAGCTCTTAACATAAGCATCCTGCCCAAAGGGTACACCTTCCTCATCTCTAGTGATTTTTGTCATCGTCCTCCCTGCCAGGAAATATCTGTTAGCTGGATATCCAAGAGCAAGAACCTATGCTGCGTCCAGGAAATTTAGAAATTAATTCAACAAATAGATAATGAGTTCCTGATGTGTGCCAGGCCTTGGGCTATTTCTGCACATGCAAAAACAAAATTAATATTAGTTATAATTGCACATTTGCTTATTGATGTCACTCCATAATAAAATGACCAAAAACATTAGAAAGAATAAGGAACAAAAATATAAATAAAAGTAGAAAATCAAACCCTGGGAAGGGATGCACATCGACCTCTGAACACAGTCATACAAGAGGGAAGATACTGTGCTTTACTGATCTTTGTAGGAGACACTTTGTTAGTAGTTCTTGTACTGTTGCTGATCCATATTTGACCTTCAGATTTGGGTCCGAGTGTCCTGGCGGTCAGTGTAAAGAAAGATTTACATGGTCGGTTACATACTTTGTATGATGGATACCAGTTACTTCAGAGGAAGTAAATCTTCTCTTAGCACCAAGTACTAAAAGATACTTCTCAAGTGAGGTTTGGTGAAAGAAGGCTGACAAAGCAACTGGTTCTCTTTTTCAGAAATCACAGAAGACAACTGCAATGGGACATGCCACACCAGCGCCAAGTAGGTGCCCTCTGGGCCTCCTTTGAGGACAATGCAAAGGGGGTTCCTTCCCAGTAGTTTCGGCTCCACGCCCTATCCTTGAGGGAGTAGTTTCCAGATGCTATTTACCAGGTGTTTAGGGTAAACTTTTAAGTATGAGGCTAAAAATATCTCTGAAGAGGCCACCATCAACTTGCCAGTTCCAGCTTTCAACAAGGTGCCGCCTGAGTTACCTGGCACATTGGCAAAAATGACAGTTGTCACCCCAGTTCAAGTCCCAGGGACTCTCACTGAGGCACAGAGAGCCCAGTGGGCCTCCCTTTCATTAAACCTTGCTCCCGACTCACAGCCAAGCCTGAGTTCATGCTCCCAATCCCCTCAGAGGCGTATCTATGGAAAATAGCACCTACGGCAAGCACTGAAACTGCACCCCTGTCCAAACATCTGACACCCATCGTTTAGATAACTTTACCATAATATTGGCTGAAATATACAAGCCAAGCTTGTTGATCTTTTACTTAATACATTATGGCACTACATGAAAATTACAACTGCAGCTTCCTTGCTTTCACTGATGAAGATTGGTCTATGATGTGTGCAATGGCACCCCCTCTTCCAGTGGTGCCCCGGGGCACAGGCCATACCTGCCATGCCTTGGTTATGCTTCTGCATTCCCCACAAAAGCTTAATGTGGTGGTTAGTTGGCGTTAGACCAGAATTCAAAGTCAGCCTCTGTAATTTTCACTAACTGTGTGACCTTGAGCCAATTATTTAATTCCTCTAGGCCTCAGTTTCTTCTTCAGGAAGTGGGAATAATCCACTACCACCACTTGCCATTGAGTTGATTCTGACTCATGGTGTGTCAGAGTAGAACTGTGCTCTATAGGGTTTCCAATGGCTGATTTTCTGGTCGTGGATCACCAGGCCTTTCTTCTAAGGCACCCCTGGGTTAGCAGCAAGCGTGTTAACTGTTTTGGTTAGCAGCAAGTGTGTTAACTGTTTGCACCACCCAGGGGCTCCAAGTGGAAATAATAATAATATCTACTTCCTGTAGCTATTGGGTATTGTGTAGATCACATGAAGTAAAGCAAGAAGCACAGCCCCTAACACACAGGAACTTCTCTAAAGATCGGTAGCTACTCTTCTTATTCCTTGGCTACCACCTACGTGTACACACTGTGTAGTCTGCTGATCAGTGACTGCAACTTTAGCTGCCTGTTATGGGGCCCTGTTAGCAATGGGCTCTCCTCCCAAACCTTAGGCAGGATCCCTGAGTGCCTTATGGGGCAGGGGCTCGGAGGCTGGGGTGATGGGGTGAAGGCGTACTGTATGGTGTTGGGTTATGTATTTATCTACAAACACCATTTGCCCATTCTCGTTGCAGCTGCCTTCTCAATTCTGATGGCACAGCCTCGTGCAAGTGTGCGGCAGGGTTCCAAGGGAACGGGACAGTCTGCACAGGCAAGTGCACTGGGGCCTCAAGGTTCTCATGGACTGTGGAGAGATCTGGGTTCCTGTAGACTGACTGGGCCTCGGCAGCTGATGTCAACCATTGGTGGTGAATTGGATGTAACAAGGCGGCTGATTGGGCCCCTGGGCCGGAAACCAACTGTTTACATATGGAGCTTGTTAGTTTTGGAATGGGCAGGGAAGTGCACCTGTTTTCAGCAAGCCGTGGTTCACCACCTTGGCTGCAATTGGAATCACCTGTTGTTGTTGTTATTTGCCATCATCAGGTCGATTCCAGCTCATAGCAACCCACTGTGTGCTGAGTAGAGCTGCTCCATAGGGCTTTCAAAGGCTGTAACCTTTTAAAGCAGATCACCAGGCCTGTCTTCCAAGCCACCTCTGAGTGGGTTCTAACCACCAGCCTTTTGGCTAGTAGTCAAGCACTTAACCATTTGTGCCCTCCACCTGGGGAGCTTCAAAAGCCACTAAAGAGCATCCCACGGATTCTGATTTGATTGGCCTAGGGCGTGGCCTGAGCATCATGACTCTGGAGAGGGTCAGAAAAGGGCTCAAGCCCTGGTTTTTCCTCCTCCTACCCATGTGACCTTGGGTGGGTCTCTTAACTGCCCTGAGCCCCACCAACTCATCTGTAAAGTAAACATAAAACGACCTCCTTTGCAGAGTGGCTTTGAGATTAAATTATCTCTGTGGGTGCAATGGCAGAATAATGCAGCTGTTAAAAACTCAGCTTCAGCATTAGACCCTGCGGGTTTGAATCTGATCTCTTATTATTTATATTACCTTGGTGTATTAGTTTCCTGTGACTGCCTTAACAAATTATCATAAACTGGGTGGCTTAAAACAACAGAAATGTATTCTCTCACAGTCTGGAGGCTGTTGTTTTTGTTAGGTACTGTCCAGTCAGTTCCGACTCATAGCAACCTTAGGTACAACAGAACAAAACACTGCCTGGTCCTGCGCCGTCCTCCCAATTGTTGCTATTTTTGAGCCTATTGTTGCAGCCACTGTGTCAATCCATCTCATGGAGGGCCTTCCTCTTTTTTGCTGACCTCTCTGCTTTACCAAACATGATGTACTTCTCCAGTAACTGGTCCTTCCTAATAACATGTCCAAAGTACGTGAGACAAAGTCTTGCCATCCTCGCTTCTAAGGAATATTCTGGCTATTTTTATTCCAAGACAGATTTGTTCATTCTTCTGGCAGTCCATGGTATATTCAGTATTCTTTATCAACACCATAATTCAAAGGCATCAATTCTTCAGTCCTCCTTATTCATTGTCCAGCTTTCACATGCATATGAGGTGATTGAAAATACCATGGCTTAGGTCAGGTGCACCTTAGTCCTCAAAGTGACATCTTTGCTTCTGAACACTTGAAAGAGGTCTTTTGCAGCAGATTTTCCCAATACAATATGTTGTTTGATTTCTAGACTGCTGCTTCCATGGGCATTGATTGTGGATCCAAGTAAAATGAAATCCTTGGCAACTTCAATCTTTTCTCCATTTATCATGATGTTGCTTATTGGTCCAGTTATGGGGATTTTTGTTTTCTTTATGTTGAGGTATAATCCATACTGAAGGCTGTAGTCTTTGATCTTCATCAGTAAGTGCTTCAAGTCCTCTTCACTTTCAGCAAGCAAGGTTGTCTCATCTGCATACTGCAGGTCGTTAATGAGTCTTCCTCCAATCCTGATGCGACATTCTTCTTCATATAGTCCAGCTTCTCAGATTATTTGGTCAGCATACAGACTGAATAAGTATGGTGAAAGGATACAACCCTGAAGCATACCTTTCCTATATATGGTCTATATACAGGTTCCTTATGAGCACAATTAAGTGTTCTGGAATTCCCATTCTTCGCAATGTTATTCATAATTTCTTATGATCCACACAGTCAAATGCCTTTGCATAGTCAATAAAATACAGGTAAACATCTTTCTGGTATTCTCTTCTTTCAGCTAAGATCCATCTGATATCAGCAATGATATCCCTCGTTCCACATCCCTTTCTAAATCCAGCTTGAATTTCTGGCAGTTCCCTGTCGATGTATTGCTGCAACCTTTTTTAATTATCTTCAGCAAAATTTTACTTGCGTGTGATATTAGTGATATTGTTCAATAATTTCCACATTCTATTGGATCACCTTTCTTTGGAATGGGCACAAATGTGGATCTTTTCTACTCAGTTGGCCAGGTAGCTGTCTTTTAAATTTCTTGGCATAGACCAGTGAGCGCTTCCAACGTTGCATCTGTTCTGGAGGCTAGAAGTCCAAAATCCAGCATGGCCATGCACCCTCCAGAGGCTCTAGAAGAAAATTCTATCTTTGCCGCTTCTTCATTCTGGTGGCTATTGGCATTCGTTAACTTGCGGTTGTGTCTCTCCAGTCTTTGCCTCCATGATCACATTGCTTCCTCCTCTTCTGTCTCTTATAAGAACACTTGTCATTGAATTTAGAGCCCACTCTAAATCCAGGAGAACCCCTGGGTGGTGTAAACAGTTAAGCACTCAGCTACTAACCAAAAGGTTGTCATTTCAAACTCACCCAGAGGCACCTTGGAAGAAAGGATGGGCGATCTACTCCTGAAAAATCGCTATCACTGAAAACCCTAAACCCTATGGAGCACAGATCTACTCTGAAGCACATGGGGTCACCATGAGTTGGAATCAACTCAAGGGCAACTAGTCTGGTCTTTTGGTTTCTAAGTCCAAGGCGATCTCATCTCGAGATCCTTCACTGAGTTACATTTGCAAAGACCCTTGTCTTAGTCTGGGTTCTCCAGAGGAGCAAAACCAGTGAAGTGTATATAAATATACAGCTAGTCCCCAGCTTACCATGGTTCTGTTCCAACAACTTCATTGTAAATCGGTTTTGACGTAAGTCTAATACTTCTTTTTCTTTTTTTTTTCAGTTTTCATTACTACTGCCTTTTATTATCAGCAACTTTTTAAATCCCATCTTTATTTGTCTTTAGGGGTTGCAAACATTACATCTAAACTTACAGATATATTTTAATACATATATACATAAAAAAATACATAAATCATAAAAATTTATAATGAAGAAGATGTGGATGATATTGGTATTTTGTCAGTTGCAGTAGTAACTCCACTTGTGGAAGGTTCTGGATCATCTGGATTTTCCCTGGGAATGAGGATGGCATTTCTAGTCAAAAAATTAGTAAGAGTTGTCTGTATGGTCTTTTTCTTTTTTTCTTATATTTCATGTTAACATCTCACTGCTTCCCAAATCTGCCTATTAATTTTAGCAAAGTGATCAGCATCTGAGTACATATTTTCAAGCAACTGAATTCCCTGATTTAGTTTATAAAGTTAAATCTATATGGCAGTGTTTTGAATAGTAAATCATAACATTGAACATCTGCTAGTGAACATCTGAGAATAACAGCAGCAAATTATGCACTGCAACATTGTATATAGTACATATTACTGATGATAAGATATACCAAAAAAAAAAAGTAGACAGTTGTATGTGTGGTTCATCATAACCTGAATACATTGTAAGTCAGGGACTACCTATATGTAGTGAGAAATTTACTTCAAGGAAATGGCTCACACAATTGTGAGGGCTTGCAAGTCCCAAATCCATGGGTCAGGCAACAGGCTAAAGACTCTGCTGGCTCACTTGGTTGCAGGGGCTGATGAACCCAACAAAATCTGCAGGTTAGGCAGCAGGCCAGAGATTTCTGCAGGCTTACTTCGCAAGAACCAGAGATCAGACAACGAGAAGAGTGCAGGGTTGAGAGAGAGAGAGAGAGCTTTGCCAGAACATCCATTTATATGCTAGAGGCAGGCCCCACCCCCAAGGAAACACCCCTTTCAACTGATTGGCTGCTCACATCAGAACACAAAATGGAAGGTGATTACATGGTGTCTGCCAAACCACTGAGAATCATAGCCTGGCCAAGTTGACGCATAACATTCATCATCACAACCCTTTTACCAAATAAGGTCACATTATAGATTCCAGGAATATCTTTGGGGGTGGGGGACATTTTTCAGCCCACCACACTTGGTATATTCGCTTGACTGCTCTTTGCATCATTGTTTCATCTGTAAGTTGGGGATAATGAGAGAACTTCCCTCATTGAGTTGTTAGCTGATTACCTGGGTTAATAACTGAAGTTATTAGAACAACCTTGGCACATAGCACTCAAAAAATGCAAACCAAGAGCCTTACTGTGCCTAACACATATTTGGTACTAGAAAACTGGACACTCTTCACATCATTATTCTCTGGAACACTGTGTTCCAAGCAGGCTCTGGTCCAAACTGTGGCTGAGCTGGACAATGATCACACCACTCTGCATCCTAAGCCGTCTCACCCTGGAGTGTGGGTACCCCTAACCTTGGTCCCAGATGTTCCCTGCAGTAGGATGTGTGCAGCATGCTAGTGAAAACAACTGGAAAGGGCAAACAACAGGAATGTTTTTCCTGCCCTCTGTTTTCGGGAAAAATAGCAAAACCAAAAGAATGCAAGTTAACGTAAGAATAATGAACATTTGTGTAACACTTTCATGTACGTTATCAGATGTGAGTCCCCAAACCTATAAATAAGTCTCTATGAGTGGACCCCAAAATTCACATGAAGTGACTTGTCCAGCACCACACAGTGAGTAAAGGTCGAGCCAAGACTCAAAACCAGGCCTTGGGATACCAGATTCTGGACTTCTCCCACTGCATTTCACTGGAGGACTTTGTTTTTAAACTGTCTTATAATCTTAGAATCTAGCACAGATCCATCCCAGTCACCTCACTATCACATCCGTGTGTAATTATCCCTCTGAGGGCTATTAAAATGACTAGTCAATACCCTCAAAGAGAAAAAATTAATTAGATTTCATGGAGTTTTCGCTTAACATTATGTTCTTGTCCTTTGAAAATCAAAAATATTACAAGTTAAGTGGAGTTCCTGGGTGATACAAATGGTTAATGCACTTGGCTGCTAACTGAAAGGTTGGGAGGTTTGAGTCCACCCAGAGGTGCCTCATAAGAAAGGCCTGGAAATCTACTTAGTCAGATACATGATTTACAAAAATTTTCTCCCATTCTGTGGGCTGTATTTTTGCTTTATGGAGGGTATCCTTTGAAGCGCAAAGTTTTTAATATTGGTGATGTCCTGTTTATCTACTTTTTCTTTTGTGCTCAAGTCTTTGGTGTCGTATCTAAGAAAACATTGCCTGATCTTGGTTAAGACGATTTAGACTTATGTGTTCTTCTAAGAGTTTTATAGTTTTAGCTCTTAAATGTAGGTCTTTGATCCATTTTTAGTTAATTTTTGTATGTGGTATGAGGTAGGAGTCTAAATTCATTCTTTTGCATGTAGATATCCAGTTGCCTCAATGCCATTTGTTGAAAATGTGTTGGTACTCTCTTCAAAAATCAACTGACCTTAAACACATGGGTTTATTTCAGGACTCTCAATTCTATTGCATTGATCAGTATGCCTATCCCTATGCCTGTACCACACTGCCTTTATTACTGTAGCTTTGTAGTAAGTTTTGAAATCAGAAGTGTAAGTCCTCCAACTTTGTTCTTTTTTTTTTTCAAGATTGTTTTGACTGTTCAGGGACCCTTTACAATTCCATATGAATTTTCAGACTAGATTTTCCATTTCTACAAAAAAGGCAGATGGAATTTTGCAAATGATTATATTGAATCTGTAGATCAATTTGGGAGTATTGCCATTTTAAATGTTAAGTCTTCCATGGGATGTCTTACCATTTATTTAGGTCTCCTTTAATTTCTTTCAGCAATGTTTTATAATTTTCAGTATACAACTGAATTTAACTCTTCCTTGGTTAACTTTGGGGCCCCGGTGGTGCAGTGGTTAGGTGTTAGTGTGCTAACCAAAAGGTCGGCAGTTAGAATCCACCGACTGACCCTTGGAAACCCTATGGGGAAGTTCTACTCTGTCCTATAGGGTCACTATGAGACGGAATCGGCTCAACGACAATGGGTTTTTGTTTCTGTTTTGGTTAAATTTATTTCTAAGTATTTTACTATTTTTGATGTTATTGTAAATAGAATTATTTCCTTAATTTCATTGTTGGATTGTTCATTACTATTGTTGTTATGCGCTGTCTAGTCGATTCCAACTCATAATGACTCTGTAGGACAGAGTAGAACTGCCCCATAGGGTTTCCTAGGCTGTAATCTTTATGAGAGCTGATCGCCAGGTCTTTCCTCCTGTGCAGCCACTGGGTGGGTTTGAACTGCCAACCTTTTGGTCAGCAGCTGAGCGTTTAAACCATTGCGCCATCAGGCCTCCTTTGTTCATTACTATTGTATATAAACACAACTGATTTTTGTATGTTGATCTCATATCCTGCAAACTGCTGATTTATTAGGTTTTTCTGTCTATAAAATCATTTCATCTGTGAATAAAGATAGTTTTACTTCTTCTTTCCAGTTTGGATGCCTTCATTTTCTTTTTCTTGCCTAACTTTGCTGGCTAGAACTTCCAGTACAACTTTGAATTAAAAGCAGAGAGAGAGGACATCCTTGTCCTGTTCCTGATCTTAGGGTGAAAGTATTCAGTCTTTCACCATTAAGTATCATGTTAGCTGTGAGTTTTTCATAGATATCCTTTACCAGGCTGAGGAAATTCCCTTAGTTTGTTGAGTGCTTTTATTATAAGAGGTGTTGAATTTTGTCAAATGCTTTTTCTGCAGCTATTGAGATGGTGGTTTTGTCCTTTTGTCCTTTTTTATTCTCTTGATATGATGTATTACATTAACTGATTGCTAGATTCGATTTGTTAATATTTTGCTGAGGACTTTTGTGTCTATATTCATAAGAGATATTGGTCTTTTTTGGGTGTTTATTGTGATATTTATTGGTGTTTTTTGGTGATATCTTTGTCTGGTTTGGTATCAGGGTAATACTGGCCTCACAGAATAAGTTGGGAAGTGTTCCCTCCTCTTCTATTTTTTGGAAGAGTTTGTGAAGAATTGGTATTAGTCTTCTTTAAATGTTTGATAGCTTCAGCAGCAAAGCCATCTGGTGCTTTGTATTCTTTTGAATTAGACATCTTTGAACCATCACCTACCGGTATAGTTTTGAAGTATCCTAGATGTTTACTCTCCCAAAAATGTAGCCAGTCATAAGGTCACCTGCCTCCTCTGAACCAATTGTTGTTGTTGGCTGCTGTTGAGTCAGCCGTCAACTCATGACAACCCCATGCACAACGGAAGGGAACTCTGCCATCCCCATAATCAGTTGCAGATTGGACCTTTGTGATCCATAGGGTGTTCATTGGCTGATTTTCAGAAGTAGATCGCTAGGCCTTTCTTCCTAGTCCATCTTAGTCTGGAAGCTCTGTTGAATCCTGTTCAGTATCATGGAAATATGCAAGTCTCCACTGACAGACAGGTGGTGGCTGTGCGTGAGGTGCATTGGCCAGGAATCAGACTTGGGTTTCCAGCATGGAAAGTGAGCATTTTACCACTGGACCACCAGTGCCTCACTCCGAATCTAGAACATGGTAACTTCAGATTTCTAGGGATCTTCCATTTCTTGGTGACCCAACTAAAAATGCATCAATGTTTTGTTTTCCCCTCTCACCCTTCCTCTGCTCTGTGTCACCGCTCCTTCCTATAGCAATCAACGCCTGTGAGATCAGCAACGGGGGTTGTTCTGCCAATGCTGACTGTAAAAGAACCACCCCAGGACGTCGGCTGTGTGTGTGCAAGCCAGGCTATACTGGTGATGGCATTGTGTGCCAAGGTAGGTGCCCACCACTTTGTCAGAGTGCTGTTGAATGATTATAATGCGTAAGCTCTTATTGTTAACACATGCAGCTGCCCGGATCACCTTTCAGTTTGTCAGGTGCAGGAAGGTACAAGGGTTTGGAAATGTGACTGCAGGGCTATAAAGGTATGTGATACCCAAAAATCACTTTGGAGGAAAGAAGGGGAAATCTCTTCCCAGTTAAACATTACGGAGGTGACTGAATTTTTCAACTTTCATTAGTTCTTTTTCAATACAAGTAGCACATTATCACTGTAGAAAAATTAGAGAACGTGTATATGCTGGAGAAAAAATTCTGGTGATAACCATGTTACTGTTGTTATGTTGCCCTATTTTGCTATGCATACATGTATTTTTTTAAACAAAAATAGTATCTCTTGATATATAGTGTTTACTATGCTTAGCAATATAACAGGAACAACTTTCCCTGAAAATAAGTATGCATCTAAATCATTATTTTTAATGGCTACACACTATTCTGCTATAAAGGTATACCATAATAAGTTCTTAATTGTTTTAATTTTTAGTTGGAAAAAATTTATATAGAAAAGTGGAAAAAATATTACAAAGAAGATCCATACGACCTTTATCTAGATTCACCTATTGTTAACATTTTGGCCAATTTGCTTTATCATCTGTGTGTGTGTGTGTATGGATACATATTCATATAGATACAGCTTACTCTCAGATGATATATATAGTATCTATATCTACCATTTGAGAGTAAGCTGTATCTATATGAATACATATTTCCTACAGATAGTCTCCAACATAACTACAGTATACTTATCAACTTCAGTAAATTTAATATTGATATACTTTTATCTAATTATTGTTCGTATTCTAATTTTTTAATGTCCTTTACAGTATTTGTCTTTTACCACAGCCTGGAGTTGGGTATTGCATTTAGTTGTCATGACTCTAGTCCCCTTTAATCTGGAACAGTTTCTTTGTCTCTTATGACTTTGACATTTTTTAAAGAATATAGTCCCCTCCCCCAGCTTTTCTTTTCCCTTTCATTTGTTTATTTATTTTTAGATAGCATGTCATTCAATTTGGATTTCTCTGATGTGTCTGATGTTTCTTCATGACTAGATTCTGATTACACGTTCCAGGACAGAATACTATACAAGTGATGTACCCGTCTCAGGGTATCACACGGGAGGCACACAATTTCTATGTGTCCCTTGTCTATAATGTTAATTTTGACCCCTTAGTCAAGGTGCAGTCCGATTTCTCCACTGTAGAGTTGCTTTTCCATTCCCTTGATACTAATAAGCAATTGGTGGGGAGATACTTTAAGACCAAGCAAATATCCTGCTCCTCATCAAAATGTCTTCCTAAATTTAGCATCTATGAATGATTTTTCCCTAAACCCAACTTTATTGTGATGGTTGCAAATGATTTTCACACTTGATAATCTCAAGTCTCTCCATGCATAGCACTGTTGATTGGATTCCAAGATTCCGTTATTCTTAAGACCAAAGGCCTTTGTTGCAAACGCTCGTGTTCATTCCATAGAGGGGCAGATTCAAGCCTGCAGCCTGTGCGTTTGCTGGGATTAGCCTGTCTCTGAGGGGTTTCTTTTGAGATACCGTATCTGGCACCCTCCCCGTCAGGTTGCTTCTACCTCAGCCTTGTCCAAAACTGAAATTGCACTATTGACAGACTTCTGTTCTCCTCAGTCAGTCACCATGGCTGGTCCCTCAAGAGAGTGAGGCTTGATTCTCATGAGAGTGAGGCTTGATTCTCATGCCAGATGTTGGCTTTTGTTTTAAAGAAATTAATCCATGTTTGGAGAACCATGGGGGCTGTGACCAGAATGCAGAGTGCACGCAGACGGGACCCAACCAGGTAAGCTCTGCCTCCCAGGCGTCCCTAAGTCTTCCCAGGAGGAAAAGCCGGAGTCTATAGACACAGCCCTAAGGGAAAGGGGCTGAGACTAGCCCACTGGGGAGCAGCAGCAGAAAAGAAATGAGGCCACTGGGGAGCAGCAGCAGAAAATAAATGTTGTTGTTATTAGCTGTCATCATGTTGACCCCCTGACTCATGGTGACCCCACGCACAACAGAACAAAACGCTGCCCAGTTCTGTGCCATCCCCATGATGGGTTGGGGATTGGACCATTGTGATCCATAGGGTTTCAGTGTCTGATATTCAGAAGTAGATCACCAGACCTTTCTTTCAGAAAATAAATACTTTACGGGAAATTCTGGAAAGATGGGAGACTGTTATTTGGGAATGAGAAGAAATGGGGGACAAAGGGTACCTAGGAGATGAGATTGCTTTAAGGTGGGGAGAAGTAGGCATCTGCCAACACCACATAATTTCAGGGACACCTAGAAGGTCCCCAGAAATGCTCCCCTTTCTTTCAGCTTTCTGATACCTAGAACCCCGCAATTTTTCCTTTTGCTTAAGGCTCCGAAATGCATGTGACACAACAGAAAACGATTTAGGCCCTCTAGCAGTCATGTGGAGTCCCCGGGTGGTGCAAACAGTTAAGCACTCTGCTGCTAATGGAAAGGTTGGAGGTTAGAGTCCACCCAGGGGTGCCTCAGAAGAAAGGCCTAGTGATTTACTTATGAGAAATCAGGCATTGAAAACCCTACGGAGCACAATTTTACTCTGACACACATGAAGTCGCCATGAGTTGGAATCAATGCAACAGCAACTAGTCATATATTCCTTAACACAAGTGGCCCCCACAGTGCCTCTGCAGAGGGCAGGTTTGGGGAAGTGGTTCCAGCATGAGAGGAGAGGAGGGGTCCACGGGGTGAAAAGACACAGACAGGGAAGCTGGAGGCTCAGAGACCCAAGCTCTGTCTCTCTCAGTCTCTATCACATTGTGAACAAGCAAAATGGTCAGACAGGACATTACAGACACCAGAAATTAAGTGGCAAAGTCAAGTCTGCAATGAATGTTCGATCAACCTCATTGAGCCCTTCAGAGAACTCAGTGCCAGGTCTCCCATTGAGCGGGTCAAGCAAGTGCCTAAAGCAGTCAAAAATAAGAGAGAATAGTTGTTTTGAAAGATACACACTCACACACACACACACACACATCTATTATATATTGTATCATTTCCCATGGCTACCGTAACAAGTTACCACAAACTTGGTGGCTTAAAACAACAGAAAAGTATTCTCTCACAGTTGTGGAGGATAGAAGTCCAAAAACAAGGTATCAGCAGGGTTGATTCCTCCTGGAGGTTCTAAGAGACAATCCATGCTTCTCTCCTGGCTTCTGGGGGATGCCAGCAACACTTGGTGTTCTGTGGCTTGTAGAGGAATCACTCCAATCTCTGCCTCTATCTTCACATAGCTTTCCCCTCTGTGCCTCCGTGTCCTAGATCTCCCTCTCGTTTCTTTTATAAGGACACTAGTTGCTGGATTTAGGGTCCACCACAAGTCCAGGATGATCCCATCTCAAGATCCTTAACTTAATTATATCTGTAAAGACCCTAATTTCTAATAAGGTTACACTCACAGGTACCAGGGTTTAGGACTTGAACATATCTTTTTGGGGATCAGCATTCAACCCACCTCATATCCCACCTCAATTGCCTCATATGCATGCAAAGCTGGACAATGAATAAAGAAGACCAAAGAATTGACACCTTTGAATTATGGCATTGGCGAAGAATATTGAATATACCATGGACTGCCAAAAGAATGAACAAATCTGTCTTGGAAGAAGTACGGTCAGATTGCTCCTTAGAAGCAAGGATGGTGAGACTACATCTCACATACTTTGGACATGTTATTAGGAGGGATCAGTCCCTGGAGAAGGACATCATGCTTAGTAAAGTAGAGGGTCAGCGAAAAAAAGGAAGACCCTCAACGAGATGAACTGACACAGTTGCTACAATCGACTCAAGCATAGCAACGATTGTGAGGATGGTGCAGGACTGGGCAGTGTTTCATTCTGTTGTTCAGAGGGTTGCTATGAGTTGGAACCTACTCGACGGCACCTAACAACAACAATTCAACCCACTGCATATATGTAGTCATAGGGAAAATCAAAACAGTCAGAGTTGAACCTCCTTATACATACTTTCAAGTTCAGTAGAGCTTTTTATTTCAAATTACATGTAGGGTAGAGAAAATCAACAAGTATTTTGGTTCTCAAGGCCTCTAACCATCCTCCAGACTTAGAAGACAGTGAAAGAGCTGTGAGGCTGAACCCTGAGAAGAGGATCTCAGCTAAAGAGGGATAGCTGGTCGGCATCTTGGTAGAATGTTGAGCCAAGGTTGGGGCCCATGGTGAAGGACAAGGAAAGTGTAAGACCTGACAGTTTGGCCCTAGCTGACCCTGCCAATGAGTCCAAGTTCTAATAAGTAGACATCAGACCAGAGCCACTGCTACGATAGGAGGCACATTCGGGACAATACATTCAAATCAGGCGCCCCTTCCTCTGGCCGTGCAGTTCAGTGAACAGTGTGGCTGGGTTTCAGCCCCATTTACCCCCGTGGCTGAGCACCCCTGAGCAGTGCATGGTCTGCACATGTGACATGGGGTCCTGTGTACGACTTCCTCCAGACAGCGTTCCCTCCCTTAACTTGAAACCCCCAACTGACTCCTTTGACCAAACAATGGGTTTGACTGACTTTCCCTTTATGCAACTTCCTTGACTGCAAAGCCCTCTTTGAGCATCTGTTAGCACTCATGTCTTTGGACTGAGCAAGGGGTAGAGATGAGCAAGAAAGGAGTGTGAATGGGAACAGAATGCAGCTTCCTTTCTACTGACCCCTCACCAATCAGAGAGAGAAAAGAGATCAGTGCCTAGAAGGCAAAGGATCAAATAAGGTGAAAAAGTAATAAAAAAAATAAAATTAAAAAAAGATGGCAGCAAAGATAGGATGTATATGAGATCTCAGTGCTAAAAAGCAAAGTGTGCCAAATGTGCTAAAATACGACAATCTTTATTATAGAATAGATGTTGCTGTTGCTGTTGTTAGCTGCCATTGATTCAACTCCGACTCATGGTGACATTATATACAACAAAACAAAACACTGCCCCGTCCCACATCATCCTCACAATCACCAGCATGTTCAAGTCCATCATTGGGGCTATAGTGCCAATCTCTCTCACCAAGGGTCTCCCATACCCTTCATTGACCCACTACTTCACCAAACATGATGTCCTCTTCTAGCGACTGATCCCTCCTGATGATGTGTCCAAAGCAAGTGAATCAGACACTGTTCTCTGTGATCTGTAAGGTTTTCACTGGCTAATTTTCAAAAATAGATCACCAGGCCTTTCTTCCCAGTCTGTCTTAGTCTGGAAGCTCTGCTGAAACCTGTCCACTATGGGTGACCTGGCTGGTATTTGAAATTCTAGCGGCATAGCTTCCAACATGCAAGACACCACAGTACAACAAACTGACAGACAGGGGGAGGAGGATAGATACTACCAATGCCAAATGTAGGATATTATACTCACCATTGTAGAATTAGAGTCTGAGAGCCAGTTCATGGGAGCAGTTCACAGAATCGATCTGTGAAGTAACCCCACTGTCCTCTCCCACCTGACAGGCCATCTGTAACTGTTTGCCAACATACGCTGGAGATGGCAAGACCTGCAGCCTCATCAGTGTCTGCCTAACCGTAAGTACAGCTCTGAGGCCAAGACACTCAGAGGTCAGCCCTCAGGGGCCTCATGTCCCCACCCTAGGGGATGAGGGTTGGTGCGATGTCACTTTGGAGGCCTTAGAGCTGCTGCTAGACAGTGAGGCTCATTTTACCCTCATATTCCAGTTGTAATGTTGGGGAGAAAGGAGAGAAGGTGCAGCCTGACAACCCCCAGCCTGCCCTCTTGACTGTAGGTTATGGAGGTGACGCAGGTGTCCATGGCTGGTCAGGGATTTTCCTGAATGCAGCTTAGGCAAATGCCTCAAGGCCAGCTGGATTATAAACTTCTCAAAGCCAGGCCGTGGCACCCACAGCAGGGTCGGGCTAAGTAACCCTATTAAGGGGTTTAATATCCAGTCTGCAACCTGTTTCCTTAACCATGGTAATGAGTACTGATGTCAACTATCTGTTTTTTGTTTCATTTACTCTCTGCATAACTAACGGGAAGGAGTCCCTGGGTGGTGCAAACGGTTAATGTGCTCAGCTGCTAACTGAAAGGTTGGAGGTTCAAGTTCACCCAAAGGCACCTCAGAACAAAGTCCTGGTGATCTACTTCCCAAAAATCAGCTATTGAAAACCCTATGGAGCACAGTTCTACTCTGACACACATGGGGTCGCCATGAGTCGGAATCGACTTGATGGCAACTGGTAACTGGTAACTGGTAACCTAGTGAGGAGGAAGAGAAGGTCAGTTAAAAACTGACATCCACATCATATTCAGTTCTTTGCATCTTCTTTGCAAACCGTGTGTGTGTGTGTGTGTGTGTGTGTGTGTGTGTGTGTGTGTGTGTAGTTTCAACTATTCCAGTATTTTTTCCAGCTTCAGTTATCTGCTATAAGAGAAGTGTCCAAGACAACATTTTAAACAGGTCATTATTTAGCTCAGAAATATGTCTTTCCTTCATCAGTGGAAATCTGGAAGAAAACTCAAGACGAAGTAGCATGAATTTTATGACCTCAACCACATTTCTCAGCCCAGCCACATCACATTTGAGCCAAGTCTATCCACTTGCTCATCCCCCATATTACCAATTCCCTTCAAAGAAATCCAGCCCCTCCTCTCCACCAAGCTTGTCTTGCACCTCTAAGACAAGGCTCAAGAGTTGCTTCCTCCAGGAAGCCTTCTTGGATTAACCCCACAGCAACTGCCCACACCTTATTCTCCTGTACTTTATTAAGTAGTGAGTTCAATATAAGTCAACAATAACGTGCAGCATTCCAAAAGCAAGTTCTGCCTTAATAGAGGTCTAGCGGCTAGACGAAGGAAGAGAATTCTGCTCTCACCACACAACTTCATACCACCACCAACATTCTGCATATCAGTTCAACCCTAGAGAGAGGGTCCAGTTCTGGTTTCCACACGCTGAGCAGAAATAGAGGGGAGAGTACAGGGGTAGAGACCTCACTTCCCCCTTCTATGTCTGTGCACACATCATTAAACCCATTGCCTTTGAGTCAACTCCAACTTATAGCAACCCAATAGGACAGAGTAGAACCACTCCATAGGGTTCCCAAGGAGTGGCTGGTGGATTCGAACTGCCAACCTTTTTGTTAGCAGCCGAGTTATTAACCACGACGCCACCAGGGCTCCCACACATCATTAGTTCTTTCAATTCTCTTTCCCACTGAAGAGGAGTAGGGGCAGGGAATAAGGGCTTCCATCAACATTTGAAGGACAAAAAAGGTCTGTTTTTGTTCTGTGTGAACCCAAGCAACAGGACTAGGGTTAGTGGATAGAGAATGCAAGAAAATAGATTTCCACTCAACTCAAGGTAGAGTGTTAGAGCTGTCCACAAAGTGTTACTTGCCGGTTTTTCAAGAAATATTAGTCAAGCTCATCAATTGAGAGTGAGGGGTAGGGACTGAGAGTTGAGGAAAGAGGCAAAGGTGTGAAATGGTCTTCTCTGGAGACAGGGAAATTAAAGTGCTAACCACACTTTATAAACATTAGCTCATTTAATCCCTACAATAATTCCTTGAGGCACTTACTATTATTATCTCCATTTTACAGAGGAGGAAACTGAGGCTCAGAGAGATTAAGATGCTTTATTAAGGCCTCACAGCCAGTAGATGGCAGAGCCAGGATCCCAACCCAGGCCCAGGATAGAAGCAGGGACATTTGTGTGCATAACTTTAAAGGGAGACCAGGCAGCACATATACATGACATGCTGAGCGCAGGTACAGAAGGGACAGGAAGTCAGGCCCAGGTGGTCTAGGGTTTTGCCAAGCTATTGTGACAGAGGGAGAGAGAAGGAGGCAGGAATCCCAGTACTCTGCTTTGCCATCTGGGCTGTGCTAACACAAAGTGAGGACCAAGTGGCCAAGTGGGCCAGTGAGTAGGCAGGGAATGTGGATGAGAAAGATGTGGACACCAAGGAGGGGAGGTCCCTGGGGTCAAAGAAGGTTAGAGGCATGGTGTCAGAGAGAGCAGGATGCTGAAATAGAGATTTCTGTAGAGGTCCACTTTAATGTCAACAGCAAAGTTAGGGGGTGGCCCGGGGTGGGGGGGTGGCTGAGACAGAGAGGGGGTGAGATCAAGGAGCAGAGGAAGCACAGGGTGAGGGGGCAGGTGCAGGAGAGGTCACTGGCAGGGATGTTGAATTGGTCAAAGACAATGATCCGTGTGATACTAGAAGGAGAGACAGTGATCCAGGTGCCACCGTTAGGACAAAGGAGGAAGAGTAGGTGGAGATTGTTGATGCCACGCACTCCTAGGGAGCTGGGACTTTTCAAGGATGAGGGTGTAGAAATGGTTTGGAAGCAGCAATGAGCAGCAAGAAAAACACTGTCCCAGCCCAAACCATAAAGCGTGGGGGTGTCTTAGTTACCATATGCTGCCGTAACATGAACACCACAAGTAGATGGCCTTAAATAACATAAATTTATTTTCTCACAGTTCAGGAAGGCGGGAGTCCAAATTCAGAGTATGGCTCTAGAGGGAAGCCCTTGTCTATCTCAGCTTCTAGTAGCTGCCAGCAATCCTTATAGATACACCTGTCTCCATTGTCTCTCTTCCTCTTCTCTCTGTGCCTGTCTCTGTGTCTGTTCTGCTCTTTCCATAACTCAAAAGTGATTAGATTTAGAACCCACCCTACTCTGGCAGGAATCTCTGCTGCTGCAAAGGATTGATGTGCTTGGCTGCTAAACAAAAGACTTGCAGTTGGAGTCCATCCAGTGGCACAAGGGAAAAAAGTCCTGGCAATCTGTTTCCAAAAACTTAGCCATTGAAAACCCTGTAGAATACAGTTCTACTCTGACACATACGAGGTCATCATGAGTCAGAGTTGACTCGAAGGCAAGTGGTTGGCCTTCTAGCTGATTATTGTGACCTTTCCTATGATGGGATCAGAGTTTAGCTTAAAACTGAGAAGCGGCAAACAAAATGGGTACTTTTCTAGTCAAATCCTAGGTGCAGAGAAACTTTCAATTTGGCAATTCTGGGCTTATTCATATGGGACTAGAGATCTACTCAGATGGGCCTGCCATCTTGAGATGTAAGGCTGAGTGAATAAGATGACTCCCACCACCCTAAGGAAATTGGAAGGCAAATTCAGGAAAAGAGCAAGTAAACTAAACTAGTCAAAGCTAGAGACTGAGACAAACGGGCGAATTATCCAATAGGCAAGGTACGAATGGTGCTTACCTTGCTTACCAGATTGTCTGTAGTGAACAATTTCACATTTTTCATCACATCCAAGATTCTGCTTCTAGGTATGGCTGGTATCTGTCTGTCTCCCAACCCCACAGCACCTTCCTACAGAATCAAAGCCTCTTTTCAAATTTACAATCCCTGATTGGGACAGATTACCCAGTAAACAAGGTAAGCACGGGCTTACTTGTGCTTACTTACTAATCTGTAGTGACCAATTTCACATGAGTTTCACCACATCATTGATATGGACAAAAACAGGTGAAATTGGTCACTACAGATTAGTAACTAAGCACAAGTAAGCCCCTGCTTACCTTGCTTACTACATAATCCGGCCCTGGAGACAAGAAATAAATATCAATGCAGAATCGCTTCACAAATATCTGCAAAGCTGGTACACTAACTGGTCTGATCTCCCATTGGAAATTTCACCAGAAAAATGGCGGCTGTAGTGAATTTGCTATCTGCAATCAAACTGGACCAGAGGAAAGGACCTGCGCCTGTAAGCCAAACTACATTGGGGATGGATTTACCTGCCGCGGCAACATCTATCAGGTAAAGCACAACATGTTTCCAAAAAGTAAACCCTACTTCCATAACTGTTCTGAGAATCCAAGTAGCTAAGGAATGTGTAACAGCTTTGTAAAATGTAAAGCTCTATAAAAATGTGAAAGATGATTTTTAGATAAACTGGCAATGAAATGAAATTTTATCTATCCATGGGAATTCACTGGATGTGGGAAAGAGTGTTAATGTTGTGATTAAGGTCGACGGTTCTGGAGGTAGAAACACCTTTGTGACTTTGGGCATATTACATTACTTTCTACGGATCTGTTTTCTAATCTGTAAGAGAGGATCATAATGGTACCAACATCATCAGGTGGTTATAAGAATTAAATGAAATCAAGTGTGTAAAGGACAGACACACGCACTGCACGTGAAGGATAAGACAGCATAATACTTGCAAGTTTCTGCCTATTATAAAGTAAATGTGGTTTGGCTTAGAGAGGAGCTTCATAGAGTAACCAAATCTACCGTAAACCTATAACTGATTTTTTAAATTTCTGAACTTTTTTTAATGCTCTTCAAGCTCAGAAGCTTCCGGAAATGGCTGAACTTTTCTTTGCTAAAGTAGATGGGAAGTCAGAAAGGTTCTGCAGCTCACAGTGTGTCCACATAGTCATGCTGAACATCAATTGTAAGCCTATTGGTGAAATTTTACCAAGGCCTGTTTTTGCACATTTCCATTGAGGGGAAGGCAGAGACTCATGACTTTAGAGAAATCATCCTACGACATCATGCTTAATTCACAGGCACTAACAGCCTACTTAATTCACAGGCATTAAATGAAGCTACTGTCTTTGTTTGCAGGAGCTTCCGAAGAACCCAAAAACGTCCCAGTATTTCTTCCAGTTACAGGTAAGAATATGTGTGCCTGTCTAGCTGTAAGATCTGGGTCTTGAGCCAGATACAGCACAAACCTGTAGCCTCCAGAATTGGTGGGGGTAGGAGAAAGTCTAGGGGTGGGGGGCCTGGATTTCTGGAATGGGCCCTGTTGTTGATCATTTGTAAACTTCATCTCTCAGGCCCTAGGTGGGCAACATGAAAGAGAGGAATGGATGCTGCATTGGACCCATTGCAGTACATGAATGCAGCATATGAATGTAGTCTATGTAGGTTCAGTGGTAGAATTCTCACCTCCCAGGCAGGAGATCTGGGTTCAATTCCTGGTCAGCGTACCTCATGCACAGTCACCACCTGTCTGTCAGTGGAGGCTTGAGTGTTGTTATGATGCTGAACAGGTTTCAGTGGAGCTTCCAGACAAAGATAGACTAGGAAGAAAGGCCTGGAGATCTACTTCTGAAAATCAGTCAATGAAAACCCTATGGATCACAACGAAACATTGTCCGATCCACAACTGATTTTGGGGATGGCACAGGACTGGGCAATGTTTTGTTCCATTTGTGCATGGGGTCACCATGAGTTGGAGATCAACTCAACACCAGCTAATAACAATATATGTAGTACTATAGGGTCACTATGAGTCGGAATCCACTTGATGGCAACAGATTGGGTTTTTTGTTTTTTTGTTTTTTTTTTAGAATGTAGTATATGAAAAAACTCCCATCACACCACTGCGGAAAAGAAGCATTACTGGGGCAATGACAAAGTCTTTGGGCACAGATATGACGTTAGATCTTTCTGCACATCATACATCTGAATAAGTTCCAGATTTATTGAAGAATACCTGTTGCCGTTGAGTTGATTCCAACTCATAGCGACCCTATACGACAGAGCAGAACTGCCCCATAGGGTTTCCAAGGCTATAATCTTTATGGAAGCAGACTGCCACATCTTTCTCCCACAGAGCAGCTGGTGGGTTTGAACCACCAATCTTTCAGTTAGCAGCCGAGCGCTTTAACCACTGCATCACCAGGGCTCCTTTATTGAAGAATAAGCTATTAAAAAACTAGAAGAATAAAATCATTAAAAAAACTAAAAGAAAATATAGATAACCATATGAGCTTACATTGGCAAGAAGATAATTAGAACAGTTAAGTAAATCATCTTATTGTTAATATTTATATTACTATCCCAATTATGTAAAATATTTATATGCAGAAGAAATGCTGGACAAGAATACCTAAAAATACGGGGGTTAATTCTAGGTAGTAAGATTACAGGTAGTTATTTTTTTCTTTATTCTGCATTTTCATAATCTTTAATAAAGTAAACATATGTTAATTTTATAACCAGAAAACAATAAACATTACTGTTTAATGACAGAGAATCTGGGTTTGAATTTGAATTCAAGACTAAAACACAGATCTTCTCATCCAGTAATCACTCCCCTCTGCAACTGTGTCTCTCTCTCTTTCTGCTATTGTTTGAGCCCCGTTTATTTATATCAGGTAAGTAACATGGGGCCCCTCACCTTCCTTCCCTCAGGAGCATTCTGTGCGAGACCTGGCTGGCCCAGGCCCCTTCACCATCTTCGTGCCTTTATCAGCAGCCTTTGACGAGGAAGCCCGGGTAAGCACGTGGCAGTGGGCAGGCAGAGGAAGTTTGAGTCTGGAACACAGTCTTTGGGCCTCGTCTTGGAACTCACACTGAAGACATTTCTGGGCAGGGGAATTATGATCAGGTGGAGTTGACCATCAATGAAAGGGGCTGTCTCTGGGCATAGGGACTCCCTGTCAGGGGAAGCATCCAAGTGGATGCCAGAGACACACTAAAGGACGTTCCTGAATGGGGTCGGAGGTTGGAGATGATCAATAATTCCCAAGTGATCCAAAGCTCCCATAGACAAAAAAGAAAAAGAGAGAGAGAAAACTGGATTAATGGGTTTTAAATCAGATTCTTTTCTGCAGGACTTCTCAGAGCCTTTACTGTTCTAGCATTCATTGGGACATTTCATACTGGATTACCCATTAATAATAATAATAGCTAACATTCATCAAGTATGCCAGGCACTATTGTGAGTGCCTGACTTAGATTAACCCATTTAATCCTCATGTCAACCCTATAAGCTAAGTACTATTATTACTCAATTTTACCATTGACGACATTGCGGGAAGTAACTTTCCCAAGGTCACATGACTAGCAAGTGGGGGAACTAGGACTCAAACCTGGCTCCAGCACTGGTGTTCTTAACCACTGCATGTACATACGTCCCCTCTATGCATATATTTTGGACACCAGCAAAAGCAGGACCCAAAAATAATTGTTGAAAGAATTTGATATTTGATAGTTCAAAAAAAAAGCCTCAGAAGGGTTATTAGAAAATGATGACAACTTTGTGTACTTTTTATTACACTTACTTTATGGCTAATACTGTTTGTATTTTGATTTACAAATAGAGAAGGTTCATGATCTTTTCCATATTAAAGATTTCAGTCTGGCCCTGGCACCTCTCCAGGAAGGGGATGTACTACTATGCAGTGTTTCCCAGCATATGTCACAGAAAAAAACTTTTTTTTGAGGATTTGTGGTCCTTAGAAGGCGTGCTGGGAAATGTTGGACCAGAGAACTCCAGGTTGCCTCCACTCTGAGATTCTGCAGTGGAGGAAGGAAGGGAACTAGGACACTAGCCTGTCACCCTGACCACAAGCCAACCTTGAGCATCCACTTCCCAGGGCCTGGGTGGGGAGAGAGCTGCAGGGAAGAGGATGGAAGAGAGGAGAGCACAAGGCGAGGTTGGAATGAAGGCTCCTGGACCCTCTGATCTGTTGCAGGTTAAAGACTGGGACAAACAGGGTGTCATGTCCCAGGTTCTTCGGTATCATGTGATTGCCTGCCACCAGCTGCTTCTGGAAAACCTGAAATTGACCCCAAATGCAACTTCCCTCCAAGGGGAGTCAATTACCATCTCTGTCTCTCAGGTAAGTGAGGCCACCTAAGGAAGGTACTGACTCTCCTTGGGCCCTCTCTCCTCCTCTTCCTTAGAGTAAGACCAGTAATAATGACAATAACAACTAACCTATGTTGAGTGATTTCTATAGGCCAGGCTTTTCTAAGTATTAGATATGTACTAATTAATTTCATCTGCAAAACAGCCCCATAATGTAGATACTATTGTTATTCTCAATTTACAAATAAGGAAACTGGGCTCAGAGAGGTCAAGTAACTTGTCCAAGGTCACAGAGTGAGTAAATATTAGAGCTGAAATTCAACCTCAGAGGTAGGGCTGCTCCAGGCGGTCATTGGAACTATTTTTGGTGGCATTCATTGGTCAGAAGCTGGAGAAAGAGGAAAGCTTTGGATCAAAGCCACTTGGCCATGCTGGTCCTGTCCCTCCCTCCAAAGGAGAAACAAATGGTGGCTGTAGAATTCATTGCAAAGGGGAAAAAACAGAGGGGACACACATGTTGAAGAGAAGCCAATTTTGATCTGCTTAATTATTTCCAATTTGAGAATCAAGGTAAAATGACTCTTTCAATCAATTATTTACTATTAAAATCTCTGGGTGAAAACTACATTCTTGTCTCTATTTTTCATAATAAAAAGAAGATGCTCAAGTAACTTAGATCTTCAGATTTTGCCCACAGCTCTACTTAAATGTTCACTTTCATGATGATTTAACTTGCTGGCGTGGCATTCTGGATGAAGCTATTTTGTGTCAATTTCTCTCTGTGTTCATTTCTTTTTCTATTTTGGTTGATTTCAGGATACAGTGTATTTAAATAACAAGGCTAAGATCATATCCAGTGATATCATCAGTACCAATGGAATCATCCACATCATAGACAAATTGCTGTATCCCCAGAACTTGCTTATCACCCCCAGAGATGCCTATGGAAGGATTCTGGTGGGTAAACTCACTGTTGTATGCTCAGCATGGAGTGAGCCAGAGTACATTATTATCTCAATTCTGATTTTGAAGCTTCATTTGAAACATTTTAATTTTGCTGGTTCAATCTCAAGCTGTCATTAAAAGCCTAGTAAATATTATTCTGAGTAAGAAGTAAATAAGTAAAAGCCTATTTTCAAATAGATAAATGGATTTTATAAGTATTTTTTCAGTATCCACAAGGGCTAGTGGTCTTGCATAGATGTAGAGGATGGAGAGATAGATGGATGGACAGATGGATGGATGGGTGGGTGGGTAGATAGAGACAGATACATAGATAGTCACATAGATAGGTAGATAGACAGATAGATATAGATGTCCCCACAGACATATAATTATATAAAACTAAACCTGGGGTAAAGATCTTTCTTTCTCAATTGATGGGAAAAGACAATTTTAACTTGTATTATTATTTATTATCATTGGTCAGGATTCTTCATTGCCAATAACAGAATCCACTATACCTACCTTAGACAAAAAGGAGATTTAGTATCAATAAATCTCTTGAAAAGCCAGAGCTTAATTCAGATGCTGCACAGCTGGGAACAAAGTATCCCAGGGATGCTTGCAAGAAGAGAACATCTGCTCTAGCCTCACCTTCTTAGGACACTAGAGACTGGACACCAGATGCCTCCACCATTGTGCTTGCGAGAAGATCTGATCTCCCTGCTAGCAGCCATTACTGCCCCGTATCATTTCTTTTCACCACCAAGTCTCACACAAGTGAGATCACCTATGGAACTCTAGCTGCAAAGGAGTCTGGGTATATGCCGTGCTCAGCTTTCCGGCATTTTTAATACAGTAAGGCATGGGTAGCACAGAGGTAAAGTGGGTGCAAATGAGCCCATCTGCAGTACCTGCCACGTTATTTTTTCTTTATTCAGTTGAGCTTTTGTTCTAGTGCTTTGTGAACTGTATGAGAACAAGTTTCATTCTCATTCTTATTATCTTTGCAGCAAAATCTTACAACAGTGGCAAAAAACCATGGCTACACCCAATTTAGCAACTTAATACAGGTAAAAAAAAAAAAAAAAAAGCCCTAAGTGTTTTGGGTTTGGTTTTGGTTTTTGGGGTTTGGGTTTGTTATTTCCGTTGTTGCTGTGTGTGTGTGTGTGTTTGTTTTGTTTTCTTTGTCTTTTGGCACCAGCCAACTGTTATGGGATCTGTGTGGGGATGTTCTAAGTTTCTGGAGAAAAAAGTCATTCTCTTCCACTCCAGGCTCAAAATACGGAGTGGTTTGTTCAGACAGGTAATGTACACTGGCCAAGTTAGAAATTGGAGTATTTGAGATTGGGGGCAGGGAATGGAACTAGCACGTGCCAGTCCTGGTAGCAGGCGCTTCGCCTCTATGATTCAGTCCTCTTACCAACAAGCCTGAGAAGTAGGAATTTTCAGCTCCATTATAGAGATGAGGAAGCTGAGGTAGAGAGTTAGGGAATCTATGCCTGCAGTGAGACAGGTAGAAGTAGGATTCACAAGCATATCTTTCTAACTTCAAAGACTCTTCCCATAAACTGAGTAGGGAAACTTCTCATTAAAACAACAGATTGCAGAGGAGAAGGCCCAGGGTCCTCCAGAGGCACCCTTCCCCACAACAAACACCTAGAAGTCTCTGAAGGGCTGTGAGAACTGTGGGGTCCCCCCAAAGCATACTCTATAAACCTCTGCATTGAACCAGTGTTTCCCAAAATAGTCTCGATCTCAGATTCCGTAGGAAGCATTTTAGAAATGGATACTGCAAGGTGTTCAAAATCAGAATCTCCAAGTATGTTACAGATGAGTAATCTTTGCCCACCCACCCAACCCCAAAACCTTATAGTAATGCCCACACCTGGCACGAGATTTCATGCCAAGTTAGAAAACTTCTCTGAGTCTCAATAAAAGGGGATAATAAGGCCAACATAATAGGATTGTTGGAAATATTAAAAGGGAAAAAAAGTATGCAATGCACCTGGACTATAGAAGGTCTCAGAATAACTCTTCCCCATTCATGTGGTAATTTCTTTCTGAGTATATATGATCCAGAATTCTTATAATTATATGAGAGTATCTCAATATTGTATAGGTTTCACTATTTTTAATGAAATATGAGAAAAATACTAAGCTGGTATCCAGAAATTAAAATATTTGGGTAGGAGTGGTAGGAAAAAAAAGGTATTTTCTAAAGTTAAAGTTTATTTTCCTATTAGCAAAAGGCTAGATTTTGACTCTCTGCTTTCTAAGAAAATGTGAGTCTGAATGGCTGGGGTGTGATGAACTTTTGTTTTCTGGCTGCGTCACTTCTGCACCAGCCGTCCCAATAAACCTGGGACAGGGCACGCAGGGGCCCTCTGCCTTCCTTTGATCCTCAGACATCCACCCACATAGCAGGGCTTTGTGGCATGGGGTGTGCACACACTATGTAGGGCTGTTTCCTGTGTTTCAGGATGCCGGCTTGCTGAGTCTCATCACTGATCCCATCCACACCCCGGTCACTCTCTTCTGGCCCACAGACCAAGCTCTCCAAGCCTTACCCCCTCAACAGCAGGATTTCCTCTTCAACCAAGAGAACAAGAACAAGTTGAAGGAGTATCTGAAGTTCCATGTGATCCGAGATTCCACGGTATTTTGTTTTCACGCAGAAGCAATTGCAGGGATGCCCCAAGAATGATAAAATCCAGGCACCGAGACACTGCAGCCCAGGAATAGTCAGAGTGTGGTGGGAGGGAGGCCTGAGCACCCCACACCCACTGTGTCTTCCTCTAATTGGCCAGGGTCAATTGACCCCAAGAAGAAGATACACCCTTGCCTTGTATATTAGTTTCCAAGGGCTTCCATAACAAATTACCACAAACTAGGTGGCTTAAAACATCAAAAATTTACTCTCTCACCATTCTGGAAGCTAGAAGTCCAAAATTAAGGTTTGGGCAGGGCCATACTCCCTCTGAAGAATCCTTCCTTGCCTCTTCCTCGCTTCTGGTGGCTCCAGGCAATCCTTGGTGTTCCTTGGCTTGTAGATGCACCACTCCAATCTCTGCCTCCTTGAGAAAGTAGCCCCCAAGACTTCCTAAATATCCTAAATATCTCTAAGGCAGAAAAAGGTACTGCCCATCCAGACTTCTGCAGGGCATCAGGAGAGAGAAAGCAAAGACTTCCTGGGTTGTTTGCAGCACACAGACTTGGTTCTGCTTCTTGGGCCTCCCATTATTTTTTTTTTTTTTTTTAACTTTAACCCATACCCAACAGCATGACTCTTTTCTTGTACTGCAGATCAGCTTTTACTCTTTCCATGTGAAATGGCAAAAATGGCTGCTGGCAACCGTTCCCAAGTTTCTCCAGATGAGCTCTTTCTCTCCCAATTCCAAAATTTCCAGGCAGAAATCTGACTAATCATCTGGGCTCAACTGTGATCAGGGAAGCAAGGGCATGTCGGAACAAAGAAGCTCTTGCTAAAACCCTGTCACTCTGCGGCCTCAACCAGGGCCCATGTTTCTTTCCAGGAGTGAGTCTGTCAAGTCCAAGAATACCAAAATCCCTAACTTTGGTTAATTCACAGCATCCTGTGCCATTTCCCAGCACTTAACCCACTGTTCCTGTCACTGGTTTCATATACCAACAGACCATCTTCCATGGACTCCCAAGCATAGATGAGGGGTTGGAAGGCCTAGTAAACCCAGACTAGCTGGCTGAGACTTCCTCTCCGAAGGAACTTCCAACCTCCTAGATAGCCCATTCCATGATTCTTCTTCTTTCTTATATTTGTTGTCATTTTAAAGCTGGAATTGCTATAATTCTTGGAAAAAACATGCATCAGAATTTGGTTTGTTGGCAAAGGTCCTTTGGGCCCTTCTTCAGCCCAAATTTGGAAGATTAAGGTGACAACATTGCTCCTGCAGGTTTTAGCAGTGGATCTCCCCAGACCTACTGGCTGGAAGACCCTGCAAGGTTCGGAGCTGAGTGTGAAGTGTGGAGCTGGCAATGACATTGTGAGTACTGTCACCCAGGTGGGACTGGGGACACATGAACAATAAGGCCACTCCCCTAACCATGCTCCTTCAAGGAGAAGTTCGTTTTTTTCCTTCATTGATGGCCAGCTCAATTTCTCTCACTGCTTTCAGGGGTGTGTCCTCTTAAAGTACGTAAGTAAGTATGAAAAAACATCATAAGACCTCGCCAGCCTGAGCCCTTGCCACAGGTGACAGGGAGCCCCCTGAGACTTGTGGAGAGCCACTAACAGATTATTTGGGGGTGGGTGGGGGGAATAGAGCATTTATTTTCCAGCATGAGATACTTCCCTGAAACAGGAATTTCACTGGCATTGCTTTCTCTTCCTTCCCAGCCCCACCCCAACCCTCTTACTTGGCTATCCCTGCTAGATCAGCCAATAAAGAGCAAGTCTGCAATTTTCTCCTTCCCTGGCTAGTTCCTGAACCAGTCTACCCTCCCATAATTCCATATGATGAATGGCTCTGATAGGATTAGTTTGACTGCACACAATGGAAACCCAAAAACGGCAATGGCTTAAATACACAAGAATTGATTCTCTCTTGTAAAAGAAATCTGGAAGTAGCCAATCCAGGTCCAGTATGGCAGCTCCATGGGGGAGTGCCGTCTGTCTTTCTGCTCTGCAGCACATGGTTCCAGCTTCAAAGTCACCTCAAGGTCCAAAGTGGCTACTGGAGGTCCAGCCATCATGTCTACTTTCCAGGCAGGAGGAGGAAGAAGGCAAAAGGGATGCATCCCTCAAATGAGTCAATTCCCTTTAAAGAACCTTCTGAGAAGTCCCATACAGCATTCTACTTACATCTCATGACAAGAATTCCTTTGGGGTTTGGAATGGAATTGTATTGAATTTACACCTAAATTTGAAGAGCATTAGCATCTTTACCTTCCAACTTCTAGAAGGTTATCCCATTGTACTTGCACTCTTGAGATCAGCTGTCCTATCTCCATAGACTGAAGTGGACACCTATCAGACAAGAGGTACGAGAACGTCCACTGCTTATTGAGTGCACTAATACAGCTTTCAGAACACTTTGCAACAGACTATTTAGTTTGATTTTTATAATGACCCTATACATTAAGAATTGTATGCTGAGTAAATAATCCAAGAAGCTGGACTATATGAAGAAGAACGGGGCATCAGGTTTGGAGGAAGATTCATTAACAACCTGCGATATGCAGATGACACAACCTTGCCTGCTGAAAGTGAAGAGGACTTGAAGCACTTACGGATGAAGATCAAAGACCACAGCCTTCAATATGGATTACACTTCAACATTAAGAAAACAAAAATCCTCACAACTGGACTAGTAAGTAACATCATGCTAAATGGAGAAAAGATTGAAGTTGTTAAGGACTTCATTTTACTTGGATCCACAATCAACACCCATGGAAGCAGCAGTCAAAAAATCAAACAACACATTGCACTGGGCAAATCTGCTGCAAAAGACCTCTTTAAAGTGTTTAAAAGCAAAGATGTCACTTTAAGGACTAAGGTGTGCCTGATCCAAGCCATGGTGTTTTCAATCGCCTCATATGCATGTGACAGCTAGACAATGAAAAAGGAGGATGAAAGAAGAATTGATGCCTTTGAACTATGGTGCTGGGGAAGAATATTGAATATACCATGGACTGCCAGAAGAACAAACAAATCTGTCTTGGAAGAAGTACAGCCAGAATGCTCCTTAGAAGCGAGGATGACGAGACTTATCTTACATGGTTTGGACATGTTATCAGGCGGTACCAGTCCCTGGAGAAGGTCATCATGCTTGGTAAAGTAGAGGGTCAACAAAAAAGAGGAAGACCCTCAACAAGATGGACTGACACAGTGGCTGCAACAATGGGCTCAAACATGACAACGATTGTGAGGATGGCACAGGATTGGGCAGTGTTTCGTTCTGTTGTACAGAGGGTCACTATGAGTCAGAACTGATTCAAGGGCACCTAACAACAAAATGCATTAAGAACTATTAACACTACTTACTTGGTGGAAAAAGATGAACCTCAGAGAAGTTCAGGGACTTGCCCATGTTCACACAGTAAGTGAAGTGTCAGGGCTTCAACCACAGTTTTCAGGTGTTCTTTCCACTAAGTCACACTATCTTCAGCCTATCAATAGATGCTGAGGTTTATCTTTTTTCTTCTCACAGGACCTCCTAAAAACATTTTACTTCTTAGTGGGGGTGGGTGGGAGGTGTATCCGTCAACTTATTACCACAGTGACCTTGGGGAAGGAAGCCCTAGATTTGTTGCAAGCATTAAGTGAAATAATTTATCTAAAGTACAGTTTGGACAATGTCTGGTACATGTGAAAAATAAGTAATTATTATTATTGTTATCATTGTAAAGTTAAAGCCCATCACTTGTATATTTTAGAAAGTTGTGCCAAGAACTTTGCTAGGTGATGGCACTAAATAAGAAAACTCAGTTACTGCACATGAAGTGCCTACATCAGCAAGGTTTATCCTGAACCGCAGCCAATCATCCCTTCTCCACCCTGTCACCCCCACTGTGCATGCTTCCACCTTGGGAGAGGCAGTGTTGTAGAGTGGTCAAGAGAGTAGGCTGGGAGGCCAACTGCTTGGGTCTGAATGCCTGCACCAGTCCTTACTGGCTGTGTGACCTTCAACAAGTTTCTCAACCCCTCACTGCCTCAGATTCCTCACCTGTAAAATGAAAGAACAAATCAGCCTTAGAGGAAGTACAGCCAGAAGTACATGCTCCATAGAACAAGGATGGCGAGAATTCGTCTTGCTCTCTTTGGGCACATCATCAGGAGGGACCAATCCCTGGAGAAGGACATCATGCTTGGTAAAGTAGACGGTCAGCAAAAATAAAGGAGATGCTCCATGAGATGGATTGACACAGTCGCTGCAACAATGGGCCCAAACACAGCAATAATTGTGAGGATGGTGCAAGACCAGGCAGCATTTCATCCTGTTATACATAAGGTCACCATGGGTTGTCACTGACTTGACAGCAACTAACAACAACAACAACATGGGAACACTAATAATAGTATCTACATCCTAGGGTTGTCATAAGGATTAAAAGAATTCGCACAGGTAAAGCACTTAGAACAGTAGCTGGTACGTCGTAAGTGCTCAGTGTTCATTTTGGGGTTTTTTGTTTTGTTTTTGTTTTCAGTTCTTTCTAAGTCTCACAGGTACTGGCCACATAATATGGCCTGGAAAGAAGAGAGGTCTGAGAAGTATTGCTGACTGTCTTCTCTCTCTCTCTCTCTCTCTCTCAGGGTGAGCTCTTTCTGAATGACCAAACGTGCAGAATTGTGCAGCGGGAGCTCTTGTTTGATCTGGGTGTGGCCTATGGCATCGACTGTCTGCTAATTGACCCCATGCTGGGGGGCCGCTGTGACACTTTTGCTAGTTTCAATATCTCGGTCAGTCCCAAAAACAACACTGTAGTAAGGGAACCTTGGGTCAGAGAACAGTCCTCATGATACGTAGTGGACTCTGTTGTGGAACCACTAAGGGCTGGTCCTCAGCGAGCCCAGGACCCAAGAGGTCTGACGGCCAAATGACTGTGGTTTTCAAATTTAGAATCATTAAGCATCTACTTAGCTCTGCATAGGCCTGGCACATTCTCATTTATCTACCTGCCCACCCACCCATTCATTCCTTCACCATTAAGTAAACAGTCATTGGGTACCAACCATGAGTCATTTTCAAATCCATCCATCCAGTCATTCGTTCATTCTTTCAACAAACTTTTTTTAAGTTTCTGCAAGATTAAGTCATGAAATTACCATATTTGACCATTTTTTACCTACAAAAATGGCAATTTCATTATGATTCAATCTAATATATGCCACCTACACTTCCATTTCTTTACCTATTCATTCAACAACATTGCCTGAGCATCCATCCTGGGCCGTGCACCATGCTAGGCATTTTCACATTTCACACCCATTCATCCATCCAACACCCAGTTATTGAGTACCACCTTTGGGCCAGCCATTTTGCTCAATGCTCATTTTTTACCCTCATAATAATCTTGGAAGTAGATATCATCAGCTCCTTTGTTTATTTGGAAATTGAGTCTCCAAGAGGTGACATGACTTTACATGGCAAAGTCTGACACCAGTTGATATCAGTACCTGGCACCTAGTAAGGCACTCAATAAATGCCTCCAAATTTTTAGGATACCACTCAACCAAAGTAAGAGATGAAACCAATTGTCCCTTCTGCTGTAGGGGTTGTGACCTTTATAATTTCCAAAGTATATTCACACACATTTTTTTCAACTGATCACCCCCCCCACCCACAACCATTCACCTAAAGATCAAATAGCAGCAAGAATTATTATCATCCCTATTTTATAGATCATAAAACTACGGATCAAAGAGTACAAGTGATTGGCCAAAAGTATCACAGCTAATTTATAATGGAACTGACATGTGTATCCACATTTCCCACTGCCACTGTACAATATCCCTGTATGACACTGCCCGGGTATTGCTCTTTATAACAGGGAACTTGTGCCCTGGAAGAACCACAGCAAGGAGTTAGGTCCAAGACAGACCTTCAGAACTCTCCATGGCAGAGTTCCAGTGTATTTTATGTCTATATTCTTGATCATAGCCCAACCTTAATCAAGATTAATTAAGTTCTTAATCAGCCTATCGAGGTTTTTAACCAAGAGCATTTTCTTGTGTTTTCCAATGTTCTTGACTGTTAAGTGTTGCTTTTGTTTCATACTAGGGGAGTTGTGGGAGCTGTATCACTACTCCCAGCTGCCCATGGGGGAGCAAATCAAAGGTAATTATGAAGACAGTGATATTGTTTGGAGAGCAGTAAGTTTGTTTCATTATCATACCCCAGTCTTCTGGTGTGTTAAGTGTGTGTGCACGCGTGTGTATGTATACATGTATCTTTGGTGTGTTTTATAGCTACAATTTATGTCATTTTTCTCAACGATCAAGCCAATGGCATCTGAGATGGACATTCTCAGCCCAGGCAACCTACAAACCCACTACCCATCTTTCAGGAACTGTCCAGAAATGTCATGAGATTGTAGAGCTAAAAGGGACTTCAAAGATAATTATCATTAAAAAATACTGGCTACATTTTGTTGGTTGCTGTCCATGTCTCAGGCTTGGTTCTAGGCCCTTTATATACTTTAGTTTTATTCCTCCTTACAATACTCAAAGGATGCTATTGTTGGTTCCACTTTACTTATGAGAAAATGAGTCTCAGAGAGGTTAAGCAATTAGCCTAAGCTACACGGCTAGTAAGGAGAAAAGCGAGATTAGGGTCCAGAAAGCAATACAGAGTAACAGTTAAGTCAATGAAATTTGGAGTCAACAGGTGTGGAATTAAATTCCACCGAGTAACCTTTGACAAGTCACATAATCTATCAGTTTTTGTCTCTGTAAAATGAAGATAATGACAATTCTGTATGAGGTTATTAGGAAAAATACATTTTAAAATATGGATACAGAGCCTGGTAGATAGCCAGTTAAAAAAAAAAGAAAAACCAAGCCCGTTGCCATCAAGTTGATTCTGACTTATAGCAACCCTATAGGACAGAGTAGAACTGCCCCATAGCGTTACCCGATGAGCAGCTGGTAGATTCAAACTGCTGACCTTTTGGTTAGCAGCCATGCTGTTAATCAGTGCACCACCAGGTCTCCACATAGCCAGTGCTCCTTAAATAGTAGCTGAAGCCAAGCTCTTCCCACTCTACTGTACTCTGCTAGTAAAATCTCTAGCAAAAACACCTCTACAAAACAAAATATAACTCAGACCCTCCTGCAGATGATTTTGGGCCTTGCCAACCTTTAATACATCACCTCCCATGATGGGAGGAGGTACAAACGGTGAATGCACTTGGCTGCTAACCCAGAGGCACCTCAAAGGAAAGACCTGGCAATCTACTTCCAAAAAATCAGCCATTGAAAACCCTATGGAGGAAAGTTCTACTCTGGCACACATGGGTCACCATGAGTCGGAATTGACTCAACGGCAACTGGTATTACAAATACCCATAATGGGAAGCCATTGCGCCTAGGCAACCATACCATTTGCAAGCAGCTGTAAGGGTCAGCAAGTCCTTCCTCTTAACACAGGGAAGAAACCTTCTTCCTGTAGATTCTAGCTCTGACCTCCCTACCTTCCCTGGAACGGTGCTTTCACCTTTGTCTGTTGACACACCTCCTAAAAGAATTGCCTTGTGAAAGACTCATGGCCATTGAACATCCCATTTTCAACTTGGGCAGTACCGGGATCCTCCACTAGGGGGCGGACTAGAGACTAATACCCTAGAGTGTTAGGTAGAAAACTGAGGGATGGATCACTCTTTGTGTCCTTTAGGGTGTGAAGCAGAAGTGTCTCTACAACCTGCCCTTTAAGAGGAACATGGAAGGCTGCCAGCAGCAGTGCATCATGGTGGTGCAGCTCCCCAGGTGCTGCACGGGGTACTTCGGGCGAGACTGTCAGGGTGAGGGCACCTCTTCCCCGCCTCGCAATTCTGAAAGGATTGTATACTCACTGTACTGCATTTGAAAGTACCGAAAAGTATAAAGAGGTGGGGGGAAACATCTCTCTTAATGTTTTCCCCAACCTAAAAGCAATCGTTCTGAAGAATTTTTTATATTTTCCTTCTACTGTTTTCTTTTGACAAATTTTGCTTTTTACTGAGTTGAGATTTTTATGGTGTATATATTGAATTGTGGGTCAGGCTCTTTTGCTTAACTTAATAGCACAGACATTTTCCTATGGTGCTAAAAACACCAAATATTTCATTTTTGATGCTATGCAATGTCCATGATACTGATAAGCACAGGAGCTTAAATGCATCTGATATGATTCTACCTTGGCAAAGTGATACACTGATATGACATGTGTGGGTGATAATTTCCTGAAAACTCCCTGTTATGGGATGTATATCATTGCCTTACTCTTATTTCTCCAGGAAAGAGCTCCTCTGACAAAGGGGATTTAGGCACATCCTGAAACCTCTGTGTCTAGATACAACTTGCAGCCAAAGATACATCAACAATGAGCAACATAACACTTACATGGCATTTAACATGTGCCACATATTGTTCTAAGAGGCCATTTACTGGGCGTCTACTTCCCATATCTATCGCATACATGGTCGATCCTCATTATTTGCAGACTGCATGTTTGCAAATCCGTCTGCTCACTAAAGGTTACATGTAACCTCAAAATCAATACTTGCAGCGCTTTTGTGGTCATTCACAGACATACAAAAAGCAACAAAAAATGTGAGTCACCGAGCACATGTTCCCAGCTGAGGCTGAACAAGATGATGCTCTGCCTTCTTATTTCAGCTCTCATAATGTAAACAAGTTTGTCCCTTTCACAGTCTGCTTGTGCCACATTTTTCGCATTTTTGTGCTTTTCGTTGGTGATTTTGGCTATTTAAAATGGCCCCCAAGCATAGTCCTGAAGTGCTGTTGAGTGTTCCTAAATACAAGAAGGCTCTGATGTGCCTAACAGAGAAAAATACGTGTGTTAGATAGGCTTCACTCAGGCATGAATTATAGTGCTGTTGCCTGTGAGTTCAATGTTAATGAATCAGCAATACATATAAGGTGTCTTTCAACAGAAATAAACAAGTTTATGTGTTGATCAGTTGATGAACCCTATACTTCGCAGGAACAGTGGTTTGGTATTCATTAATTCAGTGTTCATGGCAACTTTATAGAACATAACTACTGTGAATAACAAGAATCGACTATATATCAATTCATTTCATCTTCACAACAACCCCTAGGAAGTAGGTGCCATTATTATCCCATTTAACAGGTGAGAAAACTGAGGCATAGAAAGGATAAACACAAGGTCCCACAGTGTGCGTCCAGAAGCCATGCTTTGCATTACTGTGCATGCTATATTCACTGTGGTCTAGATGAGGACATTTTGAGCTGAGAGTCTCCGCAGTCACCCAGCCTCCACCCTCCATCACGAACGTGTGGACCATTCACAAATCAGCGCCACCCCTTACATTTGGCATTTTATATTTTCAAAACGCTCTCAATTATATTACTTCATTTGATCCTCACAAGAATACTGCGGTATGGGTCAAGCAGACATCATCATCATCACCATTTATTGTTGTTTGCTTCCATCAAGTCGGCCAACTCATGGTGACCCTGTGCACAATGGAACAAAAAAATGCCTGGTCCTATGCCATTCCATGATTGGTTGCAGATCAAGCTATTGTGATCTATAGGGTTTTCATTGGCTAATTTTTGGAAGTAGGTCACCAGGCCTTTCTTCCTAGTTCATCTTAGTCTGGAAGCTCCACTGAAATCTGTTCAGCATCATAGCAACACACAAGGCTCCACTGACAGACGGGTGGTGATTGCACATGAAGTACACTGGTCAGAAATCAAACCCAGATCTCCTGCATGGGAGGCAAGAATTCTACCACCAAACAACCATTGCCGTCATGTTCTTATTATTTAGAGCTAAGAAAACTGGTGCTCAGAGCAACTTAATTACTCAGCCAAATCTACTCAAATCCAGGTCTCCTGACCCCCAGGACAGCGCATGGTTCAGTATATTCCCATGCCAAAATAGAATCATATCAGATGCATTTAAGGTCATGTCCCATAGGCCAGTAGCTCGCCCTAAACATCCAGCAACACCCGGGACCATGGTCCCTCTTGGCTAATGGGTGCCAGAATCCACAGCGGAAGACTGTTTAGCAGCATCATTTACAAAGACACTGAGCTCCTCTGGGTCTGGGGAGGCTGCTGAGTCACTGCTGTTTCATCTCTTCCAGCCTGTCCCGGAGGACCGGATGCCCCGTGCAATAACCGAGGTGTCTGCCTTGATGAGTACTGGGGCACGGGAGCGTGTAGATGCAACACTGGCTTCAGTGGGACGGCGTGCGAGCTGTGCTGGCCGGGGAGATTCGGGCCCGACTGTCAGTGTATGTGGCACCCCTTCCCTGTGCTGTAGCCTGGTTTTAGCTGTGTGCCTCCTGTCCTCATCCCCACCTTCCACCTAACCTGGAAGCTTCCTTCCTCCCCTTTCTCCCAGCCACCACCTCCCATCTGCCTGCCCTGTGTGCTTCTTTCCTCCTTGGGTGAATTCCCAGTTTCCACCCACTGAACAAGACTCGTCTCTAGAAGTGAAATTCACCTCCCCTGCAGCCACCAAGGCGAGCTGTGGCTGAACAACGTTCATTCATTCCTTCAACCAATAGATATTTATTGAATCCTTACCGATATTGATAGCTGACATTTATTAATTTATTTATATAGCATATAAATAATATCATATATAATTATTTGATGATTGATTGAATCCGTAAGTGCTTACTACATGCCAGGCATGTAGGTTTTGCTCACTTAATCCTCATTAACAACCCTTTGAGGCAGGTACTATTATTATTAGCCCCACTTAACAGATGAGGAAGTCAAGGCATAAAAATGTTAAGTGACTTGTTTAAAAGCCTGGTATTGTCCTAAATTCTAGAGATAAGTGGTGGAAGGGAAAAAAAGAAAAATTCTAGCTCTCAAGGAGGTTACATTCAAAGGGAGGAGACAGATAAAAACTATAGAAACAGAAATCATTACAAGAGTTACAAAGAAAAAAGAATGCAAGCAAATGGGATAGAGAATAAAAGGGGCACTGTTTTAGAAGACACCTCAGACAGGGAGCATTTGAGTCGAGACCTCACAGAGGATATCGGGAGAAGCACTGTCCAATCAAACTCTCAGCGATGCTGGAAATGTTCTACAGCTCCACTGTCCAGGATGGTAGCCCCTAGCTACATGTAGCTATTGAGCACTGGAAATTTTTTAATTTTAGCTAGTTTGCATTTAAATAGCCACACTGGTTAGTGACTACTGTACTGGACAGCGAGGACTGAGGAATGGCTTTCCCATCAGCTAGAGGAACAAGTGCAAAGGCCCCGAGGCAGGTGAAGGCTTGGTACGTGAGGAACAGCAAGGAGGCCCAGGTGGCCAAGCAGAGTGGGCAAGGAAGAGGAAGACAGGAAGGAATGAAATCTGAAGGTCTCCAGGGGCCAGATCCTGTAGGAGCCTCTTGGCCAGAGAAAGGTCTTCAGAGTCTATTCTAAGTGTGATGGGCAGCCAGAGGAGAACTGTGAACTGGGGAGTGTTATAAGCAGACTGAAAAGGAGCACTCCAGCTACTCCTTGGAGAATACATGTTGGAGGGCAGGATGACCTTTAGGGAAGCTAATGTAGCAATCTAGGTGAGAGCTAATGGAGCTGTGGTAGTGCAGGAGGTAGTGAGAAATGGTGGAATTGGTACATATTTTGAAGACTTTAGTGTTAAATTGGGGAACAAAATGCTGCCTGGTCCATTAGTTGTGGATCAGACCATCGTGGTCCAGAGGACCGTGGTTTTCATTGGCTGATTCTCAAAAGTAGATCTACAGGCCTTTCTTCCCAGCCTTTCTTAAGCCTAGAAGCTCCACTGAAACCTGCTCAGCATCATAGCAACACACAAGCTTCCACTGACTGATGGGTGTTGGCTCGCATGAGGTGCGTTGGCTGGGAATCAAACCTGGATCTCCCGCATGGAAATCGGGAACGCTACCATTGAACCATCACTGTCCTCTGTCTCCCATAACACCCTCTCCTTCTGCATTCATAGCGTTCATTGCATTTATAATTCTGTGATCTACAGCTGGTTCCCTCCTAGACTATAAGCTCCATGAGACTAAGGACCTTATCTATTAAGTTTTCCACGGCAACCTCATTGCCTACTAGTGTATGACCCATAATAGGCACTGAATACAGTTGTGTGTTTAGGTTTTTATCAATGTTTGAATAAATGAATGAATGAATGACTATGGCATAAGCAGTCTCCCACACTGAAAACGCACAGCGAGCAGGTGAGCAGTAGCTGGCTGACATGATTTCAATCCCTGATTGCTGATCACTGCTCACATTTTGCTTTCCAGCCTGTGGCTGCTCTGACCACGGACAGTGCGATGACGGGATCCTGGGCTCCGGGCAGTGCCTCTGTGAAATGGGGTGGACAGGCCGCTTCTGTGACACTCAGACAGGTCTGTCATGGGCATGGTCAGTTGCCAGACCACACCGAGAGCATCCAACTGAGGCTCTGGGCCTGAGTAACCCCTGAAAAAATGGATAAAGCAGGTGTTCCCATTTCCATGGGGAAAAGATGATTGGGCTATGTGGCCTTGGGCTTCAGGAGGCTTGGCAACTTTCAGGAAAACTAGATGAAAAGATTTAACACAAACCCGTGAAACCAGCATGTCAGCCTGTGCAATTATGGAAAGACCCACTCAGGCAAAGAATCCCAAGACAGGCAGGGTGATGCTTCTGTACCGTGGCCATGGGCCCAGATGTTGACTGACTCGAGGCCAAGTGGTCTAATAGGAAACACACAGTCTTTGGAGTCCACAAGACCAGCATCTGACCCCTGATTCTGCTACTTACTAGATGAATGACCTTAGGTAACCCACCCTCTCTGAGCCTTCATTTGCTCATCTGTAAAAAGAAAATCACACACCTTGCAGGAGGCAGGATTGTTAGGAGGGTCCAGAAATCATGTTTTGGAAGAGCCTAGTGTATGTAGAGGAGCTCTGACAAAACAGTCGCTGCCATGATCATTGTTACATCATCATCGTAACCTCCATCATCACTACCGCCACCAGTTGCCACTCAGTCAGTTCTGACTCCTGGCGATCCCATGTGTGTCAGATTAGAACTGTGCTCCATAGCTTTTCAATGGCTGGTCTTTTGGAAGCATCTTTCTTCTGAAGCACCTCTGGATGGACTCAAACCCTCAACCTTTTGGTTAGCAGCCGAGCATGTGGACCGTTTGCACAGCCCAGGGACTCCTCATCATTACTAAGCAGACAGGCTTCTGAGGTTGCCCTCATACCAATGCCCTATGTTCTGGTGGAATGTCTGAGATGTGAGAGTTGAATTATCCAACAGTGAATTATTGGCATTTCATTCACAAAGGCATGACTAGGCTCTTTCTATGGGCTTTATAGCAACCTGAAGTTTCAAGAATTCCAATATGGTTAGCGTCAATTCCTTCTACTCTCACCTCCTCCTTCCTCCTCCCCTAAACACCCCATACCTCCTGCTAATACTCATGTTAACACTGCAGCTCATCCAATCACCAAAGCTCCACTTAGCCCAAGCTTGGTGGTACTCTCAGAAGGCCATGGAATTTCCTATCCACTTTAACCATCTCCACCTGGAACCCCATGCCCTTAGGACCTGAGAGCTAATCTGCCAAATTATTCCCTGCTAGTGAATCCACCACCACTCCTTGGCAACTCTGTAGGGCAGTTCTACTCAGTCCCGTAGGGTCACTATGAGTCGGAATTGACTCAATGGCAACAGGTTTGGTTTTTTGGGGTGAGTTTTAGGGTGCAAAGTTTGAGTTGGTTGCCCCTAAAGGTAACATATTTGCATTTTAATTTTAATAATGTTGTAGAGATAATGGCTTAATATAAAGGAGTAATTCTAGAATCTCAGTGTCTGTAGGTTGGGAGGGACCTTGGCAAACCTCCCTTCCTCCGGCTGCAAGGGGGGACTTTTGAAACATAGTGGCAGGCTAGTGAGAGAAAGAGACTTGGGAAAATCCTTAAGTGGGACCCAACTCTTCGCACCACAAGAGCAAGATGAATGAGAGCCACTTTCTTTGCAGTCTTGCCCTCAGTGTGCACACCTCCTTGTTCTACTCATGCCACCTGTAAGGAGAACAACACATGTGAGTGTAACCTGAATTATGAAGGCGACGGAATAACATGCACAGGTGGGTGCCCTTTGTGTGTGTATGAAATAGCAGCATGGTGCTGGAGAGGAGGGGGACGTCGTCAGGGTCCCTGGGTCCCATCCTAGCTCTTCTACTTCCTGTCCAGGCAACTTCAGCAGTACCTACCCTTTCTGAGACTCAGTTTCCTTATCTGAAAATGGGTTTCCTCATGCCTGACTTACCCACCTCCTGGGTCATGGTTTTAAAATTACTTTGTAAACTATGATGCCCTTTATTTTATAGTTTTTTCTCCTACCTCTACAAGCATTCAGTCTTACTTTAAAAATTTCAGAAAATGCACTAAAGTATAAAAATAAAAAACAGTAAATATACTCTCACCACTTGATGAAAACCACTGTCTATCTATAGCAGTTTGCAATGTCTGTCTGTAGTAGTGTGGATATAGACTCAGCTATACAGAGACCCAAATGAAGAGTGGCATAAACAAAGTAGACGTTTATTTCTACTTCACATAATGGTGTAGAGGGAGGCATCCAGGACTAACACGGAGATTTTCTTTGAAAGGTTTCCAGGAACCCAAACTCCTTCCATCTTGTTGCTCTGCCATCCACTCACTTCCCTGGTCCAAGATGGCGCCAGTACTACCATAAGTACTTCCCAGCCAGTAGGACAGAGGAGGAGAGGGAGGGGACAAATCTCCTTCTCTTTAAAGACATGACCTAGAAGTTTCAAAAATCACTTCAGCTCCCATCCCATTGGCCAGCACCTCATTACTTGTCACACCTAAGTGCAAGAAAGCCTGGGAAATGTAGTTTTCAGCTGGGCAACCATGAACACAGCTAAAAATCTATTCAGTAGAAAAAGGACAAGAATAAGTATTGGGGAAAAGCTAGCAGTCTTGGCTATATGTCCTTCCTAACTTTCTTCATGAATAAATACTCTGTCTTAGTCTGGGTTCTCTAGAGGAGCAAAGCCAGTGAAGTATATATAAATATACAGAGACAGAAATTTACTTCAAGGAAATGTCTCATGTAATTGTGGGGGGTGGCAAGTCCCAAATCCGTGGGTCAGGTGGCAGGCTGAAAACCTCTGCTGGCTCACATGGTCACAGGGGCTGACGAACCCCAAATCTGCAGGTCAGGTGGCAGGCTGGAGGCCTCTGCTGGCTCATGGGGTTGCAGGGTCACAGGGGTTGGCGAATCCAAAATCTGCAGGTCAGGCAGCAGGCCAGAGATTTCTGTAGGCTTGTGTCCCAAGAACCGGAGGTCAGGCAATGAGAAGAGTACAGGGCTGAGAAAGAGAGTGAGGTTTGCCAGAATATCCATTTATATACTGGAGGTAGGCCATGCCCCCAAGGAAACTCCCCATTTGACTGATTGGCTGCTCACATCAGATTACAAAATGGAAGAGAATTACATTATGGAAGAGCACCTGCCAAACCACTGAGAATCATAGCCCAGTTGACACATAACATTAACCATCACATACTCATACAGAGTACAGTGAGGTCTTGCTATACCAGCTGTTTGTAATCTGCTACAAGGCAGTCCAGAAGCAATGCCAGCAAAGACCCAGTTTTGATCTTTCTACTCTGCCACCCTTAGAGGGAGGGCTTCTGTCATCATGTTCATTCTCTCTGTCTCTGGTGGCTGCCATGACTTAGGCAGAAAAGCAGGCAAGTATCTTTCTAGCTACTCCTGGGGATAGGACTAATCTATTATTGGGTTGAAATTTTGGAAATTATGAAGATAAAGGTCATAGAGATAACACTAGGAAAAACATGGACTTTGGAGCCTACCTAACCTAACTAATCCCACTCCCACCACATACTACCTGTTTTACCTTTGTCAAGTCAGTTAATCTTTCTGAGCTTCAGTTTGTTCATCCGTAAAATGGGGGTAACAATGTCTCTCTCACAAGGTGCTCAATTAATGTTGCACTAACACACACACGCACGCACATAATGTCCTAACATTAAAAAACCCAAATTTATTCTGAAAACTACTTCGAAAGTAGAGCCGAGTAGGTCTGTGGCAAAGAGGGGCAGAGGTGGACAGAAGTCATCAGGCCTGGTCTATGAGGTGCCACAAGGATATTAGTGTTTACAAATGCTAGCACAGAGGCAGCAGGGTGTAGGGAGAAGAAGCTCATTGGGGCCCACTGACTCCCCCAGCACCACGGGTGCTGGGGTGACCCATACCTCAGTCTGAAGCCCCAGTTACAGAGATGTGGGAAAATTGAGCCCTCTCACCCCTGTTCTTGCAGTTGTGGATTTCTGCAAACAGAACAATGGAGGCTGTGATAAGGTCGCCAAGTGCTCCCAGAAGGGCACCAAGGTCTCCTGCAGCTGCCCAAAGGGCTACAAGGGGGACGGTCGCAGCTGCACAGCAATAGACCCCTGTGCGGATGGCCTCAATGGTGGCTGTCACGAGCACGCCATCTGCAAGATGACTGGCCCGGTGAGTCACTCCTTCCCAGGGGAATTTAGGAGCATCTTCTTGGGCTTCACTCAGCCTTGCTTCTCCACCTGTCTGGGGTCCTGCTCGCCATTCACCCTCTTCCTAAGCTTTCTTTGCATCTCAGTCTATTTCTTGTTAAAAGTTGGAGGGCTAAATGCAAGGTGGTATCCTGGACAGAAAAAGGACATTAGTGGAAAAATTGGTGAAGTCCAAATAAAATCCATTGTTTAGTCAATAGTAGTGGACCAATGTTAATGTCTTAGTTTGGATAAATGTGCCATGGTCACATAAGATGTTGACATTAGAGGAAACTGGGTGAGCTCTCTGTGCTATCTTTGCACTTTTCTATACATCTAAAATTATTCCAAAATAAAGTTTATTAAAATGAAAAGTTGTTGGGAAATGGCATGAAAAGTGCCAGTTTGGGCAATCACCCAAGTCTTTTTAGGATGGAATCAATGTTCTGTTTATCTGGTGGAGGAGAGAAGACTGTGGAAGATAATGTCCATTATGGTTGCAAGCATGGACTTGAAGTCAGACAGACTTTGAGTCTTAGCTCCTAGGCTTAAAAGCTCTGTGGTCCTGGGCTGGTTACTTCATCTCTCTCAGCCTAAGGCTTCCTCATCTGTAAAACCAAAAAAACCAAACCTGTTGCCGTCAAGTCAATTCTGACTCATAGCAAGCCCATAGGACAGGGTAGAACTGCCCCCATAAGGTTTCCAAGGAGCGGCTGGTGGATTCGAACTGCCGACCTTTTGGCTGGCAGCTAAGCTCTTAACCACAAAAGTGGCATATAATAATGCAGACCTCAGAAGGTTGTTGTGAGGAGAATATTAGAGCCCTGGTGGCACAGTGGTTAAGAGCCCAGCTGCTAACCAAATGGTTGGCAGTTCAAACCCACCAGCAAGTCCTTGGAAACCCTATGGGTCAATTCTACTCTGTCCTGTAGGGCCGCTGTGAGTTGGAATCGACTCAATGGTAATGTGTATTAATTCAACAAATGGTTGTTGAATACCCACTGTGTGCTACTGTAGGTGTCAGGGGTACAGCAGTTAAAAAGACAAACACAGTCCCTGATTTTCTGGAGCCTGTGTACAAGTAGAAGGAGCCCTGGCGGTGCAGTGGTTAAAGCACTCCGCTGCTAACTGAAAGGTTGGTGATTCAAACCCACCAGCCACTCCACAGGAGAAAAATGTGGCAGTCTGCTTATGTAAAGATTAGAACCTTGGAAGCCCCATGGGGCAGTTCTACTATGTCCTATAGGGTTGCTACGAGTCAGAATCAACTCGATTGCAACGGGTTTAACAGGTGTACAAGTGGAGGGAGGAGGGCAATGCTTAGTACAGAAATCAATGCACAGGAAGACACTTTCACACCGTGGACAGCTATGATGTACATAAATCAGGCCAATGTGATAGGAGGAACTGGGAGGGCCACTTTATTTAGGGTGGCAGGGAAGGCCCTCTGAGGAGGGGATATTTGAGCTGAGATGTAAAGGGTGACAATATTTCATCATAAGCCCATACAAAAGCAGGACAGAGCAGTTCCTCTGGAAGGAGAAGCATGCATTCTTGGTCCTGCTTTGCTGGGGGGTGGTCCCCAGAGCACTTGGGAGTCCTGAGGTCCTAGAGAAGGGGCTTCTTTCATCCTTTCCCACTCTCTCCCCAACAGGGCAAGCGCAAGTGTGAATGTAAAAGTCACTACGTGGGAGACGGGCTGAACTGTGAGCCAGAGCAGCTGCCCATTGACCGCTGCTTACAGGACAATGGGCAGTGCCACGCGGATGCCGACTGTGCCGACCTCCATTTCCAGGGTCAGTGTGGCTAGGTGCAACTGGCCCCGACACTGTGGTCTTCAGGCCTGGGGAACGGACCTGTGCCAGAGAAAGGAAAAAGCAGGACCCAAACAGCCCATGCACTGCCCAGGAGCCAATGGAGGCAGTGGGCCTCTGCTAGCAGAAGGGCAGGGTAAACTCAGAATTGGATCTTGAGTTTTAAGACCAGGAGGGGGCTCAAAGGTTTTCTATCCCGAATCTTCCTGATGCTTGGTTTTCCCAAGTTGCTTAGTAACTCTTATAACCATTGACTGGAATTAAATCTAAGAAGCACAGTTTAGGGTATTAAATAACAATGAGGAGGTGTCTGCCACTTGCAGAAGCAATTTCTTAGCAGTTGTATTAGTAGTAGCACATTGGTTGGCATATGCCCCAATTAATTCTAAGAATGATTTCAGTGGCTTATAATAAACCAATGGGTATAATAAAACTAAGAATCATAACACAAAATCAGATTAAAAAAATAAAACCCCAAGTAGCAAGTGCAGAAAACTCGTTGCCGTTGAGTCGATTCCAACTCACAGAGACCCTATAAAACAAAAAAACCAAACCCACTGCCATCGAGTTGATGCCAACTCATAGCTACCCCATAGGACAGAGTAGAACTGCCCCACAGCGTTTCCAAGGAGCGGCTGGAGCAGTCAAACCGTTGACCTTTTAGTTAGCAGCGGAGCTCTTAACCACTATGCCACCAGCGCTCCAGAGATCCTATAGGACAAAGTAAAACTGCCTCATAGGGTTTCCAAGGATGTAATCTTTACAGAAGCAGACCACCACATCTTTCTCCTACAGAATAGCTGGTGGGTTCAAACCACTGACCTTTCGGTTAGCAGACAAGCACTTAACCACTGTACCAGGTGGGCTCCTTAGTAAGTGCAGAGGTACAGGCAATAGGACATCTTGAAACCTGATAGAGAAAAATCTGAAAGGACCCACAAACATAGTTTTGAACCAGAACAAGAAGGGACTTCAGTGGTTCAGAAAGTGATCAGTATTTATTGGTTATCTCTGGTTGGGGTGGGGTTGGGGGTGGGGTTGCGTTTGTTTTACAGACACAGTAATTTTGCTGGCCAGTTTTTATCTATCTCAACAACTATTGACTTAACACCTATTATGTACCAAGTCCTGAGATACCTCAAATCCCTTTGGGGAAGAGGGGAAAACACACTGGATACAGAAGCCTTTGTCTCTTATCACAAGGAGATTCCCAATGGAGTTGAGGGACTTTGTTAAATTAAAAAGAAAAGGAAAAGAAAGCAATATGACAGAAGACAGCAATGTATGTATGTGCTGATGATGCAGCTGAGACAAGAGAGCCAGAACGGCTCAGCGAAGGGAAAGGTCTCTAGGAGAGGTAAGGGAGGGAGTCTTCAGAGAAGCATAATACAGGTCTGGGACTGTGGTGGAGTCTTGAAGGATGTTTGAATTGGGCTAAGCACAGAAGCGCCTCTGGGTGGGATTCCAATGGCAACTAACAACAACAAAGCACAGAGCAGCAAAGTATTTCTGTGGTGGCGACAGACTGGACCGACGTGAGAATTATCAAGGGTCAGCTGAGAAGGACAAGGCAATGAGGAGGACAGAGTGATACCAAGGCTGTGGTCCCAAGGTAACAGGGTCTCTACTGGGAAAAAGAGTGAGACAAGGGAGAAAAGGGCACACAGTGGACAGAGAGTGAAGAAAGAGACGGGATCGAAACCAACGTAAGGTTTCCATCCTGGAACACCAAACCCAGCGCCAGTGCTGGGCTAAAGCAGATGGGGAGGGAAGACCAGCGGAAGACTGAAGAGCTTAGCTGGTGGTATTCTTTTTTCTTAGTAGGTTTTTATTTTTTCTTTTCTTTTTTTTTAATTGTACTTTAGATGAAGGTTTACCGAACAAATAGTTTCTCATTAAGCAGTTAGTACACATATTGTTTTATGACAATGGTTAACAACCCTATGACATGTCAACACTGTCCCTTCTCGACCTTGGGTTCCATATTACCAGCTTTCCTGTCCTCCTGCCTTCTAGTCCTTGTCCCTGAATTGTTGTGCCCCATTAGTCTCGTTTTGTTTTATGCAGCTGTCTAATCTTTGGCTGAATAGTGAACCTCGGGAGTGACTTCATTACTGAGCTAAAAGGGTGTCCAGGGGCCATACTCTTGGCGTTTCTCCAGTCTGTCAGGCCAGTAAGTCTGGTCTTTTTTTGTGAGTTAGAATTTTGTTCTACATTTGCTCCAGCTCTGTCTGGGACCCTCTGTTGTGATCCTTGTCAGAGGAGTCAGTGGTGGTAGCCGGGCACCATCTAGTTGTACTGGACTCAGTCTGGTGGAGGTCGTGGTACTTGTGGTCCATTAGTCGTTTGGACCAATCTTTCCCTTGTATCTTGTTTTTTTTCCTTCTCCCTTGCTCCCGAAGGGGTGAGACCAGTGGAGTATCTTAAGTGGCTGCTCACAGGCTTTTAAGACCCCAGACGCTACTCATCAAGATAGAATGTAGAACATTTTCTTTATAAACTGTGTTATGCCAGTTGTTAGCTGGTGGTATTCTGTGTTCAAGGTGATGTAAAGTATCCAGAGAGGGTCTATAGTTAGTTGCTGTTTGGGATGAATCTCTGTACTCTGAACTCAATTGTCTGGTTAGAAAAATATCATTATGAAAAAACAACAAAAATGTTCCAACATCTTAGCTGGGAAATGGCTATAAAACTTTGTTTTAAGGCACAGTGGTAATCAGAAAACACACAGTCCTTGGTAAAAACTCCTTTGATGTGTTGTTCTCAAGGTTGTAAAGTTCACAAATATTATTCAATTATAAGTATTGGGGGGAAAAATCATGTTGCCAAATAAAATTTATAATATTGGAAAATGATCTTGATTTAACGTTAGGTTTGGAAGAATATTTCTAAAAACTATATATTCGGTATGCTACAAAACACCAGAGGCTCTGTGGGAAAAACATGTGGCAGTCTGCGCCATCGAGATCTACGCCTTGGAAATCCTATGGGGTCTCTATGAGTCGGAATTGACTCAACAGCAATGGGTACCAAGATATATATGTATATGTGTGTATACACATATATTCATTTACATGATATATATATTCATTTACACTATATATATATTCATCTACACGATATATATGTTCATTTACACAATATATATTCTTTACATGATATATATAGATATAGACATTGATATAAATATAGATGTATTGATATACATATCATGTAAAAGCATAGAAGAATATGAAATTATATCAAAATAAAAGTTACAAAAAATAAGTAAAGTAAAAATTCTTGAAGGAAGTACACCAAAATGTTAGCCATGGAGTAATGATTATTTCTGGACAAGAGGATTATAGGTAATTTTTGTTTATTTCTTTTTTACTTTTCCGTATTGCCCAGATATCTACAATGAATGTGTGATCATTTTATAATTCGAAAAGAAATACCTGTTTTAAATGATGTGCTTCAGCTTATCTCCAAACGGGAAATGGCTTCCAAGACACCCTGGATACAGCCGACCTTCAGTTTTGAAAGTTCTTCAGAATGCCTTTGCTGGGCTGCCAATGCTGCAAGCACTGCCAGCCAGGCCCACTGACCTGGGCGATTTTTCTCCTTCCTCTTCTAGATACCACAGTTGGAGTGTTCCACTTACGCTCCCCGCTCGGCCAATACAAGCTGACCTTTGACAAAGCCAAAGAGGCCTGTATCAATGAAGCTGCAACCATAGCAACCTACAACCAGCTCTCCTACGCCCAGAAGGTGCGTCCTCCGCTAGTGGGCACCACGCAGTCAGGGTCTGGGGGCAGGGTATGCAGGGGATGAGGTGCAGCCTCTTCTTGAGATAGGAGACGTAGGCTGTTGCCTTCTCCAAGGGGAGTGCAGGGAACTCCTGGAGCAATAACAATTCATCAGGTCCATTTATTAGGTGTCTGCTATGCGTCAGGAGCCCTGGTGGTGCAGTGGTTAAGAGTTCAGCGGCTAACCAAAAGGTCAGCAGTGCAAATCCACCAGCCGCTCCTTGGAAACCCTATGGGGCAGTTCTGTTCTGTCCTATAGGGTCGCTAGGAGTCAGAATCAACTCAACAGCAACGGGTTTGGTTTTTGGTTTGTACTACATGTCAGAGGTCCCTGGGTGGTGCAAACAGTTAAGCGCTCAGCTACTAACCGAAAGTTTGGCGGTTTGAACCCAGCCAGAGGCGCCTCAGAAGAAAGGCCTGGCAATCTGCTTTCAAAAGGTCACAGCCATGAAAACCTTGTGGAGCAGTTCTATTCTGACACACATGGGGTCACTATGAGTCAGAATCAACTTGATGGCAACTGGTTGTTTTTTTGTTTTGTTTTGTTTACTGTGTGTCAGGCGCCATACCAGGCACTTTGTTGATATTTCTGTCTATCCTTATCACATCTTGGGAAGTCGTTGTTATTGTTGTTGGGTACTGTCGAGTCAATTCTAAATCATAGTAACCCCGTGTGACACAGTAGAACTAACCCATAGGATTTTCTTGGCTGTAATCTTTAGTAAAGCAAATTGCAGGTCTTTCTCCCACGAAGCCACTGGGTGGGTTTGAACCGCCAAACTTTCAGTGAGCAGCTTAGTGCTTAACCATTGCACCATTTGGGTGCCTTCCCTGAGAAGTAGGTGTCACTATTTCCATTTTACAGATAGGAAAACCAAGGCTCTGAAAGGTTGAGCACCATGCCCTATGTTACCAGCCAAGAGGTGGCAGATCCAGTATTCAAATGCTGCTCTGACGCCAAAAGTCTGTTCTTAACTGTGACTCTCAGCTGCCAAGGCAGAGCCTGGAAGTGTACACCACACAGCTGGAAACCAGAGAGAGGTCAATAATCCCAAGCCCAGGGTCTCCCTGAACCCACCAAGCAGCGGAGTTTCTCTGGAATAGCTGGAGCTCCCTGTGGCTAGAGGAGCTGAGAAGGGAGTAATGGGGATTGCCCCAGCTCACAGCCACAGCCCGGTAGGAAATGGCCTCTGGCCTGGGCTACTCTCTTAGCTCCTAAAAGCAGAAGCCACTGTCTTAGATGCCTCATGCTGCTCTAACACAAATACCACAAGCGGGTGGCTTTAAAACACAGAAATTTATTTTCTCACAGTTCTGAAGGCTTAAAGTCCAAATTAGAGTCTCGGCCACGCCAGTTCCTTCCTTAGCGGTAGCCTCGGACATTCCTTGGTTCACTGATGATCCTCACCTTGGCATCTGTCTTCCCCCATGTGTGCATGTGTCTACGACTAATGTGCTCTCCTTATAACTCAGAAGTGATTAGATTCAGAACACACGCTACTTAATTAACATGACCTAATTAACATGATAAAGAAGATTCTATTTCCAAACAGGAGGAGTACATCCGCAAGTACAGGGGTTAGGATTCTGTCATAGATTGAATTGTGTTCCCCAAAAATGTGGGTCAACTTGGCTAGACTGTGATCCTCAGTATTATGTGACTGTGCACCATTTTGTCAATTGATGTGATTTTCCGATGCATTGTAAATCCTACCTCTATGATGTTAATAAAGTGGGATTAGCAGCAGTTATGTTAATGAGGCAGGACTCAATCTACAAGATGAGGTTGTGTCTTAAATCAATCTCTTTCAAGATATAAAAGAGAGAAGCAAGCAGAAAGATAGAGGCCCTCATACCACCAAGAAAGCAGTGCTGGGAGCAAAGCACATCCTTTGGACCTGAGGTTCCTGCACTAAGAAGCTCCTAGACCAGAAGAAGATTGATGTCCTTGTTGACAGAGAAAGCTTTTCCCTGGAGCTGGTGCCCTGAATTCGGACTTCTAGCCTACTAGACTGTGAGAGAATATATTTCTCTTTGTTAAAGCCATCCACTTGTGGTACTTCTGTTATAGCAGCACTACATAACGAAGGCAGATTCCAACACATACTTTGCGGGGGACACAATTCAATCCATAACAATGATCAATTAGAGTTCTATCAATCCATAAGCAGAAGAATCTGAACCTATGGGTAGTGGTTGATAGCAAATCCTTTCTCTAGAGCAGAGAGAAAGGAAATGAGTATGAAGGACTCAAGCACCTACAGAAAGAGAGGGCAGCACTTTCATGCATCCAATGGCTCAGTCAACAAAAATTTAAGGAGCACCTACCATGTATACAAATATGAAATTGCAACTGACCCGTGGCCATGTCTGTGCCTCCGCAGGCCAAATACCACCTCTGTTCAGCAGGCTGGCTGGAGACGGGGCGCGTTGCCTACCCCACAGCCTATGCCTCCCAGAACTGTGGCTCTGGCATTGTTGGGATAATAGACTATGGAACAAGAACCAACAAGAGTGAAATGTGGGACGTCTTCTGCTACCGGATGAAAGGTAACTATCCCAGCTGCACTTCAGGTCCAGGCCATGCAGTTTCTGCTCGATCCACAGCCAGACCAGCCAATCTCCAAGGGTGAGCAGGGGCAGCCCAGGCCCCACCTCACTGGGGATGGAACTCTGTGTGCTTCTGCCCTCCAGATGTGAACTGCACCTGCAAGGTGGGCTACGTGGGAGATGGTTTCTCGTGCAGTGGGAACCTGCTGCAGGTCCTGATGTCCTTCCCCTCACTCAAAAACTTCCTGACGGTATGTACCAAGTCTGCTTGGTTTCTCCTTGGGCAAGGGTTGCATCAAAGCAGGTATTAAATGGTAGGTATTAGAAGCACATTAGTGGTTCAGTAGTAGCATTCTCACCTTCCATGCAGGAGACTCAGATTCGATTCCCAGCCAATGCTCCTCATGTGCAGCCACCACCTATCTGTCATAGCATGTTGCTATGAAACTGAACAGGTTTCAGTGGAGCTTCCAAACTAACACAGAGCAGGAAGAAAGGCCTGGTGATCTACTTGGGAAAATCAGCCAGTGAAAACCCTATGGATCACAATGTTCCAATTCACAACTATTCATGGGGATGGTGCAGGACCCGGCAGCAATTTGTTCTGTTGTGCATGGGGTTGCCATGAGTTGGGGGCCAACTCAACAGCAGTTAATAACAACAACATTAGAGGGGCAAGTCCTTGGAAGGAAACAAAGGCTCATGGTAGTAGTTAAGGGCATGGGCGCTGCACCACATCCTCTGAATTTGAAGTTTGGGTTTGCTGTTGCGTAACTGTAAATAAGTTACTTGCCCTCTCTGGGCCTCAGTTTCCTCATTTGTAAAATGGGAATGATGATAGCACCAACGTCCTAGGGTGGTCATGAGAATTAAATGAGTTAATATTCTTAAAGCACTTAGACCAATGCCTGGCATTAAGCAAGTTACTTCCTCTCTCAACTTCAGTTTCCTCATCTGTAAAATGGGAATGATAATAGCACTAACCTCGCAGACTCATTGTGATAATTAAGTGAGTTAATATTTGTAAAGCACTGAAACCTGTGGCCAGCACATGGAAAATTCTGTATTGGTGTTAGCTAATGTTAGTATTTCTGCATCTAGAGCAGTTTGAGAGTCTGGTCTGCAGGAATGAGATGCTCTGTTGTCTTCATGGTGAATGGTCAGGATGGGCACACTTAACTAAGTCTGCTGGGTGATCACTCTCAGAGCCAGGTTATCAACACATAACCAATTTGCATTTTGCACTGCACTTAAAGTCACTTCAATATCTTCAAGGTTATGCACAATTAAGACAGAACCCCATTTGGAGAAGGATTTGGTGTTGATTGAGCAAAGGACTGAGCTAGTAATAATATCAACAGCAATCACGTTTCTGGAGCATTTACTTTGCCTTGGGCATTATATTGACTCTTTTCATTCAAACTCATTTCATTCAACCCACAGAATATAAGCGTGGCGAGGTTAAGATTTTCTCTGCCTTCATCACCATTGCATCCCTGGCACCTCAAACAGTGGCTGGCACATAGCAGGTGCTCAATAAATACTTGTTAAAAGGAGTAAATCCTCACACAACCCATTTTATAGATTAGGAAACTGAGGCTTAGCAGGGTCAAGGATACAGCCTGACAACCTGGAGATAAACTTAAGCTCAGGATGCCTGGCACCAGACACTTCTCACCCATTATGGTGGAGAACAAAGTGACTGAGCCAGGGTTCCAACCAGAACCAGACAATCATGACCTCAGGAGGAGACAGGGCTGGGCATGAGCATAGGGCTTGCGGGAACAAGGCAGAAGTTAGACCAAAATGACCCCAAAATGGTGAGTCTCCATCCACAGCCTGAAGTATCCATCTAACCACTCTAAAAATCATGGTAACCGTGAATACACTAAAGATAAACACCCAAATCAACATTTCTGCTGCATGGGAGCTTGGCTTGTGATGACATTTCAGAAAAAAGACAGTGCCAGAACAAAGCACACTGGCTAAGTGCCCTTCAGCAAATTACTTAACTTCTCTGGGCCTCAGTGGCCCTGTCAGCAAAATGACAAAGTTAGACTGAGTAGTGCAATGTCTTAAAATTTGTTCAACGAATTTTATTGAGCACTTACTATGTGCCTGGGGTACTTCAGTGAACAAAACAGACCAACATACAATAAGCAGAATAAACAAGTAAACGGTAGACTGCTAACCAGTAACCAGTTACCATGGAGTAGACTCCAACTCATGGTGTTCCCATGTGTGTCAGAGTAGAACTGGGCTCCATAGGGTTTTCAGTGGCTAATTTTTCAGAAATAATCACCAGGCCTTTCTTTTGAGGCACCTCTGAGTGTACTTGAACTTCCAACCTTTCAGTTTGCACCTAAGTACATTAACCATTTGCAGTATCTAGGGACAGACTGAATGCTGTGAGAAAATAAAAAGTAGAGTGGGGTGGGGTAGAGTGACAAGGGGAAGGGCCCTGCAGGGTTCCAATTTTGCAGAGTGATGAGGGAAGGCCTTAGTGAGAAGATGATATTTGAGCAAAGTGGGAACAGAGGGGAGGAAGTTCACCATTTAAATTTGGAAGAAGAACATTCTAGGCGGAAGGAATAGCCAGGCAAAGGACATAAGGCAAGTATACCCAGGCCAATTTTGCGGAACAGCAAGGAAGCCAGTGTGTCTGGATCAGAGTGAGAGAGACGACAGGTGGGTGTGGGCTCAGAGGAGCAACAGTGGCAGATGGTTGGGGCCTCGTGGGCCACTGTAAGGATTTTTACTTTTCTTCTGAGTGAAATGGGGCCACTGCAGAGTTTTGAGAAAAGGAGACTCAAGATTTGACTTAAGTTTCAAAGGACAGCTCCTGCTGCTGTGCTGAGAATAGTCTGTGATGTGGCTATGACTTAGGACACAGGATTAGTTGACAAAAGGAAAAGACCTCCTAAAGCTCACCCAAGGGGCACTCAGGAGAAACTGACATCAGGAATATTCCCAGATGGGTAACAGCCTGCGACCCTCTCCAGCCACCCCAGCCCTCGCGCTCCAGGCCCTGGGCCGGCTGGCTCAGCTGATAGATGACTTCCTTCCTCTCCCCAGGAAGTGCTGGCCTATTCCAACAGCTCTGCCAGAGGCCAGGCGTTTCTGAAACATCTGACTGACCTGTCGATCCGCAGCACCCTCTTCGTACCACAGAACAGCGGACTGGGGGAAAATGAGGTGAGCAGAGCCCCTAGTGCTTTTCAGTCCAGGTCTGTGTGCCTGCTTCAGACTAGTGCTTCTCAATAGTATTGGTTATCTATTCTCACAATAATGCTGTGTCACAAAAACAAAAAACAGAAAAAAAAACAAGCCCACTGCCATCAAGTCAATTCCAACTCATAGCCACCCTATAGGACAGTAGAACTGCCCCATAGGGTTTCCAAGGCTATAAATCTTTATGGAAGCAGACTGCTGCATATTTCTCCCACAGAGTGGCTGCTGGGTCCAAACTGCTGACCTTTTGGTTAACAGCTTTAACTACTGTGCCACCAGGGCTCCTGCTATGTCATAAGTCACCCCAAAACTCAGTGGCTACACATTTATTGAGCTCAGAAGTCTGCAGAGAAGCTGGAAAGTTCTGGTCTTGGCAGAGCACATTCACAGGTCTGAATTAGCTGGCCGGCAGCTGATCTAGGCTGGCGTCCACTGGGGCCCTGCTCCACCGGGCTCTCATTCTCCAGCAGGCTAGCCTGGGCACGTTCTTATGGTGATGCCAGCAGAGAACAAGAGCAGTGAGAGCAAGCCCAGTCCCACCAGCGCTCTTCAAGCCTCTGTATGCTCATGTTTGTTAACATGCTGCTGGCCCAACAGGTCGTATGGCCAAGCATAGAGTCAAAGTGGGAGGCCCCCAGAGTGACATGGCAAAGGGCAAGAATACAGGCACAGGGGAGAACCAGGGTCATTGGCGCAATCACTGTACCATACCAGAGGCATTCAAAGGAGTTGGGAATATTTACTTGACACTCCACAGGTAGCTGGCTGTAGGCTCTGACAGCCCCAGGCCCTGCCCAGCCACTGGAGGGTTGGAAGGAGTAATAGCTCCGCCCACCTGTTACCCACTTGTCTTACTTTCTTAGTGCTGCTATAACGAAAATACAAATAGGTGGCTTTAACGAACAGAAGTTTATTTTCTCCCAGTTTAAGAGGCTAAAAGTCCAAATTCAGGGTGCTGGCTCTAGGGGAAGGCTCTGTCTGTCCATTCTGCTTCTCTAGTGTCCTCGGTGTTCTTTGGAGATCTCCATGTGGCATCTATCTTCCCCCATTAGTGCTTGCTTCTCTTCGTGCCTCATTTGCTCTTTTTATACCTCGAAAGTGAGTGGGTTTAAGACACACCCTCACTGATATGACCTCATTAACATAACCCTATTCCCAAATGGCATTACATCTTCAAATATATATACAACATATATTTTAAACCAAAAAAAAAAAAAAACCAAACCCATTGTCGTCGAGTTGATTCCGACTCATAGTGACCCTATAGGACAGAGTAGAACTGCCCCATAGTTTCCAGGGAGCACCTGGTGAATTTGAACTGCTGACCCTTTGGTTAGCAGCCGTAGCACTTAACCACTACGCCAGCAGGGTTTTCAACATATATTTTGGGGGAACACAATTGAATCCATGACATAACATAACAAGGCCCACTCTTTCCAGCACAACACTGGGGAGCTCTGCTTCAGACAACAGAGATGACTTTCAATGACACATCCTAGTTGTAGGAAGGCCTCTGATGGAGTCCAGGCAACCAAAAGCCTGAGAAAAGCTTAATCATTCTTGATCACCGGCCGCATGGAGGCAGAAAAGCCAAGTCTGTGAGATGTGATTGTTTTTCTAACTATGGCATCCTTCCCTTTAAAAAGAAAAAATATTGTTCGGCCTTTACAGACCATTCTTGTGTTTCTTCTTTCCTCTCAGACCTTGTCTGGGCGGGATATTGAGCACCACCTCGCCAATGTCAGCCTTATTTTTTACGATGACCTTGTCAATGGTACCATCCTGCGAACCAGGCTGGGAAGCCAGCTGCTCATCACCTCCAGCCAGGACCAGCCCGATCTGGTATGAAAAGTCTTCTAGGCTTGTTGGGAGAACTGCTTAAATACATGGAAAGGTCCTAGTATACAGTAGGTGCTTAACAGATGGCAACTATTATAATGTGAAAGTAAACTCTCAACTTACAGTTAGGGGAGGTAATATCTGCACATCATAGTACATTGACTGTTAGGCAGCCCCTGTTGTTGTTCAGTTCTGACTCAAAGTGACCCTATGTGCAACACTGCCCAAGTCCTGCGCCATCATCACAGTCGTTGCTATGTTTGAGCCCATTGTTGCAGCCACTGTGTCAATCCATCTCGTTCAGGGTCTTCCTCTTTTTCACTGACCCTTTACCTTACCAAGCATGATGTCCTTCTTCTGGGACTGGTCCCTCCTGATAACGTGTCCAGAGTACGTGAGACGAAGTCTTACCATCCTCAGTTACAAGGAACATTCTGGCTGTACTTCTTCTAAGACAGACTTGTTCATTTTCTGGAAGTCTATGGTATATTCAATATTCTTTGCCAACACCATAATTCAAATGCATCAATTCTTCTTTAGTCTTCCTTATTCATCGTCCAGCTTCCCACATGCATATGATGCAATTGAAAATACCATGGCTTGGGTCAGGCTCACTTTAATCCTCAAAGTGACATCTTTGCTTTTTAACACTTTAAAGAGTTATTTTGCAACAGATTTGCCCAATGCAATACATCATTTGATTTCTTGATTGCTGCTTCCATGGGCATGGATTGTGGATCCAAGTAAAATGAAATCCTTGACATTTACAATATTTTCTCTATTTATCATGATATTGCTTATTGGCCCAGGTGTGAGGATTTTTGTTTTCTTTATGTTGAGGTGTAATCCATACTGAAAGCTGTAGCCTTTGACCTTCATCAGTCAGAGCTTCAAGTCCTCTTCACTTTCCGAAAGCAAGGTTGATGCAGCGTTCTTCTTCACATAGTCCAGCTTCTCGGATTATTTGTTCAGCATACAGGTTGAATAAGTATGGTGAAAGGATGCAGGCAGTCCCTACCCCTTGGGAAATAAGCCTGTGGTCCTCTGGTGGCCTCAGAAGCTGGTAATGTGGAATGATAAATGAAGCTATTTCAAAAGCCTTCTGATTCCCCACTTTTATTTGTCAGCTTGTTGATCTATCGCAGGCATTAGCGTGTGAGCTTTGGAATCAAGTGACCTGGGTTTCAATCCCAGTTCTACCACTACCACTTGCTGTCTGTGGGACCTTAGACAAGTTATCCAATCTCTCTGTGCCTCAATCTCCTCAACTGAAACTGAGGTGTTGGTGATGGTGTTGATGTTGGTGATGGTGTTAATGATGTTGATATTGTGATGATGATGGTGATGGTGATAATGACTATGACGACAATCTTATGTCCAGATCATAGGCTGTTGTGGGGATTCAGTGAGTAACGCTTTTAAAGTTCTTAGAACAGTGCCTGACATGTAGCAAGTGCTCAGTGAGTGTTATTTTTCCATCTTTACTCGATAGTTGATTTCTATTATTAAAGATCAGTCGTTTAGACCAGTGTGTCTCAAATTTTAACGTGCACTTGAACCACTTGGGGATCTTGTTAAAATGCAGATTGTTACTCAGGAGTTGGGGTGTGGGGACTCAGATTCTGCATTTCTAATGAACTCCTAGGTGAAACCCACACCACACTTTGAGTAGCAAGAAATTAACCAAAAACCAAACCCATTGCTGTCGAGTCGACTCCGACCCAAAGCGACCCTATAGGACAGAGTAGAACTGCCCCATATCATTTCCAAGGTTATAAATCTTTACGGAAGCAGGCTGCCACATCTTTCTCCCATGGAGTGGCTAGTGGGTTCAAAACGCTGACCTTGCAGTTAGCAGCTGAGCACTTAACCATTGCACCACCAGGGCTCCTAGCAAGGAATTAGATCACTTAAAACACCCCTTTTATTTACAGTGTGGTGTCATGTTCAGAGCAGTGGATCTGGAGTCCAGAGTGTAGAGTCTGCCACTTACTGCCTGAGTGATCTTGGACAAGCCACTTCCCCACTCGAGGCCTCTGATCCTTAGCTGTCAGACCAGTAGGTTGGACAAAATGACCCCTGAGGTTCCCTGTGGCTCCTTAGATTCTAAGATACTCCTGGACTCTAAACTTCACTCATTAGTTCTTCGGCACAAGGGCACTGGTGTGTTCTGGGCTGTCCAGGTGGCGACCTTGGCTCTAAGGTCTCAGGGAAGCTAAACAACTTCCCTCCATGGAAGGGCTGCTCGCATGGGGAGGAAAAACCAGATAGCCTCAGATCTCCATCAACCCTCTTCTCATTTCTCCAGAAGGAGACCAGGTTTGTCAACGGAAGAGCCATTCTGCAGTGGGACATCTTCGCCTCCAATGGGATTATTCATGTCATTTCCAGCCCTTTAAAAGCACCCCCCGCCCCAGTGGTGAGTATCCAGGGATCCTGGTGAGGGCCCAGGAGAAGCCCCAATGTCCACTCCCCAAGCGGCAAACTTGCCAGAAGTGCCATCCCTCACCCTCCTTTTCTGGAGACTGGAGGAGCCTCCTGCATCCAGGGCAGCTGGCCTCAGTGATACCTGCCCCAGTTTATCTCACGCCCACTCCCATGCAGTAGCAATGCAGCACCTGTCACTATGAGTATCTGTCAGATGAAAGAGGCAGAACGGGCCAGTGGAGAAACCACCAGAAGGGGAATAGGAAACCCTGATTTCTGGTTCTGGTCCCTCTACTTCACAGCTGTGTCACTTTGGACAAGTCCCAGAACATCTCTGAGCCCCAGTTTTCTCACTGGAAAATGAGGATCATAATGCCTGCCCCCTGGGTTCTTGGGAGGACTGTGACTTAACAAATGTAGAATCCTAAGAACAGCCTCTGGCACAGAGTTGTTGTCGTTGTTGTTGTTAGTATTCTAACTTTCTCCCAAAAGTGTGAGGGAAGAGTGAGCACAGCTGGGTGCTGGAAAGTTCCATAGCATAGTGGTAAAGAACACAAGCTCTTGTGCCAGCCTGGGTTCAAAGCCCACCTCTGCCACTCACTAGCTGTGTGATCTTGGGCAAGTACTTAACCTCTCTGTGCCTTAGTTCCCCCATATAAAAATGCGACAATAATAAATGTTCCTATGTCTTTGGGCTGTTATAATATTTAAATAGATTATTTCATATAAGGGGCTTATTAACAGTCTCTGGCAATAATAGTAAAGGCTCAATACCCATTAAATATGTTATCATTATTTTTTATCTCAACGGCTCCAAGATGCCTCAGGCCAGCAAGAGCAGGGTGGGCTCCAGCAAGTGCACGTCTCTTGGTGGGGGTCACCCAGTTTTAAATATTGACCCCTCCCCTTCCTGTGTGCAGACCTCAGCCCACGCTGGATTAGGAACAGGGATACTCTTTGCCGTCATCCTGGTCCTTGGAGTCATTGCTTTTGTGGCATATTCTTACTTTCGGCTAAACCAGAGAACAATTGGCTTCCAGCACTTTGAGGTAAGAGAGAGAAAAATGGGAACATGGTGGTGGGATCCTCTCCAAAATCCAGCTTCTGGCTTTGGGCTGCTTCAGCTCACCAAGGAGCTAGGTGCTGGGCACGAGGCAGGGGCAGCCAACTGCCACGCACTTCCTGCCTCCTGGGTTGGGGTCTCTGTCCCCACAAGGAGCTTCAGTGGCAGCTCCAAGCCCCTCTTCCTGGCTCAGACAGGGCTGTGGTGAGGAGGGTGATGGGCTGCCAGCAGCACAGACCCTCCAGATCTCCATGCCAGGGACTGGCTTGGAGGCAAATCCACCAGGGACCCAGGAGTCGCCCTCACCCTGGAGTCACTAGACAAGCACCCACCATGATTGGCTTGGGCTTCAAGCCTCACTCTCTGAGGGCTGGGGGACCGGATTGGGGAACTGGACAGAAGAGGCCTCACTGTAGCCAGCGAAGCAGATTTTGGCCTGTTTGAATAGTTGAGTCCACGTCAAGGTCAGCGCGAAGCTCTTGGCTGTGTGTGGCCCTGGGGACCCGGTCCGGAAACAGCAAAGCAGTCGAGCAGCCTCCCTGGAGTACTTCGTCTCCTTCCAGCGCCCCCTCTGTCGGCTGCCTCAGAGTCTCAGCAGAGCCCCCAGCAGCAGTTCTCTACCCACCTCCTAGCGAAAAGTTGCATATTTAAAAGCCCCAGGCACCCATGGATTCCGAAAACATCATATTTAGCAAAAGTGTACATGTGGATGATTCCTTTTACATTAAGTTCAAGGACAGGCACAACCCCTCCAGGGTGACAGAAGTCAGAATAATGGATACCCTGGGTGGGAGGAAGGATTGGCGAGTAAGGGGCATGGGAGGCACTGCCTTTTGTTGTGTGCCGTGGAGTCGATTTTCAACTCACAGTGACAGAGGAGAACTGCCCCATAGGGTTTTCTAGGCTGTAATCGTTACAGAACGAGCCTGGTGGGGCAATGGTTAAGCACTCGACTGCTAACTGAAAGGTTGGCAGTTTGAACCCAGCAGTGGCTCCACAGGAAAAAAGACCTGGCAATCTGCTCCCCTAAAGATTACAGCCTAGAAACCCTATGGGGCAGTTCTACTCTGTTCTGTAGGGTCGCTATGACTCGGAATCCACTCGAGGGCACACAATAACAATCTTTACAGGAACAGATCACCAGGACTCTCTCCCTCGGAGCCCCTGGGGGCACTACCTGGGGGGCAGAAATGCTCTATATCCTGATCTGGGGGGTGGTCCCTAGAGTAGATATATGCAGGAAGTCATAGGGCTGAACATTTAAGAGTGGTGCATTTTATTGTATATAAACCGTACTGTCTATTCCAACTTACAGCGACCCTACAGGACAGAGTAGAACTGCCCCACAGGGTTTCCTAGGAGCAGCTGGTGGATTTGAACTACTGACCTTTTAGTTAGCAGCCGAGCTCTTAACCTTAAAAAGAAAGAGCTCCTGGAGGCAGGGAGTGGCTTGCGTTACCTGCCAACTTGGAGATACTCCAGCCTTAGGGAGAGTCCTGGCTCTCAGCCCTGTGCTTGTCTTTCCCAACAGTCAGAAGAGGATATCAATGTTGCGGCTTTTGGCAAGGAGCAGCCTGAGAATATCTCGAACCCCATGTACGAGAGCACAACTTCAGCTCCCCTAGAACCCTCCTACGGCCCCTTTTCGGTGAGTCTCCATTTTTATCTAGGGGCAGAGGCAGCTGGGGTACAGAGGCATGATGTCTTTCAGCAAATGTCAGTGGAAAGCTTTTGCACCAAAAAAAGCTCACTTCTGGAATGTGTCTCAACCAGCCAGACTAAAAGCCAGTATTGGAGCTGACGGAAGCCAGCTTGGTTGTCTGGAGTCCTGGGTTCTTTTTGGTAGATGGCACATTGGTGTTGTCAGTTGCTGTCAAGTCGGCTCCGAATCACAGAGACCTTATGTATAACGGAACAAAATGTTGCCCAGTCCTGCTCCATCTTCACGATCATTGGTATGCTCGAGTCCATTGTTGCAGCTATTTGTAGTGCCTTCCCACCTAGGGGGCTCATCTGCCAGCACTTTATTGGACAATATTCCGTTGTGATCCATAAGGTTTTCTTTGGCTAATTTTTGGAAGTACATCTCCAGCCCTTTCTTCCTAGTCTGTCTTAGTCTGGAAGCTCTGATGAAACCTATCCACCATGGGTGACCGTGCTGGTATTTGAAATACCAGTGGCATAGCTTTCAGTATCATAGCAACACGCAAGCCACCGCAGGAGGACAAACTGATGGTAGTAGAGATGGCAGAAGCCTCCCATAATTAGAGGTAGGGGAGAGCTCCAGGTCACCCTACCCCAACTTCATGACCAGAGAAATGTCACAAAAAAAGCAAGTCTCAGAGTGAATTCTGCCAAGAATTCTTGTAACATTTATGAGGTAGCCGGAGCAAAATAAGACATAAGGCCTATAGAAAGGATTTTTCTTCTAGCTGTCCTTTGAACTGATGTTCACATTGTTGTAGAAGATTTCTCCCCACCCTGCCACCCCTTGGTTATCAGAGCTGCCTCTTCCTTTTGGAGCTACTTGTCTTTGATGAAGCCTTTTATATCTGTGGGTGAGTGTTCTGCTTTGGTCTTCCAAGGAACCAGAACAAGTTGCCGTGGTGTCATTTCTGACTCATGGCGACTCCACGTGTGTAAGAACAGAACTGTGTTCCATGGGGTCCTCAATTGCCGATTTTTCAGAAACAGATCACTAGGCCTTTCTTCTGCGGTTCCTCTGCACGGACTCAAACCACCAACCTTTCAGTTAGCAGCTGAGTGCGTTAACCGTTTGCACCACCCAGGAACTCCAGTCTTCCAAGAAGGGATCATTTATTTCTAGAGCTAGTGGCCCTTGAACTCAGATGGGGCCTCCACCTCCAGGAGGACCCCATGGCAGATACTCCATGCACATAAATGTGGAAGGTATACACTGCTTCTAGTTTATTAGCAGTTCTGGACTGAGAAGCTAGGGATAAAATTAATTTTTTCTTTTATATAAAAATCAGAAAAATTGACAGCCAGTCCTTGTTTACCTCAGCAGGCTAACTGAGCTGACAGTGTTGCTTAGGTCCAAGGAAATATTTCAATCTTGGCTTGTGTGGGTCCACAAAACTCAAGCAGTATTAACTGAAGCCACGCAGCTGCTGTAACCGTTTTTGCATGTGTTCATGTGCTGATTCTCCCCACCCCCAAGACCATACATACCCTAGTTACTGAATTTTTTTAAGTGGCACTGAAATACTACAAAAATGTTTTCTTGCATCATTTTTAAGCTTGGATGTTACTGTTTCTCTGAAGTAAACCAAATGTAAATATCTTATAGTTCTTAACGCCTGTGGTTTAAAACAAAACAAAACAAAACAAAAACTGTTGCCGTTGAGTCAATTCCAACTCATAGCGACCCTATAGGGCAGAGTAGAACTGCCCCATAGGGTTTCCAAGGCGCAGCCGGTGGATTTGAACCGCTGACCTTTTTGGTTGGCAGCCAAGCTCTTAACCGCTGTGCCACCAGGGCTCCCTGCAGTGCCTATCGGTAGCAGATTTAATATATTTGTACTAGATTGAAAAATAACCAGATCACAAATCCTATTTTGTTTTTTATTGTGCTTCAAGTAAAAGTTTACAGTTCAAGTTAGTTTCTCATACAAAAATGTATACACACATTGTTATGTGACCCTAGTTCCTCTCCCCATACTGTGACAGCACACTCCTTTCCACCTCGGATTTCCCATGTCCATTCAACCAGCTCCTGTCCCTTTTTGCCTTCTCATCTCTCCTCTGGATAGGAGCTGCCCATATAGTCTCATGTTTCTACTTGAGCTAGGAAGCACTTTCTTCATGAGTATCATTTTATGTCTTATAATTGAGTCTAATCTATGTCCGAAGAGTTGGCTTTGAGAATGGTTTCAGTTCTAGGCTAACAGAGAGTCCGGGGGCCATGTCTTCCGGGGTCCCTCCTGTTTCAGGCAGACCATTAAGTCTGGTCTTTTTACTCGAATCTGAGTTCTGCACCCCACTTTTCTCCTGCTCCATCAGGGATTCTCTGTTGTATTCCCTGTCAGGACGGTCATTGGTGGTAGCCGGGCACCATCTAGTTCTTCTGGTCTCAAGCTGATGGAGTCTCTGATTTATGTCGACCTTTCTGTCTCTTGGGCTAATATTTTCCTGTTTCTTTGGTGTTCTTCATTCTCTTTTGCTCCAGGTGGGTTGGGACCAATCCTATTTTGTTTTTTAATCTAACCTATGTAAAAGTTTCTGGTCCAAATTTGCAAAGGCAAATCCAGCTGAACTGCATTTACTAACTAATAAGGGTTTGTTTCTGCAAGTAGCACTGTTATATTAAAATGAACCTCATTGAAAAAGCAGGGGGGAAAGAATCATACATCCTGTTCAGTGAGTTCCATGCCACCCCAGCTGTCTGTCTTCCTCGAAGGACTCCATCAGCACCAGGCCTAAACGATTCACCTGCAGCAGGTGAGCTGGTCTCCTAGAAGCAGGATTCAGCTAAACCTCCTATTGAAACCAGTTGACAAAAGTCTTCTTAGTGACGGGAATCCTAAGTCTAGGGTGCCAACTCAAACAATGACATGCTATTCTTATGCCTTTTATACTGAAGGGTGAGGGTGCCTGTACAATATTTGTGGCCCACCCAGACATCTTGAATACCACTCATTTCACCCAAGAAAAGCCATTTCTAGCATCCATTATGCTAATTAACAAAGCCTGGGTACTGATTGGAGCTGAAGACAACAGAAGGCTTGGTATGGTTTCTGATTAGACTCAAAACACTAAAGAACCACCCTTGGTTCAGGATGAATTTTCAACCTGAAAGGGACTTTTTTTTATAATTATGTTATTGTTGTCAGCCCGACTCATGACAACCCCATGTACAACGAAACAAAACACTGCCCAGCCTTGCACCATCCCCATAATCAGTTGTGGATCAGACCATTGTGACCCATAGGGTTTTCATTAGCTGATTTTCAGAAGTAGATCACCAGGCCTTTCTTCCATGATCATATTAACAGCACAGTGCCTGGCACATTTATGGGGTGCTCATGCCTTGTAGATGCAGTATCTAATTTAATTCTCATCCTACCCTATTAGGTAAAAAGTATGACCCTTTATAGATGAGGTTATAGCTGCAACAATGGGCTGAAAAATACCAATGATTGTGAGAATGGCACAGAACTGGGCAATGCTTCCTTCTGTTATACATGTCACCATGAGTTGGAGCCGACTTGGTGGCAACTAACAACAATTATACATGAGGTTAGGTGATTGGCACAGAACTGCACAGCTTCAAGCAGCAGAGACTGACCCCGGAACACATACCCTTAACCACCATACCATCCCGCCTCTCAACTCAATACAGGAGGCTGAATAAATGCTCCCACCCTACCTGTTCACAACTGAGGCCTCAGACCAGTGGCCAGAAGAAGTGCTCATCCCAGAAGGATTAAGCAAACAGAACATTCCATATCCTGTCTGAGGGTTTCACAGACATCTTTTTTCCAGGACTCTGACGAGTGGCAGCTCAAGAGCAGCGACCCCCTCGGGGGGGCTTTGAGAGCCAGTCAGCCATCACCCACTGGGTCAATGGAGTATCCTCAAAAAGGCTATCAACTGTGAATTCTCAGCAACAGTTGCCTTTCGGGAATGTAAGGTCCTTTAACACTTTAAAGTATGAAGCACCCAGAAGCCGTACCTCATGTCTTTGGTTAATCGAAGGGTTATTTTGTATCCGTGGGTGAGGAACCATTTAGTACCATGGTCTACCCACCAACCCAGGGCGACTTTTCCCTCCTCTCAACCTCTACGTCCTTCCTTTGTTCCTTTCAATGGCATTACATTATGAGTATCTGTGATCTTGTCTTATGTCCCAATTAGATTGTAAGCTCCCAAAGGCAGGGACTGTGCCTCATTCATCTTTGTATTCCAGCACCTGGCACACGAAATATACTCAATAAATGTTTACGGAACAGACATGAAGTCAGCTGAACAAATCTAGTGAACAGCTACGATGGGAAACAAAAGCCATCTTCACCACAGGAAGGACTGAACTTTGAAGGCAAAATCGACTTATTAGGGCTAGTTAGGGCCTTCTCAATTAGTCAACATCTGCCTTATAGAATTCTTCTTTCTTAATCAAGGTGCGTTTGCTTGGTTTACTTTAAGGAGACATGATAACCACAGTGAGATACCACTTCATACCCACTATGATGGCTGTAATCAAGAAGATGAACAATAACAAATAATGGCGAGGATGTGGAGAAACTGGAACCCTCATGTTGCTGATGGGAATGTAAAATGGTGCAGCTGCATGAAAAAAAGTTAAGCCTAGAATTACCATCCAAAACCAAACCCATTACTGTCGAGTGGATTTCCGACTCATAGCGACCCTACAGGACAGAGTAGAACTGCCCCATAGGATTTCCAAGGAGCGCTGGTAGATTTGAACTGCCCACCTTTTGGTTAGCAGCTGAGCTCTTAACCACTGAGTCACCAGGGTACAGAATTACCACATGACCTAGCAATTCCATTCTTAGATATATATCAAAGAGAAATGAAAATATATGCCCACATGAAAACCTGCACGTGGACATTGACAGCAGCATTATTCATAATAGTTAAAAGGTAGCAATAACCCAAGTGTCCATCATAGATGAATGGATAAACAAAATGTGGTACATCCATACAATGGAATATTATTTGGCCCTAAAAGGGAATGAAGTTCTGGCACAGGCTACAACATGGATGACCCTTGAAAACATCATGCTAAGTGAAAGAAGCTAGTCACAAAAAGTCACGTATTGTTTGATTCCATTTACACGAAATGTCCAGAATAGGTAAATCCATAGAGGCAGACATTAGAATACTGGTTACCAGAGGCTGGGGCAGGCAGAATGGAGAGTGGCTGCTAATGGATACAGGGCTTCTTCTGGGGGTAATGAAAATGTTGTGGAATTCAACAGTAGTGATGGTTGCACCATTTTGTAAATATACTAAAAACCACTAAATCGTACACTTTAAAAAGGTGAATTTTATGGTCATAACTTACATCTCAATTTTTAATATTTTTTAAAGACATAATAACTAGAATTAACACTATCATTTTTCCAAATGTTGTGGGTGGGCTGGTTTTGGGGGCCTTTTTAATATAAATAACCTGTCCAAAAAAAAAAAAAACAGGTTGAACATGGACAGATATGCCCCAAACCCCTTCCTTTAGAGGACAAAGGAAAATCTCTGCCTACATATCCACCAGGTATAAGGCAGAGTTAAAATTAACATTTTGAGGGTGGTGGTGTTGTTAGCAGCCTTCAGAAGCAAATTGCAGGGATACACTTCTGAGGCACCTCTCGGTAGGTCTGAATCGCCAATCTTTCAGTTAGTAGTCCAGTGCTTAGCCATTTATGCCACTCAAGGACTACATGTGGGGGTGTTCGGTTCAGTTAAAGGGTTTCCAAAGACAGTTACTGCAGCCTGCTTTCCTACAAAGCTTGCACCTGCCGCAGACTTTTGCCTCCCGAGAGAAACCAGCCTCGGGGTGAAACCAGCACCAGCAAGAAGAGTGGATGGAGAAAAGGCAAGCGGCCAGGCTGCTGAATCAGAAGAGCCCTGAAGACCAAAGGGGCTCTGGAGTGTGCAGTCCCAAGATGCAGGACAATGCCTTTACAATTTATGCCACCTCTAGTGAAACTTGAGTCCCTGGGTGAGGCAAACAGTTAAGCGCTCAACTCCTAACCAAAAGGTTGTTGGTTTGAACCTCCCCAGAGATGCCTCAAAGAACGGCCTAGCGATGTTTCCAAAAGGTCACAGCCTTGAAAATCCTCTGGAGCCCAGTTCTACTCTGACATGCATGGTGTCGCCATGCGTCAAAAAGCACGCCACAGCAACTGGTTTGGGCTTTTTTTTTTTTTTAGTGAAACTTGGTACAGCGCCCCCTTGGGGCCACTGGCCCACATTGTGTACTTACTGCCTTGCTACATTTAAATTCATCTCAGAATCACCAGGTGTTAGAATTGAAAGTGGTCTGGGATCACCATGCTCTAGAGAGCATAAGGGTGCAGAGGTGCCTCGGGTCCCCCACAATGCCCCTGTAAGGAAAGTAGTCCGCCTTTAGCTGGTTTATTTATTGGCTTCTTCATGAGATTATTTGGAGAGGAATATACAAGAATGGCAGAAAAAAAAAAGTTTGAAAACCACCCACCCAACCACACTTTTACAGATGAGACCCAGAGAAACTGTGAGCAGCCACAGGTGATGCTACTAAATGGGACACAGCTGGAAGAATTGAGGTTTCCTCCCTCGCCCCCACCCCTACAGCTCCCAGCCCAGTGCCCAGTAGCCCCCACAGATGGATCTGGGCTCTACACTCCATTATGGTCTCAAATTTCCCCTAATTGGGGTTCTCTCACATTCTCATCAGTTTAGAGCAGTGTTCACAACAACCTGAGCTTTTAAAGTCTTAAATCTTAAATCAGTTTGCATCATTTTATTGGAACTTAGGACACAAAACTTCATGTGGATCTAAAATTTCCTTAGCACCTTTATTGTACACGTTTGGGAAATAAAAGTCCCCAACTGGAAATGGCTTGCTCCAATTAAAGGATGCAAAATAAAGTCAGAGTCTTTCCGAGGCGAGTCATGCTGAGCAGAGTACAGGTCACTCCCTGAAAGTGAACGCATCAGCATGGGGAACAAGAGACATGGTCAACATGGTCAACACCGACATAGAGAATAAGGAAAACGCCCTAAGGGAGCATCAGGCAGCATCTTTATATAGGAGCAGTCTACAAAACCTCTTATTCACGTTGTCCTGTTTGTTAGTGTCCTGAGTTCCTGTTATTTGTGTCAATACCTCAGTAAGGTTATTTTTTGCTAGGATCCTAGCCCTGAGGGGCAGACGGGGTGGGGGTGGGGGTGGGGAGAGAGGAGAGAGAGAGAGTGTGTGTGTGTGTGTATGTGTGTGCGTGTGTGCGCTCGCGCGCACGCATGCACGCGTACAAGCACCGGGGCTCCTTCACTTAGTAGTTGAGGAAAGAAATTATACTGAGCTCACACAGTGGTCGTCGAGGATCAAATTTCAACTAGCAGAGAGCACCTTGTAGACTGTATGCAGGTGTTACTGTATCAGACAGGACTCTTCATCTTGCAAGTATCAGAAAACCCAATTCTACAGTGGCTTGAAAAGCAAGGGGAATTTATTGGCTTGTGTGACTGGAAGGCCTAGAGGAGGGAGGCGTCAGGTTTGATTCTATTCAGGGGATCAAAGATGTCATCAGAGACCCAGTTTCTCCCCACATCTCTACTCTGCCTTTGGAGGTGTTGGCCTCGTCTTATAGCGATTTTCCTCAGAAAAGTTTAATTGGACAATGGGTTCCAGGATTCACACTCACCCATACAGGTACCATTCAAAAGAGAAAATCTCTCAGGAGCTGGCTCAGATGAGGAAACTGTCTTTCCCAAAAGAGCAAACCGCCCTCAACCTCCCTGGGGTCTGAAAATGCCAAGTGCTAATTGGCTGAGGCAAAGGCAATGGGGGTCATCCTGATTGGCTTACCTCAATCAGGCGCACCCAATCAGATCCTCCCAATGATTGACCGCTCCCTCTTCAGTGTTCCCAAAGCTCAGGGGACACAAATTTCACTGCACTATAGCTAGTTGAAAGGCGCCCTGGTGGCACAGTGGTTAAAGTGCTCGGCTGTGAACCAAAAAGGTCGCCAGTGAACCCACCGCTGAAGAACGATGTGATTTTCCGCTCCTGTAAAGATTATAGTCTTGGAAACCCTATGGGGCAGTTCTACTGTGTCCCATAGGGTCGCTGTGAGTCGGAATTGACTCAACAGCAGTGGGTTTTTGGTTTTTTGGGTAGCCAGTTGAAAGAGGAGATCCACTGAGGGCTCTCTGCATAGGGTAGGAACAAGCTCACTGATGTGAAATAACCATTTCACCTTTCCCACTCTTGACAACTTGCCCCTCCATTCTGAGCCATGGGGCAAGAGTCAATGGAGAATTCAGCTCCCCTCAACGTGGCTTCCATGAGTCAGAAACCTTGTCAGTGGTTCAGTTCCTAGAACAGTGCCAGGTGCATAGTTGGCCTTCAGGAAAGAGCTGTGCATCAAATGGAGCTTGGAGGTGTGTGGGGTCAGTGGGTCCTAACCCACAGGGGACAGCAAGACAAGGGTTGCACTCATGGATCCTTGTTGCCCTCCAGCTGGTGCACCCTGGACACAGTGGGAGGACGTGACAAGGCTACTGCTGCTGGACACCCTAGCTAATGGCAAAGGCCTTATTAAGACAGGGATACAGACTGTGAGCCTCTTCTGGTCTTGGAAGCAGGGAGGAGCAAGGAGGGAAAAATAACCTTATCCAGCTTGTTGCAAAGAAATTCTGAAACATTTTTTAACCAGGAACGTTATAATTACCCTCAAAGAAACAGTGTGTCAGCAGTGTGATCAGGGCTGACAACTGTCTCTTCTTCCCATGCCTTTAATATTTTTGTCTTTGAAGAGAAGTAATGCAAAGATTTGATGCAGGCAGGCTCAGGGGCTTCAGGGGGGTGGGGAGGGTGGGAAGGGGGGCAAATCCTTGAGAAACGTGTCTGTGCAGCCACAACGGCATTTCCC